TAGTCAACATGTACTTGGCACAGAGAATCTCCCCATCAGTGCGCGTGAGATCCTCGACGATCTCGCGGTGCAGTGACACACCACTTCCAGTTCCAATCTCGAGAATTCGAAGATTGGGGCTTGGAGTGAATCACTTGCCGAATGAACTCTTTTCGTTCCAGCTGTCCGAGATATTTGTAGACGTTCGACAAAGTTCTTCCTGGCAAAATATCCTCAAGGTCTTTGCCGGACAGCAGAGAATCCATATTCATGCAAACTTGATGAATGGCACTAGCGACTGGAGCTGCAAGCGTGCCTTCCAGTTGTTTCAGCAAACTGTTGATTCGAGCGGAAATAGTCTGGTTGTCGAGACCTGTCCAAGTACAGGGCAACCTGATAGGGGTTAACTTAGACTGAGATTTGATCCAAGCAACGTGTCTCTGAAGATGGGGCAAGGTCATGTTGCTTGAGGATTCCGAAAAGCACGATTGGGATAAGAGCAAGCAGATGTCTCCCAGCTCCTCCAGCAAGCGTGAATTGTCGGTACGGCTCACTGGTGCGCAGAAGAGCTCGTTCACGTCCAAGAAGTCAATGTCAGGTTTCCATTCACACCTCGCTGCTGCGTGTCCGTCCCTTACCTCGCCTGAACTGGCAGCATCCGCAAGTGACATACGGATGCCGACTGCTTCAACAACTTTTCTGCCCTCACATGTGCAACAGCCGTCTCCAAGGACCGAATAATTGCTTGATAGCTTAGCAGAGACATTTGTGATCATATCCGAAGTGCACCTGTAGAGAGAGATTTTTGTCGATGCTGGTTGGAAGCCAAGTTCTGGTTTTGCGTGCGTAGCCATTGACAGCAGCAGCGCCCAGGATCTGCAGGGTTGCGTCAAGGACGGTAGGATGGATGTAGTAATTGGCTTCATCTCCCTGCCTTCCATTCACAACGTGTCCCATTCCCTGCTGCTCTGAGGTTGAGCTCGCCATCATATCAAGGGTCTGGAAAGATCCTCCCAGATTCAGGCCACCCTTGGCCATCTTTTCGAACCACTTCCTCACATTAAGCTTTCTGGGCAGGGCATCAGGGTCCTGGGCCTGTTCAGGCGGAGAATACTGAGCGGAAGCTTCTCGTGTACAATGTTTTGTCCAGTTGCGCCCGTTATAGGACGGCACTGTGAACTCCCACCATTTGCTGTTCAAGGAATTCGTCAAACAGCCTAGTTGGAATGTGGCTATCATCTCAGTCGGCTTTCCTTCGCTTATCACTAAAGCCGTACTGACAATGATATTTCTAACAGTGAACCCCTCCTCGGCGTTTGTCAATTGTCTGATGGCCTCGTCCGCTAAGACATTATATCCACAGAATGGGAAAATGATGTTCTCTCCCACTTTGTGGTCGCATATCCACGGCGCGTTTGTAATGTGGAATAGGTTGCGCCACACACTGGCTCAGTATCGCTACTCTCAACCACCCTAGAACCAAGAAGATCATGGTACGGGTATTTGCGGTTGCGCCATTCTTTGCTTAGCCGAGACTCGTACCAGTAGCTGCCCTTGTGATTCCATGGGTATCGGGGGACGCCCGAAAGACAGGTGCCCGTGGGGAAACGAGCCTCAAGGTTAACATGAACATTGAGAGAATACAGGGCACCAATGGCTGCCAAAAAAGACACAGTACAGTCTTTATTGCGCGTCATGGCCGAGATATAAGGAGTGGGAGAGGAGGCCTCAGCAAATATCTGTCTCAGTGGCCCTGCAAGAGCTCCGCGAGGCCCAACCTCAAGGAAGACAGCATTATTTCCAATATCGTGCTTCAAGATAGCCATGATGGCTTCCCAGAATCAAACTGGTGATTCCAAGTTATCCCGCCAGTATTTTGACCCGGTTTTGTGCTCTGAATCTAGAATGTTGCCACTAAAGCTGAAGAAAAAAAGCATCGACGGTGCTTTTCCGATCACTTGCTCGATTAGTGATTGGTAATGGTCACCAATCTCTTCCATATGGTATGAATGGTAGGCTTTATCAACCTGGAGTAGTCTAGCCAGAATCTGTGGCTGTTCCTTTTTAATAGCAGCAACAACAGATTTCACGGCATCAATATCGGCCGAGATTCTAACGCTCTTGGGCGAGTTGTCACATGCGATCGTGACGTTAGGGACGAGGTAGTTTTCAATTTCTCTCCAGCCCATTCCAATGGCCGCCATTGTCCCCGGTCGCTCTTGTTTGACTGCCACAGCTCCACGGTGGTGGGCAACTGTGATAGCTTCTTTAGCCGTAAGAGCCCCGGCGGCATATGCTGCAGCGATCTCACCACTGGAATGGCCCACAACGGCATGTGGGACAATTCCAGCAGCCTTGAGCATGTCGACCAGTGCAATCTGAATAGCAGTGCAAAGAGGTTGAGAGAACTCGGCCGAAGACAGGCGGCTCTGCTTGCCTGCCTTCTTGAGCTCCTCTTCGATTGAGTAGTGAGGCTTCTTCCCAGCAATGGTTTGAAGCTGTTGGTCGAGAGATCGGATGCTAGATTTAAACACCTCATCGGATCGCAATAGCTCCCGTCCCATCTGCGGCCATTGTGCGCCCTGGCCGGTGAAAACCATCACAATGCTCGGTGGGCCTGCAGACTTCGAGTGTATAGGCTGAGAAACGCTTTCAATCACACCATTATTAACAATGGCAAATGCTCGGTACGGCAGATGGGTTCTTTTCCTGGCCAAAGTATAGGCCAGATCACAAATTTTGTCGGGATTCTGCTCGATCCAGACCTTGTAGTTGTCGACCAGCCTTGTTATTGATTTGGAGGAATTCGCTGTAAACAATAGAAGCTGAGGCGACTCCGGGAACCCAGATACCGCAGTCGGGATATTATAAGTCGCCGCAGACTCTAGAATTACATGGGCATTTGCGCCACCAATGCCAAAAGAATTCACACTCACCCGTTCAAGGCGGTCTTTCGGCCACGGAGTTGCCTCAGTAGGAACCGTGAGCTTCCCTTCCTCAACGGAATGCTAGGATTGGGGATGCTGAATTTGATGTTTGGTGGGATGATACGGTGTTGAAGTGCCTTCACCATCTTCAAAAGCGAAACAAGGCCGGACGCAGCTTCGGTATGTCCGAGATTGGGCTTAACAGAGCCGATGTACACGCCCTTCTCTCCAAAGACGCGGGCCACAGCTCTCGTTTCAATGGGGTAGCCTGTCGGGGTACCTGTCCCGTGGCATTCTACCATGGCGGTTTCCGAGAAGTCAGTGATGCCTCCAAGCTCGTATGCCCTCCTCATCAAAGCTTCTTGCACATCCGTGCTAGGCTGCGATAGCGTCGGAGTTTTTCCGTCCACGTTGTGAGATGTGGCTCTCACGACAGCTTGAACCGGGTTGCCATCTCGAATGGCATCAGCCAACGGCTTGATGAATATGGCCGTAACTGCCTCTCCACGAGCATACCTATTGGCGTCAGCAGAGAAGGTCTTACATGAGCCATCGCTAGACAAGACTCCTTGCTCCTGCATAGCCACCGACATTCCCGGAGCCAGGATCAAATTGACACCGCCTACTAGAGCGGATTCGCAGTCGCCTCTGCTAATCGCTGCGCAAGCCTCGTTCAGAGCCACCAAAGCGGACGAACATGCCGTGCGAATGGTCATGCTATTCAAATATGTTAGCGCGGGTCTACTTCATTGGCGTACCCACCAAAAATCATACCTTGGTCCCCGTAGATCGAATTCATAAGAGAGACGATTGGCGACGACAAAGTCTCCTGAACCAGAGATACGGTGGATTCCCCACGGCTGGGTTTCCCTCCCCAACATCTCCAGCCAGTCCTCTCCGAAATTACCAATATAAGTACCGATAGGCTTGCCTCGCCAGTCTGTCACACCGGCGTCCTCGAAAGCCTCGTGAGCCACTTCTAACATGAGCCGTTGCTGAGGGTCAGCTCGCTCTACTTCACTTCTTGCCATGGTAAAAAGGGACATATCCAGCGCCCCGACGTCGACACTCTCATCGAGAAAATATCCATACTGGGTTGAGACCGTTCCCGGCTTTTTCATGTCCGAGTAGTATGTTTCGATGTTATAGCGCGATTCCGGGACACGACATCGACCATCTCGCTTTGCAAGAAGAAAGTCCCAGAGTTCATCTGGCGTTGCCAAGCCTCCCGGGAGACGACATGCCATACCACAAATTGCGATCGGAATTTGACCATTGGAATGGATATTGGAGGCCGAGACCCCATTTGCACAGTTCATCATGTTGGAATTGCCGTTCATGTGCGCAGCGTTTGTGGATATGCCATTCGTACGCAAGCCGTTGGTGCAATGGGCCATTGGTAATAGGACCATTGATGTCAGAACCAATTCCATGGCCATTCATGCCGTGGGTCTCGTCTATAGTCATGATGGGCTTATTTGTCAATGTTTATCGGAGATGAAATAATATTTTGTAGCAGGTTTGGACGGGGCGAGCCCTCCATTTGAAGTTGAGACACAGAACATGCTTTTCACTGATAAGGTGTATATTATCACGACAATCTGGATGGAAGTTGTGTGTTCGGGCTTCCGCAACAGGCGTCCGCCCCCCCAATCGCTAGCCGGAACCCGTATAGGCGAGGAGCTGAAACTCGGACCGGGACGCCGATAGGGGTGTGGAAAGGGCCTCAGTCAGCCAGCCCATCAATTGAGATGCACACTAAGCAAGACCATGCTTAGCTGGGTGATTCAAGAGCTTTTGTTGCGACACAACACTTGCTGTCTGCGAATGGCTGACCTTAGGGGCTGTCGAACGTGGGGTGAGACAAGGTATATTATGAAGCTAGGTTGGAGTAACAGAGCGTCGTAAGAGGACCTGGCGATATCAGTTAACCAGCCTTAACAGAATAGGCTACATTTCAGGTAGCCCCGGGAAACTGCGGTCAAGCTAGTATCAAGACACTAGTTAGTCTCTATGTACAGTGATGCCTCTATATAACGAATCAATATTGGAAGCCTGTTCAATTCGTTATATAGAGGGATCCTTGATATAGAGCTAGCATACAAAATACGCTGTCATATCCTGCCGCTGCTGATTTTCAAGACTCCGAGCCTCTAATCTTCTCTCATAATGATTTAACCGTTGAATTAGCTCTGTATCTCCCTTATCCTGCTGCTCTTCATACAAGCGAAGCCTTTTCACTATGTCAAGGGCCTCGGTGGTGCTGATTTGCGGATCAGCTTCCATATTTATAGTCTCTTCCTCATCCTCAGGCTCCTCTGGCTCCAGCTGCTCAATTATACGGCGCTCTAGATCTTCAGAAGAGTCCTCCACTACTTCCTCCGCGGGATTGAGGAAGTTTTCAATTTTCATTGGGTTTCGAATACCAGAGACCGTGCAGAGCCGTTGGAAATCATTGGAGATCTGTATCATTGAAAGATCTTCAGGCGGAACAGCTGTCTTCTTGAACAAGGCTCTCTGGAAGCAGTGTTGAATAGTGGCAGGCGCCATATCAATATCCCAAGCCTGTATTCCCCAGCGTAGGGCCTTCAAAACGTTCATTGTAGTAAGAGGATCACGGTTCGACTCGTATTCTTCAATCATATAGATAATCCACTGCCGTTTCCAGTGGCACTTCCAAGAATATATAATCCCTTGATCTAGTGGCTGATATTTGCTCGTTGCATTTGGTGGAAGCCAAATAATCAGTGTATTCCGTAGGGGATAAAGGCTCTTATTGATACTTTCAACTGCCAGTGCATGAGCAGAGAAATTATCCATTAAAAGCACTACTTGACGGCCAGTCATTTTGGAATCAAACCATCTTAGCCATTCCTCCATGAGAATGCCCGTCATCCAGGCCTCCTTGTTGTGCCTCCATTTGAGATTGAGATTCTCAATATTGATGCCTGCGGCACGGAAAGCATGCGGTTGTTGAGCCTTTCCAATAAACCATATAGGTAATCTCTCAGATCCATCAGAATTGCAGCATAAATGGGCAGTAATCCATGCCTTTTCCTTCTTTCGGCCATCAAGAGAGCGAGTAGAGAGTCCTCGATCAGGAACCAGCTTCCAAAGGAGCCCAGTCTCATCACAGTTGAATATATCCCTGGCATTGTAATGCTGGAGAGCCATTCCTATACTCTTCATCTGTTGCTCTGCATCAATAGCACTTCCTGCCTCTCCATGGTATATACGATTCTTAATCGATCGTCGCTTTTGAAATCCTTCAAGCCAGCCATTGCTGAATGCAGGCATCTCGCGGTCCTTATATACTGACAGATTCTTCCAAAAGAACTCTGCTTTAAGCCGTATAACCTCTCGTGAGAGTTTAATTGATGTCTCTGCCTGTTGAATCCACAAATATAATGCTGTTTCAAGCTCTGGCCAGTGTTCACGACGGTAGCGCTTCTGGTTTGACGTACGGTTGACAGGCCGGTCAAGGTGTTCGTATCGTTTAGAAAGGATCTCGGAGACTGAAGATAAAGCAATCTTTTGCTTATATAGGGCCTCAAACCACTGCTTCAAGGCCTTGTTGGAGAGGGAAGGATTAAGAGCTTTGTGGGAGCGTAATTCCTTCTTCTGCTCGATTGAAATCGCGGTTCGGCGGGGCATTTTGGTCCCTTTTTGGCCTCGTTATAACGAATTATTAAGAAATCTTGAGAGATATTTAATGAATTTTGTAGTACGGAGTACTCCGTATAGAGGTTAACGAATATTTCGTATGAAGATTTAATCTTGGAAGAGATTTTTGTTTGTTATATTAGAGGATTCGTTATATAAAGTGATCGTTATATAGAGGCATCACTGGTTGGCCTCAAGCTTTCGGCTCGGATCTTCTTTGATCCTACGCAGAGTTCCAACTCATCTTCCCAGCTCCTCGTCCCAGCCATACGAAGAGCAAGGTTAGAAGAGCACTGAATAGAGTTGAGGTTCCGTGGTCTCTTTAGCTTCCGCACATGCTTAGTAGCCTAGTAGGCCCTCCGAGAGCTAGAGAGGCCTACACCGCCGCAAGGATGCAAATGGGCTCATAGCACCCCTTTATTAAGGAGGATTGACTAAGTACATATAATGTTTCCGACCACCCAACGATTTTTTGTAAGGATTCGCCCGCGAACCCCTTACACACCATCGTCCTCGTCAATGTCGAAATCATTGCTCGACTTTCTTGTCTTATCACCAGCGATGCTCCATGATGCCTCAGGGCAGACGCCATGCCTTAGAAGTGAGTATCCAAAGGGAGAAAGATTCCGGAAGAACACCAGAGCTTCTATCAAAAAGACCATGATACAAGTATTCCTTGGGGTTTTTGTTCCCTGAGAAACACTGCAGCTTGCCATACTGCTCCCTGGGGAGATATGATCCTTGGGGTAAAAGATCTATAGGGAGTGACTAGTAATGCCACGATATGCAAGGTCCTTGGGGATTTACTTACCCCACAGGAAGATAGATTCTAGAAGGAATACGATTAAATTCAGGTGAGGACCACACCAGCAGCTTCCATGAGGGACGCCACACTTTTGAGGAGAGATAGATTCTACAGGGAATACCCCTAATTCTGGGCGAAAAGCCACGGCAAATGAATTCCATAAGTAAGGTCACAGCTTTGACAAGAAATAGATCCTACAGGGAATGCCTCTATTTGTGGGTGAAGAATCATGGCGACAGATCCATAAGGGGCCAGGACATCTCGGTATATAACTCTAATACCCCTTATTCTTTGGGGAAGCGACAGCTGATCATGTATGCAAGACAGCAATATCATGTCGGTTGCAACATTGGGATGGGGTTTTGTAGGGAAAAATTCAAAATTGCGAATTTTCTGACTTTGATAATTTGAAAACTGAGTGCTTAAACTGCAACCCAATCAGAGTGATGTACTTAATGAGACAGACAAATTGTTCGCGATCCAGTTTCAGCCCTCATCCTCAAACCACGTCCTTCAACACGCCATGAGTTCCACATTTTTCCTCACTCTCCTCTTTGCACCGACAAATTTTACCACATGGCTTTTCACAGACTGCCTCAATGCAGACAAGTTATTCTATGGCTTATGCTTATGACAACCAGGGATCACAGGCAGCACCTAGTTTACGAAGGCTGGAAACACACACGCCATGAAATAACTTGCCGGTTAGAGAGAACCGAAAATGAAATTAAAGAGTGGGAAAGCTGAAATCATGGGATTTGCAAATCAAAATACAAGAGGAAAAGCAAGTTGAATTCCTCATTTGAGCGCAATGGTAACAATGGAGTAGGAGGGGAAACCATGGCTGACCAGCATTTGTAAGAGAACACCCTCCAGAGCCACATATGCTACAAGTTATAACCCCAAATCTCATCCGGCAACTAGTTAATGAACTTCACCAGCACCATCTAGCCAACCACCAAGTCTGAGGTCCACAATATGTCCCAGGTCCGTGGACCCATCCTCTTGCACACCTGTTTCCTCAAAATCCTGGAGTATTTTATCAATATATTCACCCGCCCCTGACAAGTGAAGGATATGAGCAATGGCCCGGTGTAGAGCAAGTAGCTGGGGGGAGGGAGCATCTATTGCTCTTCCTTCGCTGAGAAGGAGTTTGCGAGTAACAGGTAGTCCCCGACGTGCTGCTGAGACTGGGTTAAGGAAACTGTCAATGCGGTAGGTATGTTCCTCGCCAGCAACAGTGTCAAAGTATACCTCAAAATTGCCAAAGCTTTTATGGAAAGTTGGAGTCAGGCTGATAGCATTGTGTGGGCTATCAATGTGAGAGCCCTCAATGAGATGAGCCACATCGCAATCAAACATGTTAAGGATGTCAATCATAGTCTTCCTGGGATCACCGTGTCTGTCATTTAGCCATGGGAAAGCCTATTTTGGACAGACGACCTACCAGCCGTATAAATTCTCGTTCATTTGTGTAAGGGAGTGGGGAAGTATGTGGGCCACTTCCAGGTCATCAAATCTATCCTCATCTTTAAGCAGATTCCCATCATCATCTTGAGCATCCAAACCATGCTGATTTGTTTGCTTTACTTCTTGTTGCGCGTCAAAAACCTGGGAGATCACACAACGATGTTGGTCACGAACAAGGCAAAGAGCTCGAAGGTATGAAACTCGCTCAAAGGTACCAACGATTTCATGCGGTGATTGTACACTTTGCATTGCTGAAAGCTGAGCAGGAGAGGGTTGTGGGGTAATTTTTCCAGTTGCTTTCACTGTAAGAGAATTAGTGAATGTGGAAGATGACAGGGTGGCGCATACAGCACAAACATGGAAAGAAGAACTGCTTGAGGAGCGTGTCTGCAAAGTGAATGAATTTTGGAGGGAGCTGATCATCACCCGTGTTGATATCTTCATCACTGCTGATATCTAGCCCCATAACATTGAAGAAAACGCGCAGGAATGTATCCTTGGACAATTCAGACTGCGAATAGTCATAACTATGACAGACAAGTAAATGGCGACTATATCCACCCTTGGAGCCACTGTGATTGGCAAGATGGTGGATAATCCTGTCCAATGCCTCTTGGGCGCGAGAGCGCTCATCTGCAGTTAAGGGCGCCAGGGAGGAATAGTCGATAAGGCCGTCAAAGGATACTCGATGACAGTGGAGAGGCTGGAATGGAACATGAGAGCGGCCCGGTAAATCAAAAGCACCCTCATAGGATGACGGGCGACGATGGTGGGACGCCATGCTGCGATGGGTAAGGGGGAACTGTAAATGGGCCTGTAAAGAAGAAGCGAAGAGGGTGGGCTTGAATGAGTTAAGGACAGTGGGAGCATGAGAGTCGACGAAAGCTTCTGAGGGAACCAAGGGTGCTTGGGGAACAATATATAACCAACCCGACCTGCCACATCCCCATGAAGCCCCCTGGACGCTGTAGAATGTCCGTACAAAAGCGCCGAACTATTGATCACCAGGAACTGAATGCCTTGACCAATGGTCTCCTCCCCGGACCACGGTGGCAAACAGAGAAACAACGGCTGTCAAGATCCAGTTGTCGGTCGCTGCTGATTAAAGCTGGTGTAAATGACAATTGGCTGGACGATATTGGCAAGTAAGTCATGAAAGGCAAATACTTACTACCAGCAAAACAGGCAAATTGCAGAAATGCAAAATGCAAAAATCCAGAAATCCAGAAATTTGATGTCGAAACACGCTAAGCCCCTAAAAACGGAGTCGTCCTCTTTTCGGACCAGTCTCACGCTCATGGCCCGCATCATGAAATGATATCGGCGCTTCGACCATGGCTACGCCACGGATTTTGAAAAATGGTGGCTACCTCTGGCTTTTAAATAGAATGCATTCAACCCACCATGCCTGCCCCTACCTCTCCTTAGCTGAAATAAGTTCTACCATCATGTCTTTGCAGGTGCTGGATGAAGATCCGAGATTCAAATTTCGCAATATTCAACAGATGCGATGTCAGTGATTGAAAACCTTGATAAACAAGCTCTGCCAATTCTGCATTGACTGTTACAGTGACATTTCTCTAGTGATCGCTGTCTATAAGCTAACGCCGCAACCAGAACCACAAGAGGTTGCTAATATCATCAAATTCACAACGCACCAAAAGCCAAGACTTAATCCCTTGAACATCATGGGCAAGCAAAAGGTCACACTTGGATGCATGCTGCAGGATTATGTAACAGATTGTTACTGCAATGCTGATGGCTATGTGTCAGCGTTGGGGTTGGAGACAGTGCTAAGTGAATGATAGTGACAGTGATTCCGTTCATCCAGCTACCTTCTAAAATCAACTTTGAGAATTGGTTGTCTTTGAGAGAATCAGGAATATCAGCTAATGCTGTGTTCACTTGGCATTAGTGACCATTCACCCGGTCCGGGTTCGTTTTCTGGGTTCTGGCAAATGTAGATTAACATCAAGTGCTTGACCAGTCCGAGTTGCCATGGTTTGCGAAATTGCTTGGTATTGAGACACTAGTCTCTATGTAGTTAGCCTCCAGCTTAGTCTCTCGGATCTTCTTTGATCCGACGCAGAGTTTTCTTCCTGGCTCTCATCTCATCCTCTTACAAGGCGGGAGAGCGAGGGCATGAATGTATGGAGTTCACGTTCTATGGTTCCTATAGCTTCCGCATATGGTTAGTAGCTTTGTAGCCCATTCGAGACTTGGTTACTTTCCATACCATTGAAGTCCTGTATACTGTACAATTGTACTTGAGCCTGTTCCTCTTGAGGAAGTCCCATAGCCTTGCCTCTGACTCTGATAACACCTGTACGGAAACCCTTTGTCATCAGAGCAAGACTGCTTACTCAACCGGAGCACCTGTTGGATTATAGAGTTCAACCTCGATATATCTCGGTATCAACTACCAGATGGAGATACATAACTATCTCTTGTTTTGTTGGAGCATGGAAATCCCTGTTCAATTGTTCTGCTACAACAGCGGCTAGCGCGATCTCATCTCTTACGGTGAGATGGAGCTTTGGCAGCGGAAAAGAGTCGGACCGAGAATGATCACGTGGCCTCACGTGCGCCCTAAGCCCAAAAGGTGTTAGGGTGCGCGAACAGCTATCTGAGTTTGTATGCTTTTCCACACAAAAATTGTTAGTCATGTTGGCCAGAGGGTTGCCTTTTATTTTGATAGATCGATCATTCTTAGATAGATTAGTCGGACCAATCAATGGATATTCGTATCCCTCCTACGGAGTAGATTAAATCTAGTTGGACAGTTATGAGCCCGGGCTCTTCGAAGACGTCGTATATATAAGATTGCCGGATTAGGCAATTGACGAATCTAGAGAGCTCACGTCATATCACGTTATTGAACAGCCTACAGAGCTATACAAACCTCCTCCTACATTTCTTTCCTTCTTCTTTACTTCTTTTCTTCTTTCTAGCATTGACGAAGAAACGGCGGATTATACCTTTGCGAAGATAACTACCGCCATAATTCTACAATCCGAGCACAATTGGGAGCAATGGCTTGCCCAAATAAGGCAATACGCTCAGACGCAGCAGATATGGGAATTTATCGACCCTTCAGTGGAAGAACCGCCCAAGCTTGAACCACCCGAAGATGGAGTGGACATGGAATTGGAAGGGATGGCCTTACAAAAGGCAATGATACTACTAAAAAGGGAAATAAAGAGATATGATCGGAGAGAGCTAGCACTAGCAGATATCCTCAATTATATCCGCGAAAGGATCTCTTCCCGGTGCTTTACATTCATCGAGGATATCACTTGTCCGCATGAGTGCTTAAGGATTCTTCAAGAACAAGTAGCTCGACCAGAGGCAGCTACAAGAACGATGCTATGATCGGAATTTATGAAGATGAAGGTCCACGGACCACCCAGGGGAAAGGACCTTGAAGATTGGGTCAGAGACTGGGAAATTATGGTTGAAAGGATAAGGAAGCATAAGATTGAGGATTTACTATATAATGAGTCCCTAGTCATGGATTTCCTACAAGCTATACAGAAGGACTGTCCCGAATTCTCCACTCAACAACAACTGCAAATTACGATCACGGAAATCTACCCAAGCCATGATGAAGTCTTAAGAGCCTTCTGGAGATACTGGAGGAATGTTCAAGTGAATGGAAAGCAAAAGAAATTTAAGCAACCAGGGGGCTCCTTTGCTGCAACCTTACAAGGAAGATCTCCAGCGGAAGAAATGGGTCAAGAAAGAAAAGGAGACAGCCAGAAGAAGCCTCCATCGTGCGTGTGCGGATCAAAGCACTATTTTGGCCAATGTCCCTACTATAACTCGAATATCCGGTCCGCGGATTGGAAAGCCGATCCAGAGATTGAGAAGAAAGCTCAAGAGATGCTGAAGAAACCACGAATAAAAGGGATGGTTAAGGCCTCAATCGAGCGGGAGGGTAAGAACAAAAAGACGCCGACACGAGAGCTGGTCAAGAGATTGAGACCCTGAAGGAGAATGCAGTCTTTATGGCTGCAAGGAACTTGCCATGTGCAGCTTTGAATACTGCCTCCCTACAGCTGGATGAAAATCCCGCCTGCCAATGTATTTCCTAAAGAACAGCTTCATCCTTGACGGCGGATCAGACCTCCATATATGCAACAATAAGAGACGCTTTACCAACTTCGTTAATGGCCCAAGAATCCCCTTATTTCCTCCTCAACCCCATCTCTCGACACACCGGCCGCAGCAAGACGATCATGACCATGGGCCATGACATCGGCCTCCAGGTTGGCCATCATTTGACGGAACCGGGCCTACATACGTGCAGCAAAAGGATGCTGTGCCTGGCTCGTTTTGGCCTAAATATGTCAGGACCATTAGCAAATTTTGTTACTTTTCAATCCTACCTTCTTGTTCTGCTGAGCTTCATTCTCAGCCTCTGTGGCCTCCTCTCAGTGATGCTTCTTCTCCTCCTCCCTCTCGTTTTGCTGAGAGACCATGAGCTGGTGCTCATGGTACTCCTTTGACTTGCCCTTGGCAAATTGCTTGGCCATCAACTGTTCAATGGCTTTCTCCTTGATCACCTTGCGATCCTCCTCACTGCTATTCTGCCTGCAATGGATGTCAATGTGATTCAACACAAGCCACTGAGGGTGCATACCACTCATGCTTGGCTCAGATCCTCTTCAGCACATCGGCATGCCTTGCAATCTGCTTCCCCTGCCTTGAATATGTCCTTTTGATGGCCTTCCAAGGCCTGGCGGTGCTCCTGTGCCGTACGGGTCTTCTCTCTCATCAAATATTCTTTGGGCCCCATCTTCATGATCATATATGACAAGTTTGAATTGGAGGCGCTGCGTGATGGGATTATAGAGTGTATTGACCAAGTACTTGCGTAGGATGGTTACTATACACATTGTTTACATTCTACGGGCACGTTGCTATGGGCAAGCTCGACGCGTTGTTGCTATGCTGGCTAGAGAATAATAACATAAGATCAGTCTCTCTTCTCTTCTCTTTCTCTTCCTCTTCTTCTTCTTTCTCTTCAGAGCTAATGTTGACGATTTTCCCCCCTTTTTATTTACTGCCCTTCGACGTCCCCCCTTACGACGAACTGCGCTGTGACAATGGGTCGCGTTAAGAGGTGCGTGCTTGCAGATTTCTGCTCTGGCGCACATTGTTTACTGACAAGATGTTAGTTTCCCCCGTGCCCATACATTTCGAACAGGTGGGGAGGAGCGGCACAAGGCCGCGTTGAAAGAATGGGCCATGAAGAAGGCCAATTGGCGTAAAGCCAATAAAGATGTTGACCTGGTCAACTTTGACCAGGAGAACCCCCGCCCCCCCGTTCATAATTGGAAGGCCGGCACTTGTATGTCAAAAAGTAACGATTTTTGGTAACAGTCTCGATGCTAATTGGTGAAATAGGTGCAATCAAGAAAATCCACCACTTCCAAAGCTCTACCGAGCTAATCTTCCCGGTGGCCCCGTTCCAGCGATTGGTTCGGGAAATTACTTTGTCCTGTTACCAAGGACATGAATATCGCTGGCAACGTACTGCCATTGAGTCACTTCAGGAGGCCGCTGAAGCGACCTTGTGCGCTCTGTTTGAGTGTAAGTCACCATTGGCAATGGCACCAGCAATTATACTGAGTAATATAGGCTCTGTTATGGCAATGGCGCACCGTAAGCGCGTTACGGTCAACACCGATGATATGAAGCTCGTCCTTGGCATCAGTGCCAAGATCGGGTCGAACTATTTCGGCCCGATTGATGCGCCTGATCGCCCCGCCCCTGCCGCCACCACCCGCCGCCTGCGTGCTGGCCCCGCCCCGCCCACCACCGCCTCCCTGCCTCCCCCCGGCTCCGACAGGGTCTCCGCCCATCAAATGGCGGGTATTAGAGCCCCTGTCCGGTTCACAAAGCCGGTTCTGGCGGAGCAGGAGGAGGAGGAAGACGATGATGACAATGATAATGACGATGATGATGATGACGAAGTTGCCTTTTAGGCAGTTCTTGATTGTTTGCTGGCTTCGGCCATTAATTAGTTTTAAAGAGTTTGTTTTTATTTTTCATTTCCTTTACAATAAAAATTGATTTTTCTAAGAGTTCCGCCTTCATCAAGAAAGTAACAAAATTTGGTAACGGTCCACGCAAAATTTGATCAGTTTGACTCTTCCCTATGAATTTGACATAATGGGGCCGGGAAACCCGGTCACATCACGGTCCCACTATGGACCCGGCCGGGATGCGAAATGGGAGCCTACCTTCTCTGCTGGGATGGGACGTGGGACATAATTTTCTATTTGAGGACGGGACTGGGAAATAGTTTATGGGATAGGGATGGGAACGGGACCTCAAGCTCTTGAGTGGGATGGGACATGGGACTGAGATTTCATATTTGGGATCCCGGCTGTTTCTAAATTCGGGACCGGGACCAGCTTCAATGGGAAATGGGATCCCGTCCCTGTCCCGAATACCAGCCTTTCAACTTAAGAGCTCCGAGAATGAATATTTGTATGCCGGAAGCAACAACATAAAGGTTGAAGGTTTGGGGTTAGTTTGGATAAAGATTCAAACGCCTAGAGGACCGGAGAAGATCGGACTAAGCAAGACGGCTTATATACCGAATTTCCACACAAACCTCATCGCCATGCCCCTACTATGGGAAAAGAAGATCTATTTTGACAATAGGAAGATGCTCCTCATGAGAGACAACGAAATCCTCGCAAATTTGGAGCTCAAGCACTGTAAGGTGGTTGTTGAATGGAATAATCCTGATATAAGTACGTAACTACTCCCGAAATTACGCGTTCCATATTCACCACAAACTCCGCGAACAAACCTAACCCGAACACGGATCCTTCCAACCCCGAATTAACCGAAGAATCAGCCGAACTATGGCACCAACGGCTAGGACACCTTGGTAGGGGACCTCTAAAGCATCTACCATACGCGGTAACTGGCATAAAAGCAAAAGACTTGAAAGGACCAGCAGGAACAGAATGTGAGCCATGCGCGGTCACTAAATCTTGTCAGATCATTTCATGAAAGCCAATGGATAAGGCAAGTAGACTATTCATGCATTTGCATGTTGATTTGATCCAGTTCACTAAATCTTTGGATAACTTCAAGTATCTTCCGCATACTTACTGCCTGTATATGCATATCCACAATGCTGAACCTCTCAAATGAAAATCCACGCGTTAGCAGCTTTGAAACAGATTGTTAGGAAGATAAAGAGGGTTTACAACCTAAGGGTGCTGGTTATACACTTGGATGGAAAAACTTCTCTACAAAAGGCCTTTACAAACTGGGTTACAGAAGAAGGCATACACATTGAGAGATCCCCTCCCTATACACCACAGCAAAACGGACTGGCAGAATGGTCAGGAGCCTTAATATCTACAGTGGCTTGAACTATATGTGTAGCTGCCAATTTGCCGGAGGATCTATGGCCAGAAATAACCAAAGCAGCAGCTTATTTGTTGAACAGAACCCTGGTTAAAGCTCTAGAATGTGAAACCCCTTTAACAATGTTGGAATCCTACCTTAATGATAAAGCTGGAACAAATAAGCCAGATACCTTGCACTTACACGCCTTTGGCTGCAGAGCCTACCCGCTTATAAAGGATAACTCAATTCCAAGAAGCCGCAAACTGGCTGCAAGAGCTGAAATTGACTACTTAGTTGGATATGAATCCACAAACATCTTCTGTATATGGATCCCACGCAGGAATGAGGTGATCTCAACCAGGGATGTTATGTTCAACAAAAAGATCTTCTTCGACCCTAGAGAAGTTGCAAATGAAATAACAGACCTACAAAAGGAACTACTAACTAACCTGGTTCAATTAGAAAACTTTACTAGGGAAGGATCTGACATTGCAGAGTCCTCAGATGAATCCGACGAGGAGCTTATACAATTACAGTCCAAGGGACCTAAGAATTCAGGAACTAAGGGGGTAGATCCCTTGGAAATTGACAAAATCAACGGCTTACAACTGCCTACACCAGATCCTACGCCGGCTCCTACATCTCAACCGCCCCTAGTTCTGGATACTGCTCCAGATTACGCTCCGGACCTTCCAGACCTTGAAGATATAATACGGTTCCAACAGCGCAGAACCTCGCAAGTCCTGCTGCCGTCACCGAAACAACACCAGAAGCAGAAATGCCTGGAGGGTTATAGTTCCCCGAATGCTTCCATAGCAACACCGTCCGCTCAAATACTCAACCAACTTGAAGACGTATCCCTTAATGAGGAGTCTAACCCGGTGGACAATCTAATGATTTCCCAACAAGGGATCCAGGAAGGAGTCTGAAAGCCTACAAGGACCAGAAGCAGAACACTGAACAAATGAACCCAGAGGAATTATAGGACCCTCTAAGAGGGAATGCAAGAATCTATATGGATTCCGGATTAACAATATAAAGGATTTGGACAGCTTATTCGCAAGCTTTATGGCTGGAAAGGAACCAACACACTGTCTACACCAAGAAGAGATCCCGCCGCCTCCCAAGAGCTATAAACAAAACATCTGAATAGGAAGGAATATGAACGAGCTATGGAGGTTGAAATGCGGAAGCTCTGGGAAAAGGGCTGCTTTGAGAAGGTTCCAGCTACATGTGCGGAAGCTGACGGGTTGACCCCAGTGCCACTAATGTGGGTGTATGACAACAAATTCGATGCAGATGGATTCCTTTTGAAATATAAGGCAAGGATTGTGGTATGTGGAGATCTTCAGCCAGCTGCAGATGCACACTTATGCAGCAACATTGGCCATAAGGGCACTAAGATTCATAGTTAACCTGATGGTGATTTATGACTTGGAGTCCGCCCAATATGATGCTGTGAATGCTTTTATAAATGCCAAAATGGAATCAACTTTATACACTCAAATCCTGGATGGATATAAGAAGGGTGAAGAAGGGAATGTACTGCTAGTCCTAAGGGCTTTATACAGCACTACAACCTTGCCACTACTATGGAACAAGGAACTCTCCGGCATGCTCAAAGGTCTAGGTTTCAAGCAAATCCTTGACGAACCGTGCATATTTACTAACGGCAAGCTGATCCTCTACTTCTACGTTGACGATATTGTTATACTCTACCACCGAGAGGATAAAATCGTGTTTAACAGGAATATACAGCAGCTTAAGGGCTTATACGAGCTTCGAGAGATGGGAGAGCTTCAATGGTTCCTCGGGGTAAGAGTTATAAGGGATCGAAAGCTCCGGAGAGCATGGCTTTGCCAGGATAGTTATATTGAGAAAATTGCAACCCGTTTCCATATTGCGGATCCGAACCATACAAACTGGCCAAGGACACCGATTACAAACGAACTAGGACAAGCGAATCTGCAAGATATCCATGCATACCAATGCAAAGTTTGTTCAGCTTTATACGCTGCTATTGTAAGTAACCCGGCCAGACATAGCCTTTGCTGTAAGCAGATTAAGTGAGGCCATGCGCAACCCTGGACCAGAACATCATACTGCAATCAATCACATTATCGCCTACTTATACGCAACTTGGGGATACGGCCTAGGATTTGGATACCCCCAATGTGAAGTCTTTGCCCCATGAAGTGGTATATTATTTCGGAATATAATTTTCCTGGTGACTGAACTGTGTTGTGGATCCTGAGCTCCAGTCTAGACAGGTATACTCAGATGAAGAGTGTGATGGAAAATCACTGCCGAGATTTGTGTAACCCTCTGCCGCTAAAGATGATCTTGACAGGAAGAAATCGGAATATGAGAAATCATTCAAGGCCTCTCCACTTGGCAACAGCTCGTTTTTCTCCTGGTCGCGGTAGTCCCGAAGCTCTAAGCCCATTTGTCGTTGTACATACGAGACACTGTTTATGAATCCCATTACCGCAACGTTGATGTCTTGACCTCTGTGTGATACTACACTCAATTTATGGCGGTCCCGGGGGCAAATTCGCCATTGATAAAAGAACGACGTGGCATCGAGGACCGTTATATACTTACATCCGACTATGGCGCCGATAATTTCTTCTTGCCTGGCGGCCGGATAGACATCAGGTTCCACGATTTGGTTAAGCTTCCTAATGTCCACTAAGTACGTATCTGTCTTTCTGCGTGGGTTTTCCGTCCACGATCAATCACATTCTCCATGTCACAAAGACTGGGTATCCGCTAGAAGTATGGTTGCTCGCCCATTCCATTTTGTCCTTGCTCATGGAGCTTATCGAACGTCTCATCAACTATTTCACGGTCTTTGGCACTCAACGGATAAACCCTGGCCCTTTTTTGAGGCTTTTTGCCTGGCAGAAGTGATATCTTCATCCAAAGCTCTATGCAGATGCTCTGGAGACTGCAATCACAATGACCAACCATTTACTAACTAGGACTACCCTTTATAACTCACCGGAACCCAATGGGACTACCTTGAATTGTGATATCAAGCCTTCACCATATCACATCCCCTTTTGCGCCTAGTCTAAAGCACCACCTCACACACTACCCTATCGAAAATCCGGACCTAAGGCGTACACCCATCTATATGGAAATGCGAAGCCTGTGGACAAGCTTAGCCCTAGGTAGAAGGACTGCACTCTAAAGGCTAAAGCCCCCTGGCAACCCAGTGTGTTTGGCTGAGAGTGCTAGAGAGACAAAGCTGTCATGGCGGTCTGTGCAACAATTGCCGTCCGCTGTGGAATTGGCGGAGCAGCACCTTTTTAAGATGATAGGGTGGGTAAAAGGCAGCATACCGCCACAGCTACCATCATACGTCCGTCATGAACAGATTTCTTAAACATCATGGCACTATCATCGTCGAGTTCATCCAAAAGTCGGGCTTTAATCCACCAGGTTGACCTGCTCTCAAAGATAAGCAGGAGGCCATGAGGGCCATAAAGACGCAATAAGCCAATAGCTCGCACGGCTTGTTCAGCAAGTCAGTTGGTGGTATTGAGAATGTTGGAGAATAGTGGAGTAACACACAGAGAGCTCAATTGTGCTACGGCCGCAGTCAAAAGACACCGTGTTTGCCATTCTAATAGTTTACAGGGAAAGCCCTTTGTATGCTTTTTCTAGCTGCTCCTGAAATGCTGAGTTGTGCGAGGGAGAAGATGGACATTGGAAATGTTGACAGCTTGCCAAATCTGTGAATACTAGTCTCTGTTTGATCCTGAAGTCATCTATGGTGACCAACTACATATATGTGTCAACATCTAACAAAAATACATGGGCTTAGCTGTCTTCTAGACCTCCATGTATTAGTGATGTTTATGTGGTTGTAGCCAAATCATCATTTCTCTGTTAATATTCATCAGTGTTGATGGCCCTTTTGTCTGCTTTCATACTCCAGATCTTGATGGATTTCAGCTCAGTCCTTGCCCACTACAACATTATCCTTAGCCTCTTAGGGCACTGAACAATTTATCAGAAGTCAAACTTTTGGCTTTTTAATTTCACAGCACTATTTTCCACTCTCAATGATAACAAAATCCGTATTGTTGTCTTCTTGAGCGGAATTGTCCTCGTCCTGGTCTTCAGATTCTTCACCCTCCAACCCAGCTTCAACAATTTCCGAATCCTTGTGAGAGGCGGCCCGGCTGCGATCAGCCATCATCCAGACACTATTCCTCGCCAAACGCATCCTGTCGACTTCGCGAGCTTCAAAAAATTTGAATGTAAGTTTCTTCACCCGGATACCAAAGATCTGCTCTCCAGGAGCCACGTAGCGATTCGTGGCTTCCCGCCCTTGTTCGTACCTGCCAGAGGCCCCCACATTACCAATTGGCATCCCAGCCGCAAACTCCTCTACAGGCAATGAAAACTGGCCTGCATAATGTTGTGCAAGTCGAGCACCTCCCTCGGTGCTCGTATCGAAAAGCGTGCGAAGGCCAATCACAAGATATACATTCGAGCCGCTCTCAATCTGCTCTTGAAGCCATTCCCGAACTTTCTCTTCTTTGCATAACGTGTTAAACACGGCCGTAGGTTTCCTGAGCGTGTAGATCCGGCCTAAACGTGCAGAAAGACGTAAATCAGAAGACCCCGTGCGCCCAATGGATAATTGTGCAACATGAGAGAGAAATGCTTGCACCCTCGCGTTCATATGACGCTGTAGGAAGGCGGAATAATCACGTACTACCTTAACGGTATAGTCCTTCGGTGTCAATGGCGTGGGGGTTTCAAGGGCGTCAAGCTCTGGATCCTTGATATTCGGAATCAAGCTTGCCAACTGGACGTCTTCTAGCGAGAAGAAATGATCATTGAGAACCCAACACGATGGCATCACGGCGGATAAAATGCCTGGTATTTTTCAACACATGCACATTAAGTGAGTACATAGACCTAGATCTGTGAAGTCCAAGCGCCATGACTAACACGTAGGTATCAAGGTTGTTGACGAAGTGAACCTGATATCCATATATATATGTAGTGTGCGGTGTAGTGGCGTCAAGATAGATGAAGGAACCAATCATCAAGAATCCAAGACTGAAAACTAGGAGCTACCAAAGAATAGGGGGTTCCACCCATCACACTTTGCCTGATGATACATAAACCCTGTGCCCTTGTCTCCTAGAATCATTAAAATTCCATGAACTTGATCTGAAATGCATCAAGATCTGGAGACCAAACATGCAGGATCACTGACGTCAGCACTGCATGAGCTACCGAGTACTCCATATGAAGTTGCGTTGACATGGTAAGTACGGTAATGACGGAAAGGTTTGGGTGGCGACAGACTGCTGAGGTAACTTTTACCTCTGGCTTCAGAGTAGACAATAACATATCATCTGCACCTATTTTCAGGTTATCTGTGGATTTTTCGGATGCTGTGACAGGCCCTATGTATTGAAGCCTTATGTTTTACTAACCTGACGTAAATTTTCTTCAATACTCTAGTCAATGGAGGGCTGGAAGGCGAATCCGGGGATAGCGCAGGGTTATAACAGAGCTCATCTACCACTGGCAATTATGATCACCTGAATTGGGCAAGGTATCTATCTGAACTATCTTGACATTATTTACACCTTTGAGACAGGCTTCAGAGAGGTGGGATATTAGTTGTTCTGGAAGAAGCTGTTTATGCTACAGGAAAACTTGTGGATATTGTTGACTTGTCTCTCTTGAGTATTGAGCGTTTTGTCCAATGGCAGCTTGAGAGAGCTGAGGAAACAGCAGCCCCGGACGAGGTTATCCGAGTGATGCAAGTTACATGTACCCCGCATGTTAACTTCCCATGATGACCACAATTGAACAATGGATCTGAATTCCTATGCAAACCGGCTCAGAGACCGGTTTGAGAGAACCGGACAAATAGCACTCTTGGAAGAAGCTATCCAACTTGAACAGGAAGCTGTTGACCAAACCGCTCGTGATGACCCTAGTCGAGCAATGTATTTGAACAGTCTGAGTGTCCAGCTTGGAGCCCGATTTAAGAGAATGGGAGAAACATCAGACCTGGAAAAAGCTATCCAACTTGGACAGGAAGCTGTGGATTGCACTCCTCATGACCACCCCATGCGAGCAGTGTATTTGAACAGTCTGAGTGTTATGCTTGAAGGCCAATTTGAAAGAACAGATGCAATGTCATACCTGGACGAAGCTATCCAACTTGAACAGGAAGCTGTAGATTGCACTGCTTGCAACGACTCTAATCGAGCAGGTTATCTGAGCAATCTTTCTAAGCAGCTTGGAAACCGATTTAAGAGAACAGGAAGAAGATCAGACCTGGAAAAAGCTATCCAACTCGGACAGGAAGCTGTGGATTGCACTGCTTGTGATGATCCTGATCGAGCAATATACCTGAATAATTTGGGAAATCGGTTCAGACACCGATTTGAGAGAACAGGAGCAATGGCAGACCTGGAAGCAGCTATTCAACTTGGACAGAAGGCTGTGGATTGCACTGCTTGTGATGATCCTAATCGAGCAATGTGCCTGAATAATTTGGGAAATCAGCTCAGCAACCGATTTGAGAGAACAGGAGCAATGGCAGACCTGGAAGCAGCTATTCAACTTGGACAGAAGGCTGTGGATTGCACTGCTTGTGATGATCCTAATCGAGCAAGATTTCTGAGTAATCTAGGAAATTGTTTTGAAGCCCGATTTGAGGGAACCGGAGCAAAATCAGACCTGGAAAAAGCTATTCAACTTGGAAAGGAAGCTGTGGATTGCACTGCTTGTGGTGATCCTGATCAAGCAATGTATCTGCATAATCTGGGAAGTTTTCTTGAGAAACAATTTGAGAAAACGGTTGCAATGTCAGACCTTGAAGAAGCTATACAACTTGAACGGAAAGCTGTTGATTGCACTCCTCATGATCACCCGAACCAAGCAGTGTATTTGAGCAGTCTGGGAGCCCGGCTTGGAAGCCGCTCTGAGATACCAGCATTGACGGCAGAACTAGAAGAGTTTGTGCAATTTGAGGAGGCTGTGTATTACACCGCTCGCGATGACCCTAATCGGACGTTGATTCTGGATATTCTACATGAGCTGTTGGGAGATCGATATCACCGAACCCATGCACTGTCGGACTTAAAAAAGGCCAGCCGACTTGCATTTAAAGCTTCGGATTGCACTGCTTGCGATTACCCCGATCAAGCAACGTATCTGGATAACCTGGAAAGATGTCTGAGAGAAAGATTTGAGAAAACAGATCAAATGTCAGATCTGGAAGAAGCTGCCTGTTTTGGACAGCAAGTTCTGGATTGCACTGCTCGCAATCACCCCAATCGAGGAAGGCGTCTGGATGACCTGGGAATGCAACTGGAAAAGCGACTTGAGAGAACCGGAGGAAAAATTAGAGATTCCAGAGGATCTCTTAATCTATTTACTGAGGCCCTGAATATATATAATGCTAGGCCCCTTGATCGTATCAATGCCGGCAAATATGCTTTCATCTATTATATCCGCGACAGCAATTGGAAGAGCGCACGGACTGCCTCTGATGCGGTTGTTGGCTTATTACCACGATTGAATCTCCGGTGGCTCTCCAGATACGATCAACAGCATCTTATTAAGAGCCTCACACGTTTCTCATCGCTAGCGGCCTCTGCTGTGCTTCAGGCGGAGGGCACTCCAGCTGAAGCGGTTGAGATTCTCGAGGCTGGCCGCGGTGTGATCGCCAGTTTTATCATCGACGCCCAGAGCGACATCTCACATTTGGAAGAATATAAGCCTGAATTATATTATGAATACATGACGCTTCGCCAGCATGTCAATGTACCGTTCTCAAATATTGCCGAACCCGAGATTAGCCCTTCAAGCGGCTTGACATCCACAATACAACTTAGCACACATGAGTTGCAGTCAAACGTTCACCGCTCGATTACGCAGCGCCATCGGGACATCGAGAGGTTGGAAGAAATAGAGAGCAAGATCAGACAACTACCAGGATTGGACCGGTTTCTGCTCCCGCCAACTTCGACTGATCTGATGGCGCTTGCTGTTCGTGGACCGATTGTTTCCTTCAACGTTACCATGTATCGAAGCGACGTGTTCATCATCACAACGTCTGCAATCGTTGGTATGCGTCTTGAGGAGCTTTTGTTCAACGATCTAAGGAAGAATGTTGACAAGTTGCTCGGAAAAAGCAAGTTATCAGTCGGCAGACCCAGCACGAAATCTCAAAGGCAAAAAGAGCTTCAAAATATCCTGGGGTGGTTGTGGGATGTTGCAGTATATCCTGTTCTCAGTCAGTTACGATTTATTTCACCTGTTCCTTCGAATCCTCTACCACATATATGGTGGGTTACAAGCGGGTATATGGGCCTTATGCCTCTCCACGCGGCAGGACACACAGACGAGACCGCTTTGGATTACGTCGTGTCCAGTTACATTCCCACTGTGAAGGCCCTCAAGTATTCCCGTGAGCAACAACTTCGACGCCCACTTGAGCCAAATCTAAATATGCTCATTGTCACAATGCCGGAAACTGCTGGTATGGGGGCTCTGAAAACCGTTGAGGAGGTGGAATCAATCTCAAGGAGCATCTATCCTATCGTTCCCACAATTCTCAACAAACCGTCCAAGAAAACCGTTTTGAACGAGGTTCGCACACACCATATGATACACTTCTCATGCCATGGAAATTCTGATTCAACGGATCCGTCAGCCGGCGGATTATTTCTCGGACCGGGTGAAGATGGACGGGCGGAGCATTTTACGGTGCGAGAGCTTGCTAATATCAGCTATGAGCATGCACGGATTGCGTTTCTGTCCGCATGTTCCACGGCCGAGAACTCGTCAGAGGAGTTGATTGATGAGGTGATACACCTGGCAAGTGCGTTCCAGCTGATTGGGTTCCCGCACGTTATTGGAACTCTCTGGGAAGCCAGCGATAAAGCGGCAACTTGGATTTCCGGCGCGTTCTACGAAAGTTTGATGCGCAGCCTGAGAGAAGATGATTTTCGTGTTAGGCACGATGTCGTTGCCAGTGCCCTCCACCAGGCTGTCAGGAGGCTGAGAGAAAGGATGAGAAACGACTTAATCTCTTGGGTACCATTCATCCATGTCGGCGCATAAGGGGGGAAATATGTTTTCACCAGGTGAGATGGTGGATGACCAGATTCTAGATGGTGGATGACCAACTTCTGTATGCAATGTGGCACCTTCGGCGCGGGATTGCTAGGATTCCACGTCTTTCTTTCTTTGAAGATCAGACTCAACGAATGAATTTTCAGACTTTCAGCTGCCCTCCATTTGCTATTGTGCCCTTAAACATGAGCTTCTCGGACCTGGGCTCCTCGAACAGTGCGTCAAAAATTGGTCACTGGGTTCAACTCTGTCTCCCGGGCGTTCATCAAGACGAATCCCACCAGGAGAAGGGTCACAACTGCAAGACGATCAGGCTGTTTTGATAGCTGACTGTCGCTGCTGTCACGGACTCCATATGACAAGGGACCGACTGACATGTTCTCCTGGATGGGGAATAATACTGGCCGCCGACGCATGGAGCAAGGACGCCACGCTGGGCGAGGCAGCTGCACAAGTGCTTCATATTCACTATAAACCTCAGTCTTAACGACATTCAATCATTGCTCAACATATGTGTTGAACTTATCCTCAGGCCATTGAAGGATCTTCTCTAATAATTAATTCACAGTCTTAAATATCAGCCTGTTTCTTTTGGTATCACTTCTTGATCCAAGCAATTCTTGTGTTGTCCCTGAGAGTTCTGTTGAAGGCCTCATCAGGGTGGTGGACCTTCTCATCAAGTGGGAAGGCTCAGCGCTTGCCTTTGTTGGTCTGCCTTGGGCAGTTCCATAATGGTGAATTGCTGACATCTTTTCTGAATTATCTTGCCTCTCAGTACCAGATCGACCAACGACCAACCACTGGTTATGAACCCATTGCTTGTCCAAGACTGATAAACAGGCCTTTTACTTGAGGCAGACTATGGCTACCGCTAACATGTTCCGTGATTGGTCATATGTAGTGGTGGCCTGATCTCTCTGGCCGGATCACCCCTAAAATTAAGTCTTTTGGGTGAAAAAAAATAAGACATTCAGCCAAGTTATTGTCAAACAAATGTTCCAGGAATAGCAAGACTCTGATATTCCACCTAGAGATTCTTCTTGGTAACCTAATAGCTTTCAACGAAAGGCCACATCCGTCGCGCTTCTTCTGGGGATTTCTCGGCCGCCATCTGTTTGATGAACATATCCAGTAGTTCCTGGTTTTGCCGGCGCTTTTCTATGATGTCCATCTCGGGAGGTATCCATCCATCTTCATCCGTATCCAAACACTTCCTCGCTAGCTCATGAGCCTTATGCCAATCCTCGTATTCCCTGAACTGGGAATCATGCTCTTCTATCTCCCCTTGGCTGAAGGAGTAAGGGCAGTCACCAGTAAATCCCAGCTCATGCCAGTTCTCGAAGATCTCTATAAGACAGGCTCGAAGCGGGATAACTCCAACTTCTGAAGTTTCACCGCAGCGCTTGAACAGTTCCCGGAAAACGCGCGGAAGGTTCATCGCGGTATGGGCAGGCCTATTCTCAAGATAGTTTGAAACTTCATATGCCTTGGCGGCTACAGCTTGCTGCTGCTCATACCTTGCCAACTGTTGTTCTTCCAGGTCCAGCTCATCGAAGTTATCAGGAAGCCCCGGCTTTTGAAATCCTTGAGCATAATTTTGCGGTGGTTCCAGGAAGACTGGCCATCGTGCTTGCAAAAAAAGCGGAAGGATGGATATTGATTGCCAATCAATGAGTGAAAGGATCTGCGATGGTTCATTTGGAGACACATAAATGTTTCCCATATGAAGATCCGTATGCCAGATGACAGGCTTAGCGGATTTTGCGAGAGTGGGATGCGAGTCCAGTAACTTCAGAAGGTGTATAGTGCTTTCCAGAAGGCCCTTCCGCTCTATAGGACTTCCCTGATAGAAAGTTCCTGGGTGCGGTGATGAACCATGTAAAACACGGAATATCTCCCGCTTTGCGATCGCAATACCATACGCAGATAATGTAGTCCCTGAGAGCATATATTAGAATCAACGTCAAAGGAATAACGAAAATATACTCACATGGTCCTAGATCTATTTTGGAGTCATCCCATTCCTTATAGTCATCCAGCATGTATGATCTGTCGCCTGAGCGGCCCACGCAGTATGATTCTGAGGGATCAATGTCCAAGTCAAGCAGCTTACATCCTGGAAGGTTCCCACAAAAAGCCCGTAGATACAGGCTGCCATAGGCGGGGAGCTGGATCGAGGAAAGTTCACGTTCAAACTTGGTAAGCTGCTTGATGAGCTCCAGTTTGTTGGGCTGAGACATCTCACCCCATATCTTGAAAACAGGAATCCCTGCTGCCCTCTCCATAATGATATATTCTACACCCACGGGGTTCGTGGGATCTGAGGACCACGTGTAGACCTCTGGGACTGGAACATTTGTATGTTGGCTCACTATGAGATACGTTGTAAGTTGACAGACATTGTGGAATGCAAGACCATTTGCATACCATATTTCAAAACAGCCACCTCTGATTCAGTAGTGTACACTGCCGGTCCAGAGTTGCGACATGGAATTTTTGCAATAATCTCCATTCCATTTTCCTTTTTCATTAAAAGGGCCTTGCTGAAGCCCCCTTCCATCTTTTCAACTGCATTAATGGGAGACTCTTCGCCTCCCGCCGTGGCAGCAACAGCGCAGAGAGCAGCCAGGTTAAACTTCACATAACGTCGTTCAAATTGAGTCCTCTCATTAACAAGAAAATTTCCATTTGTATACTCAAAGAGTTGTTCGTCACTGATGGGTTTGCCTAGATCATATTAACCAATAAGGAAAGCACCCGGTGTTCATTCAGTGCATACCACGACAAGAGATTTGTATATTCCGCCTCATTTGTTTCCCGGGAGCACCAATCTTTTGTAGGAGGAAGGAGATACGATTTCGCATCGTCGGTAAAGACCTGTCACAAATTGGAAGAATGAGAGATTCAACACCTAAGCGCTGTCGTAGAGACTGTTGCCTTTACAGACCTAGCCCCAAAAAGGCTAGTTTATACTGATGTAATCCAAACTAGTCTGTTTCTAGTACTTAAGTACTAGTTTACCTGAGCCCTCGCGGAGCCATGCCTCACAAGCTTCGGAGCCCCTTCAAATAGGCGCTGCGACAGTGGATAATTGTTGTGGAAATGGAGGTCACTGTGAGCATCTGCTGTTTTTCTCCTGGCGCCTGCAACAATCAACCAATGGATGGTAGGTGTTGAATTGATGACTGTGGTGAACCAAGGGTGCAGCACTAAATTGGACAGGCAGCAAGATGTACCACTTTCCATACCTTATGCTGAGGTGCAGTCAGTGGGAAAGGTCGGAATCTCCACCCGTTCAACTTGGACTAGCAAACACGACAGCCTGGAATGATCGTCTCTCTGATTCACCAGTTAGTTTGGGCCAGACAGAGAGGCATTGACAAGACTGAAGGTTCAGGCCGTTACAACACACCAACTGAGGGATTGCCCCACTGTTCATGCTTACTTACTTATCCACCAGCCTGTAAGTATGTGTAGTTATCTCCATTCTTCATGTAGAGGCACCAGTTGTCAGACTTGACCTTTTGAATCTTGTTTGGGTCCTCATATATGCTTACCAGGTGTTCAAAAATCTCATCCACTGTAGTGAACCTTTCTGAGTGGTCAATTTGCATTCAGGGGGCAAGATGCTTTGCAACATCTCCTGTTGTTCAGCTCTCAATGTAGGCAATCTTGCTTTTCTCATCAGCAAAGTAGTCACTATTGATTTGCAACTTGCTTTTCTGTATGGATGTAGGTCAACTAAGCATCAGATGACATCGGATGTTCAGGGGAACTCATATGACCCATAACTCTGAACATATAAGGATTGCATGATTTGCACAGATTGTGGGAACCTCAGTGTTCAGTCTCCTAGTTAGAGGACCCCTACATTCTACACATGACTCCCTCCCATCAGTTGCGGGCATCGGACCTACTTAGCTCTTTCATATCCCCCAATCCTGGGAACACCCACAAAATCTATGTTGGGTTCCCTAACATTTTCATTCAGAAGGCCCAATGCTTGAACACAGGATTCTTCCCATCAGAGAGGAGATTAGGGTCAGTCATCTTGCTGCTCTTCTTTCCACCAATGCTTTCAACACTGCTGGCTCAAGCCTGCATCACAAGATTGATAACTGCCTGTTGGAGGTCCTCTTCTCCATCACCAAGATGTTAGCCTGTGTATCTAATTCCTGAACATATTCATGTAGTTTGTTCCTCTTAGTTTGCAGTTGCTGCATGTTGAACCTTCCACTATCCATAGACTGTGCTATCTCTCTATGCACATGGTTGGTATCTTTCTCCAAGGCACACAGGAAGCCTTTCTTTGAGATCAATGTTGCAGAGCCCATGTTCTCTGGGTTCCATGCCATGAGCTCCTAGTCTGATCTCCAGACTTCTTTACTAGAGTTGGAGCTCACCATTCTGGTATTCAGTATCTGTTTGTTGGTTCACTCATTCATTCATTCATTTGTTCATTGGAGACTTTAACTGTGAATCTCCAAAGAGCCAAAGATGTTGTAGGTCTTAATATTATGTTAGGAGCTCAGCTAGGCGCTGTAGGAAGAGAATCACTGTTGCCAACTAGGTAGCTATAATAACAAAATACTAAGACAGGCTCTAGAAAGGGGGTTCAGGGTGAGAGCTCACTATATACACACAATAAGCTTCCATGTTGGATAAACATTTATTCCTTTAGTGAATCCTCTGCCTAGGGTTTAGGGCTTCGCCCTGGCACAACCTTCCACTGGTCTGCCAGCTCAGTCAGAAGGGTTGTAGTCCTCACAGAACCCATGTCTTGTCCTTCTCATCATCATAACCTTCCCAATGCACTCTGTACCACAGCTTGTGATCCTCTCTCTTTTGAGTGAATTATCTCGCGGATCTGATACACCCTCTCATCCTTGTCTGCCTCGCGAACTTCATGATGAGGTGAGCTATCTATTCCTTCACGGGTCTCGTGCTCGCGGAGCAGGGATACATGGAAACTGTTATGAGTTCGCAGACCTGGAGGCAGCTCCAGCCTGTAGGCTTGTGAGTCTACCCTCTCCACAATCCTACAAGACCCAAGCCTCAACAAGTCCAATTTCTTGTTAGGCTAGGTGGTCTTGATATTGCGAACGTCAAGCCACGCCTTCTTCTTGGGACAGTCTCTCGCGAGGTGCCCCTTTTGGCGACACTCAAAGCACTTCCCATCCTTCCTTAAGGCTTCGCGATCCTTGATAAGGTCCTTCCCCATCTCCCGTACGGGTCTCTGGGGTTGACTCCTCTTATCCATTGGCAGCCTTGAGTCATTGGTCTTCATACCTCTGCGAGCACTTCCAACTGGATTGGTAGGCTTCGCGTGTGGGGCATTCTTTGCATAGGCCACTGACACACTTGGTCGGAGTCGGGTAGCCAGTGCTACTATGTCATCAATGTCATCTGGTATTTCCAGCTGTTCATCCAGTTTGGTTCGCATGGGCTTATCCAAGCTCCATATAAAGAGGTTCTTCTTTAGCTTCGCGAGGTCTTCAAATTCTTCACCAATTTCTAATGTGCGCTCCAGGAATCGTCGGTGATAGGCATAGTCGGTTTCATCTGGACTCTTGCGAAGGCTAAAAAGTGCTCGCCAAGATTTTCGCGTGCGGTTTGTCGGATCTCCTAGCCTCATGTGTAGGAATTCCTTGAGGCCATTCCAGTTGTTCTTCAATGGGTTCTGTTCGCGGTAGACCCCCCAAAGCTCGCTCTCAATATAGTCGAGTCCAATGAGGGCGTACGCGAGGGTCTCCTCATTATTCAATCCGCTGGCGTCGCGAATGGATTCAATATTGGAGGTGAACCGCCGGTATTCTTTGTAGGTGCCAGTCTGGTAGAGCTTTGTGTGTTGCAGTGGGCTCAAAACTGACGAGCGCTTCGCGGGTGTTGGATTGGAGGTAGCTATATCAAGGGATTCACTTCGCAAGTGCTTTTGGCTGGTTTGGAGAGTGTCATTCAACTTTGCTTGCCATTTCACCATTTTCTTTAGTAGTTTGGTTTTCTCGCGAAGCTGTTGGATTTCATCTTTTGATGTTAAAGTAGACTCTCTCTCTGAGGTCGCGGAGTTTGTTTCAGTTTCGTCGACGGTTGAGAGAGCTGAGGTGTCAGGATTTGTAGTCTCCTCGCGAACTAGGGTAGGTGGCTGTTCAGGTTGGTTCTCTGCTGGCGTACTAGGTTCGCGAGTCTCAGGGGGTTGGCTTCTTTGTGTAGAGACCATTGTCAGGCGTCACCAAAGGATGAGTGGCAAAATGTGAGGATCGTACTTCGCGGATCAGCGTGATAATGAATCTCTAGTAGGAATTGTATGTGGAAAAGGAATACACAAGGTAAAAGTCTTATGTTCTTCTGGCAACTGTGTACGACCGTAGACAAGATTGTCACTTGGCTTCCATTGCTTAAGGGGTTCGCGCAGTGCCTCTATGCGCGCTTGCGAGCACGTGACTTAGTGTCTCGCGGGCGAGGTACACATCCACTCCCATCAAGTGTCTGTGGAAGGGGTTCGCGGGCGAATCCTTACACCTTTTTACTACGGTCGCTACCCAATACCTAGTTCCCCTGACTAGTGGCGTGGAAATCGCTACCCTATATTCGATAATGAAGTCCCTGAAATCGATACAAATATTGTGTCCCTTAGTAGGGCCAAAGCCGCTGGAATTGGATTCAATACCCTTACTGGCCTTCTAACGCGTGGCAATGAGATCCTAGCTACTACCGAATTCCTTCATAATCAGTGGATACTAGAATATCATCCCTGTGAGGATTGACCGGCAGCCTTTGCTACTACCAAGAGATCAGCCAAACGCTTGGTCTCTTCCGCCCTCAATGGAGCTTTGGAGATCACGTTTAGAATACGGTCAGGATGAACAATTGAGCGATTGAATTGCTCCTGGCAAAAGCTACGCAAGCCAGCAGGCCATCCAGACTTTGAATTCTTTGTACAATTCACCGTTTGCGATGCTCCAGCTTCAAGGTGCTCATCTGTACGTGTATGTATATGGCTAAATCGAATCGCGGGGCGTATGCTATTAACGTTGGTCTGAGATTCAATAGGATCGTGGCTCTCCTCGCTTGCTCTCTGGCAGTAGCAGTCCATCCGGCAGGCTATTCGGCACTCTGTTCGGCGGGTTATTTGGCAGTCGGTTCGGCGGGCTATTCAGCAGGTTGATCGCGGTTGAAGTTGGCATTTGAGCTGCTAATGTAGGGCTTCCAAGCGTTGAATTGAGCTCCGGACCCATAGCCACTAGTTAACCAAAGCTGGTTAATCGTTTGTCGAATTTCTTGATTAAACTTCCAAACGAATTCGTTCGAAAAATCGTTCGTGAACGTCGGATATACTCGGTGTGAACATTTTAATATAAACTAAGAATCGAGATTATCCACCAGATTATTACTGAATTAGGCAAATAGTGGAACATTGAGCGTTCAAATCAACGTTGCTAAATACGAAGTACATCTAACCAAATAAATCAGAACGGATTCCTCTCCTCACATGTTGGGTTTGGATTTTGTTAAGCGCTAGTTGACACGAAAGGTTTTCTTCTGTGTTTGGATTTTGAGCATTTCGGTAGCAGCCGATTGGTGGAAACCTGTTTAGTTTCTGCCGTCTTCTGATTGGCTGCAGTCTGGACACTATACCACGCTAGGCCAAATTTAATCTAATTGTACCTTTCTCTATCGGGTTTAGTGCCTTCCACCGCCCCCTTTTCTTGCTTATCTCAGCACAGCTGGGGCGGCGCAAATACGTTGTTCCGCGGACCGGCGGCGAAGGAGTCCTGCAGGGCGGCGATGGCGGGTGAAACCTCGACGAGCGTTGGAATTAAGAAACCGACGGCAATACCCCTTTGCGCAAGGGGGCGCAGCGAGCTGGTCCATGCGCTCTGTTTGAGTGAAATTCCCGGCACTTCCGAAGCTGGTTCGTATCGGCTTGTTGTCGAATACGATCATCCCTCTGTAGTTTTTTCGTGTTTCGATCCTCTCGCATTCTCGGCCAGCTCTCACCGTGTAACGGCATCTCGTCCGGGGTAGTTACTCGACGCTCCGCATGACCCCATCGTCCGTGCCACCCAACTCAATTCCACAAATACATAGCACACAGACATATATCCCTGGATACATGGAGCGCAAGAAGGGTGGAAGCGTCCGGGGCAAAAAGGCCAATGGACGACGAAAGGTCGCCAGCCTCGTCGTGGATGACTTGGGCGCTGAGCGAGGCAATATCGCGATGAGACCAGAGGACACAGCGGCTTCCAGCAACGGCCAGAACGAAGAATCGATGACGGAGAGCTCTGACGGAATGCCGACTCCTTCCCCAAGCCAATTCGGCGGAGATGGCCTCTCCGTCGACCCCCAGCGATCGCCCAGCTCGACCAGAAGGCCCAATGCGTCCCGTAAGCCTTCGTCGCCCATGGCTCCTCCGTTTATGGTCTCGGCTCCCGGAAAAGTGATTGTCTTTGGTGAGCATGCTGTTGTGCACGGCAAGAAAGCGATGGCTGCCGCCATCTCTCTCCGGTCCTACCTCCTTGTAACTACACTGTCCAAATCCCGTCGAACTGTCACCTTGAATTTCCGCGACACCGGCCTGGACCACACCTGGGACATCGACTCCCTTCCCTGGGACGTCTTCCATCACTCTTCGAAGAAGAAATTCTACTACGACCGCGTTACATCCCTAGATCCTGACCTGCTGGACGCCATAAGACCGCACATATCGAACGTTTCGCCGGATAAGCCTCCCGAAGTAAGGAAAGTACACCAGGGATCAGCGAGCGCTTTCCTCTACCTCTACCTCTCCCTCGGCTCACCACAATCGCACGGCGCGATATACACCCTCCGATCGACGATTCCAATCGGTGCTGGTCTGGGAAGTAGCGCGAGCGTCTGCGTCTGCCTCAGCGCCGCTCTGCTGCTGCAGATTCGCGCCCTGGCTGGGCCGCACCCAGATCAACCGTTCGATGAATCAGAGGTACAGATCGAGCGTATCAACCGCTGGGCGTTTGTCGGGGAATTGTGTATCCACGGAAACCCAAGCGGCGTAGATAACACGGTGTCGGCGGGGGGAAAGGCTGTTATCTTCCGACGAGGTGACTACTCTAAACCACCGATGGTTATTCCAATCTTGGATTTCCCGGAGCTGCCGCTTCTGCTCGTCAATTCTCGACAATCTAGATCTACGGCGACGGAGGTAGCCAAGGTTGGCACGCTGAAGAAATTACATCCCGCGATTACAGATTGCCTATTGGATGGAATCGACCAAGTCACAACGTCGGCACACGACTTCATTTCGTCAGAGAATTTCGATAAACATTCTAGTGAAACCCTGAACTATTTCGGCACTCTGTTTCGGATAAACCACGGTCTCCTCGTCTCCCTCGGCGTATCACACCCCCGTCTAGAACGCATCCGAGAACTGGTCGATCACACCGGCATAGGATGGACAAAGCTGACCGGTGCTGGCGGAGGCGGTTGTGCCATTACTCTGATCAGAACTGACCGTGAGTCGACTGCGCTAAAGCCACTCGAAAGACAGCTGGACGAGGAGGGATACGAGCGATACGAGACGACACTTGGTGGGCAGGGCGTTGGCGTTCTCTGGCCGGCTGTCCTGAAAAATGGCACCGACGAGGAAGGCGGAGAAGAGATTGACCAGCAGAAGTTTGAGAATGCAGTGGGAAACCACGGTATTGAACAGCTGGTTGGTGTGGGCGTGCCGGATGTCCGTGAAGGGTGGAAATTCTGGAGGCGTGGGCATCTGAGCTGATCCTGAGAGAGACTGTAGAATCTTCCGATGAGCTGCCGCTGCCGCTGCTGTTCATGCATAGCGTATTCTATGTATTAATTATTTATGCCCTCGGGCTTAATATCTCTACTAATATTCCCAGGCTGGTCCGCATGGCTTCTGCTTCGTGAAGGATTTTACCGTCTTCCAGTCCTACGCACAAGGAGGATAGGAATGGGGTTCCATTATTTAGATTCGGGTTTGTGTCTACCTAATGACTGTATGTAGATACCAGCCGGTTATAGAGCTAATTGGCCATTTCTGACGCATTGCATTGACGGTTGGAGACGAATGCAGCCTTAATTAAAACGAGGCCGACGATTGCGGCAATGTAGAATACTGCGTTTGTCAAAAAGTGCGGAATAAATAACTCGGAGAATGGCGAACTCGAGAACAATAGCATATTTTACTTCGCATTCTTTCTTGTTTTATTGTTTGAAGATTTTTGCCCCTCCAACCTCCGAGAACTATTTAACTATGAACCAACCAACTACAGAGCAGTTACTTAACTAGTTAACTGACAAAAACTCGAAAATATCTGATCTATGTGAGCCCTGGTGCTCTTTGCACAATACACCAAACGCATCTCCCGATAATATATTCCTACTTAACGCGGCAGCTGATTTGATCAAAGTCCTGAATAAGCCTGCTTTCATTGATAGGATCGCTCGCGACGTAACAAAAGACAAGCATGGGCAAATATTCTTCTTCTCCCCTCTGGTCCTCGCTCACGCCCATCCCCCTGGACGATGGGGCAAAGTACTATGCTCAGGGCTCTGGCTCCGGCGAAGACGGAGACGAAACATACCCTTTGGCCACAATCACATACACTGAGGACTATGCTGAGGCCACAGCCTATCTGAGAGGCGTGATGGCTGCCAATGAGATGTCGGAGAGAGCGCTGGAGCTGACGGCGGATGTGATTATGCTGAATCCAGCCCATTATACTGTGTGGTATGTTGCCGTTTGTTTCTACCAAAAGTGTTGTGTTTGCGATGGACCGCCGATACTGGGCTCAGGCTGGCATGTTACCCAAATCTTTGTAACATTCATTACCTGATCTGATCTGCCCTTTTTCTTCCCTTTTTTTTCCTCTTCTTTTTTTTTTTTTTTTTTTTTTTTTTTTTTTTTTTTTTTTTCCCTCGTTTTGGTGTACTTTCAAAAGCCCTAACCTTGAAGGTATGAGGGGAGTTTGCTTCGGATCGAGTTCTTTTCAAAAGGTTGCTCTTGAAGCCCTATCGTGACTGACCATGAGTGAACATACAGGTTATACAGAGCTAAGATAATCCAAGCACTCAAGAAGGATCTCCGCGAGGAGATTGCATGGTTAAACAAGATCTCGCTCAAACACTTGAAGAACTATCAGATATGGTCTCTACCCACCCACTGCGCCCCTCCTTGCAGCAACCTGTTCATATACTGATGCTCTTTTCCCAGGCATCATCGTCAACTGATCATGTCAGACCGCGAAACCTTTCCTGATCTTCCTGAATCAGAGCAGGACTTCCTTGGCCAAATGTTTTCCCTGGATTCTAAAAATTACCACGTTTGGACATATCGTCACTGGCTCGTGCGACATTTTGCCCTCTGGGACTGTCCGCGCGAACTGAGCGATGTCGAAAATCTGATCGATTCGGATGTCCGGAACAACTCGGCGTGGAATCATCGCTGGGTTCTGAAATTCGGTCCGCGAGGAGACAAGTTTGACTCTGGCATGCCGAACCCTACTGACCAGAGTGGTAACCGTGGGCGCCTTGAAATCGCCGACGAGGACCTTGTAGACACCGAGATAGAATACGCAAAGAGCAAGATCGTCCTTGCCCCAGAAAACAGGAGCCCCTGGGCTTATGTGCGAGGGGTGCTTCACGCAGCAGGCCGACCGATGGCGGAACTGAAGACGTTCGCGTCCAGGTTCGTCGTTGAGGAGGTTCAAGACGGTGAGACTATCGACTATCAGGTTAAAAGCAGCCTAGCCATGGAATGGTTAGCGGATGCTTTCGCTGAAGAAGCCAAAGAGGGATACAAGACAGAGACTGCGAAGTACAAGATCGAGGCGGTTAAGATGCTGACTTTATTGAAGGAGAAGTATGATCCTATTCGGAAAAATTATTGGGATTATCGGATTCACATGATCAAGAATCACTGATGTGGATTGTTCTTTTGACCCTTTTTTTTTTCTCTCTTTTTCTCGTTTTTCGACGAGCAATCTTTTGATCCGCAAGCACTGTCTAATCTATGACGCCCGTTGGGTACAATGCCAAAAATCAACGTATCGTTAAGTTAGAATTCTTCCCACCCTCGAAAACGCCTTACATCCCATCGCCAGAATATCAAAACAGGTAGTAAACATAGCCACATTGGACAGTAGTGCATTAAATCATACAGCGGTCACCTGGGTAAAGCTCTGTCATGCAAGAATGCCATTTTCAGCCCCCCATCCCTCATCGAGTTTCTGCCGCCATTCCCCTGCCATCTGCAATGAGACATTGCTTCCTCCACATACGACAATGACGACACGAGTATCGGGGCCAAAGTTGGGGATCAATCGGCTAAGATACGATTGAACGTCCGTTGCTTCGGTGCCGTAATCGTTCAGGTTATTATTGACGGCCTTATGGGCACCATTCACGCGCTTCTCTGGGCTCTTGCGGGTCCACGGTGTTGGGCCAAGCGCTGCTTCAACGCATAAGCCGCAGGCCAGTTCAACCAGCAGTTTCTGCTCCTCGGCCAATCTCAATACACCCTTTGCAGCATCTGCGTCTTGTAGAACCAACGTGTGCACCTTGACCCCGGCCGGCGGGTACAGGGCATTATCTAGAGTTCGTTGAGCAACGCGGATGGCCCCTAGGGACGTAGCAAGCGATGTTATGCCCGGCAGCGAGACCAGTGAACGTTTGGCGACTGCCTGGGCCAGGGCATCGGCACCATGTGTCTCCGTTGCGATGATGTGGATATCCTTTCCTGTCTCGGCGGAGTTGCTGTATGTGGAGCCGGCCCTGGCTTTGCCGTACATTTGTTCTTGGCGCTCGATGCCCTGGATGATGCCGTTCATGAGTCCGCCACCGCCGACGCTGCAGATGATCCCATCGATGGGGAGGACTTCGTCTTCAAATTCTCCAATTCCCATCTCGTGCTCGCGCGGAGGCATCTGGTACGCGAGTTCATCGACCATTGTACTAACACCCTCCCAGATCTTCTCGTGGTCAAACGGATGTAACGCGATCGGGACGACCGGCTTAGCATCGCCGTTCTCTGCTGGCCTTCCCCGAAGTGAGTCCATGATGGCTCTCATCTCGATCGATGCTTCATCGAGATTTGCACCATGTTGCGCGACTGTGGCGCCGGCTTCCTGTAGTTTGTTGACCATGACGGGTTTCGTGCTGGTTGGCACACAGACCGTGCATGGGTACGAGAGTGCACTGGCCGCCGTAGCAGCCGCGAGGCCTGCATTACCGGCGGATGAAATAAAGAAATGAAGCTGCTTTCCTTGGTTTGCTGGGTCTGAAGCGTAGGACAGGACAAGATTGCCGATGGCTCTGGGGTTGCAGGTTAGCCTGAGCGGCGAAATTGAAAGGGTGGAAGGAACCTACCTTGACTTGAACGAACCGCTGGGTTGGAGATTTTCAAGTTTGAGAAAGATGCGACTGCAAATCGTGGATTAGAACCCGCTTCCCCTTATCCACCGTATCGAGAGACATACCAGCCCGCCATCCGCGACATGGAAGGCGACTCAATCAGCGGAGTCTCAACCCATGGCTTCGGCCTTCTCTGCTGCCGACAATCCTCAAAGCTACCCATTGTGGATAGGGAACGATGTCGAAAATTAAAGTGAAGTTAATGAATCTCCCGACTCGGAGGCTGATGTGGATGGAAAGTGCAGATTGAAAGATTCTTATTTATCTAATAATTATACAGTAATATGAAGACGAGAGATTTCTCAGAGGGTACCCTGGTGGGATCGAGGGTTGGTCGATCAAGGGCAGGTAGATCTCCTGAGACTTGGATAAATGCCACGGGGATATAGGATTGGTCCAGAGTCCCGAGAATGATTATATGAGGATCAAAACATCCATGATTGCCGGCATAGTGGCTAATTTATAGACGGGTGACGAAGGACCCAGAACGACCAGGGAGGATTTGGCTATTGTCGGAAATAGAGTGGGTGCATGAGACATGGAAATGAAACGGTACATCGCGGGGGATTAAGATTTCGATGGAGTAAAAACAATCAAGGAACGGAGAGGAAACGCCATGCTGGCGCAATTGATCCTCTGTCTAGATGGAGACGCCGGAGTCTAGTTTTCTGGGTGGAAGCTGATGGACCGGCGCGCAACAGTCAAGCGACGCCGGCAGATTCGGGTTTAGCGTACGCGGTTCTGCTTGGCACGATGGACTTTCCCGAGCCCACCGCCCTGGGGTTGCTGCGGTTTCCCGTCGGAATCCGAGCCTTGGTTTACCGGCGAACTATCCGCAAGCTTCGAGGGAAGACGGACGCAAAGCCAAAACTAAAAGCCAAAAAGGGAAAAAAAAAAAAAGGCGCAAAAGACAGGAGAGTCACCGCGGTTAGGGCTCTCAGGTGCAGCGTTCTAGATCATGTGTCGGCCGACATCGCGTCCTTGGCCACCTTAGAAGTCGGTGTGCGTGAGTACGTTGGGTGGTCATTATTCAGGTTAGTTGAACTGGCACCGGGGAACGATCGAACACTAAAAATAAAATCTGCGAGGTTGGATTTGAGTTCGTACTGTGGCCGGACTTCGGGGGACACCGCCAAAAACTAACTTCCCACAATGCCGTCATAAGTGTCATACTTCAGCCGCGATTTCCATGAGGACTCGAAGACGCGGATATCTGGTGCTCGCGGATTGATCAATTCTCAGTCACAAGAGGGGGGAAGAGTGTCGCTTCTGTGCCCTTCTTCAACTCCACCAGCGGCACGCCGTAGTGCTCATCCGCGCCAAAGATCGCTGCTTCGAAACTTCTCTTCTCAGGATCCCCCGCAACGCCAAGCATATCGAGAAGTCGTGCCGATTTCTCTGGCATGAACGGCTGTAGGAGAATCCCGGCAATTCGCAAGGATTCTGCGGTGTTATATATCACACGGCTGAGTTCAGTTGGCTCGGTGTTTCCAGACTGTTCAGCCATAGACCAGGGCCTGGCTTCTTGAAAATATTTATTTGTCTTTTTTGATATAATTGTCAGCGATCATATGGTCTCACCGTGTCTCTAGTTCGGGCTAGGCTCCTTTCTCACCTCGTGAATAATGCCTACTACGCTTTCAGCCGCCTTTCGTGGGTTCAAATCGTCCATCCAGGATCTTGTAACGTCACGGATCCCTTCCAATAGCTGCTGATGCTTTCGATCGGCCTCAGACGGCGGCGGAAATCGGCCTTCCACGCCCCATTCTATGCTTCTTCGAACGTTCCATTTTTTTGACCGCACAAGTCGACTTGTCAGATTCCCGACCCCCCATTGTAACGTTTTCTTGTACCGCTCGGTGACAAACGCATTTTCATAATCGGCATCATCGGAGAGACCTCCGTCGTGAGCGAGGTAGAATCGCAGCGGATCCACGCCAAAGCGGGCTAGCGCATACATCGGATTCACCACGTTACCGGTAGATTTTGACATTTTCTCCCGCCCTATCGTCCAGTGGGCGTGGGACAGAACTTGGCGTGGCAATGGAAGGTCTAGAGCCATGAGGAAGGCTGGCCAGTAGACGCAGTGAAACCTAGCATCCAAATCAGCCCCTGGACAAGCGTCCGCCTTTTGACTTGAACGAGCAAATACCTAAGAATGTCTTTACCAACCACGTGTACGTTCGCAGGCCATATACTTTGGTTTTCCTTCCCGGGAGTAAAAGGATATCCCGCATACGTGAGATAATTGATGAGCGCGTCAAGCCAAACGTAAATCGTTTGAGTATCGTCACCGGGGACACGGATGCCCCATGTTAACCGTTGGACTGGTCGTGAAATCGACAGGTCGGTCAGTCCTGACGATACCGACTGCACAATATTGTCCATGTATCTCTTCGGGCGGATGAACGTTGGATTCTCACGGTAGAAGTCGAGCAGTCTATCCTTGAATGCGGAAAGCCGGAAGTGATAATTAGTCTCGGAGAACCATTCTACTTCTTTGCCTGTCTCAATTGTCGACTATCGGCCCGTTAGCCTTTGTTACTGGATCCATGCCCCGATTTCATACCATTATTTTGCGACCGGTCGCCGGGTCAAGCGTTGCATGGACGGCGTTGGAAGGGTAAAACGTTTCGTCGCTCACGGAATACCATCCTTCATGTTTTGCTGTATAGATATAGCCCCGATGGTCAAGCATTTCCTAGTCTAGATAAGCCAAACTTGTTTTTGATCGAGCCTAGCTTTTATGCTCACCCAGAAGTACTGAACTGCATCGCGATGCTCGGGGTCTGTGGTCCGAATAAAGTGGTCGTGCTGAACATTGGCTTTTTGAGCCAGGTCCTATTATGCAAGTCAGCACTAAACCGAGATCTCATGCATGGGAGGGGTGGTACCTTGAAGGTCTGGCAGTTCTGATCACATAGTTTAATGGGCTCGAGACCGTGCGAAGCGGCCGCTTGCTGGATCTATGCCTTGTCGTTAACACCAATGAAGAAACGGAGCGTAGAGCTCGGCTATCAGCACCTTTATCCCATGCTCGTCCGTCCCTGTAAGCAATTGGGCATCGTTGTTGCCGAGCAGGACTTGCCATCTCTTCAAGATATCTGCCAAAACGAGGGTATACAGGTGTCCGACGTGGGGTGCTACATGATACAATCAGCATCTATGGATTTTATGAATCATGCGTTGTTTCTGGGGGCGTCTCACAGGCATTGACATAGAAGATGGGCGTCGTAACATAGTACGGCTTTCGCTGGTTGGAGCTGGCGGACGCTACGCCGCGCCTTGTTAACAGCAGGATGGTACGTCGACACGGAGCACGTTGCCAAGGCCTTCTTGGGGATTTGGGGAGCCTTGATATCAGCGGCAGTACGCGGAGTCCGAAATCCAACATATCCGGTGGTGTGGTTGCGAAGTAGAGGTGTGGATGCCAAACTGTTTGCGCCGGGCTCAGCGGGTGACAAAAAGCCCAAAACTCTCTTTTGTCTTTTTGTGGTCAAAGCTTCAGAACTTTGCATGCAGCCAGAGAGCTCGTTACGGCCAGCAAGTGTCAACTGCCTCAACGTCCAGTTGGGCTGTTATTTGTTTGCTCTATATCGGGATAGGCTATCAACCAGTTCATTTCGCATCGAGAAGTTTTCTAAATCTTCCATTTTGGGGGGATCGCTGCCATACTTACACCTCCGATATGGCTGCAGTGACCGAAGACACGCTCACAAAAGTGTCCACCGATGGTAATTTACACTCCTCCTTGCTTCGTACCGCCGAGTTTTGCATTATCGAGTCACATTTACTAATATTCCTCGTAGCTGCAACTGACTTCGTTCAGTCGTTCTACTCTGCCCTCCAGTCTGCCCGGCCTACGATCTCCAGCTTCTATTCCCAACCTAGCGCGTCGATTCTCTTCAACGGAAACGCAGTTGCCGATGGTGCGGCTGTTCAAGATATATTTATGAATCAGATGCCATCTACATACTACGAAGTTCAATCTTACGATTGTCAAGTGCTTAACCCGAGCTATCCTACGGCCGCAGGGCTGCAGCCTGACATCCAAGGGCGACCGAGAGGCGGGGCAGCAGCTGCGAGAAACATGTCAATTTTGGTACTTGTGAGCGGTTACGTTCGATTTGGAGAGGGTAAAGAATCGTTTGACACGCCGAACCGAGGGTTTAGTGAAACGTTCGTGCTGGTGCCCAATCCCCAGGCTGATGGTGGGTTCAAAGGGAGAGGGAAGAAACATTGGTTAATCCAGAGTCAGAACTTCCGACTGGTTGTCTAATAGAAGCTGCACTCTATGGCTGTCCGCGGATCAGGAACCTCCCCCCTTTCTGCTTCTAGCTCCGACCAGGTAGGGTCTTGCTACGGGATTGACGAAACGGGAATGTGATGGGAGGGTTCAATAATATGCGGCTTTACGTACGCGGGGGCACCGGCTATCCAACAAAGAGAAAACATAAATTACACAAATTTGATGCAAATGAAAGTATGAGAATTCGGCTCGATTACGGTTCTGACTGAAGGACATGGAGCCATACCACTCGGGGAGAAACGCAGTCTGAGAGCAAATCACGTCATTGATGACGGACGCATATTTGCATGAACTCGCTCAAGCAGCTCCTGCTGTGTTAGTACGTCACTCGGAAGAAGGTCACGCTGTGAATGGGACAAAATGTTAGCAACTGTGAAAACCATTTCCCCTCTGGTTCCACTTCGGATCGCAGGACATGATTACCGCTCGGAGCCATCTCTTCAATTCCTCTGGCGTCCAGAATTCTGGGTCTATGGGCAAGCAGGCAGGTTACGTCCTGTTCCTTTTGGTAACGGATCATGCGCACTTACTTCCTGTCGGGTCAGGCTCCGGGGGAAACATCTCGGTTCCCCAGATGCTCCATGCTGCAACCGCAGTTATTATCCCGGCAAAGCCTTGAGACCGAGTCAGAGATGCATTGGGAGATCAAGGTTTGCAGGGTTCACCAAGCAGGAGGTTCTATAACAGGGCATGTTATTCGAGGAGTCCAGGGGCCTGATTGTGCCTAGACGGGGAAGGCATATTTTCTACTTCGTACCTTTGAATGCAACACTCTATCGAGCTTTGTAGGCATTGTATGCAGAATAGAGGAATAGACACGGGCGTACAGAGGACTAAACGGTCAAGGAATTTTTGAGTTTGAGAAAAAAGCGGCAGCCTTGACACGTTTTGGATAGTTCCTGGGGAGAGAGAATTGCTATGACGAAAAGCGACACCAGCTGGCCCAAATCTAAAACTAGCAACCGAACAGGCATAGCGGGTTTGCTTATATAACTAATCAACCGATTTTAACTTGGTAGTTAGGGCTTTTCCGCCAAGCCCTAATTCGCCCACAACGGCAGGGCCGGCGAAAGCGGCCAGCGAGTCTTCATCCCCTCCACAGACAGAAAGCAATCGCCGGTCTGCTGTCGTTCGTCGTCAATCGCCCACCATGCCGTCCGAAGTTTCCGATATCAAGCAGTTCATCGAGATCTGCAGACGCAAGGATGCCTCCTGTGAGTGAATCGCCCGGTGCCCAACGCAGCTGAATCGTCCGGACCCGCGGTTGATCCATCGCGAAACCACTGCTCTTTACAATTGAAAGTCTAACCGTTGCAACCGTGTGTGTCTAGCTGCCCGCATCAAGCGCAACCGCAAGACCAACCAGATCAAGTTCAAGGTTCGATGCAAGCGTTTCCTCTACACCCTCGTCCTGAGGGACTCCGATAAGGCAGATAAGCTGAAGCAGAGCTTGCCTCCTGGTACGTGACTCCGAATTTTGGTCACCGCTCCCTCCCTGAATTGTCCAAAAACGCCAATGGAAACCCCCCTGACGGGATTTTGCAATCAATTTGGCGTTTTCGCCTCAAGCTATCCCGTCGGACCTTGGTCTGCTAACATGCCTTCCCCATAGCTCTCAAAATCGCCGATGTCTCTAAGGGCGGCGCGAAGAAGAAGGCGATCTAAGGCGACCCGTATGACCTGAGGTGTTGGGATTATGGCGTTTGAAAAGATATTGAATATCATTTTGATAAGGGTAAAGACGGTCAGGTCTTAATGATGGGTTCAAACATACATGTCTGTTGTGTTGGAGCGCATCTCGCCGGAAGAATGAACATTTACGTGGACGCCATCCCGGCACTGGTGTTGTCGTCCACCGCGACCGGGCGGTTCCTGGCAGGCTTTATTGTCAGCGATCAGTGGTAATAGGGATGTTTCTAGTGTCTGTTCTAGGGCTCTAGCCACAAATGCATCATCAGCTAATTCTAGATCCGATTTTTGTTCCTTTCATGGGTCCGCGGTTGATCAGTTTAACCTTTCCCCCCCTTTCCGCCCCCGGTGATTCATCAAAAAGAGCCCATAATCGGCTACCTATGTGTTTGGTTACTGCGAACATGCTGGGGCCGTGCCAAAAAGAATTTGACCAGGTGTTAACACAAATAACAAACCAGAGGATCCAGCTGTCCATCGAGAATATATGTAGCTCGGTACACCGAACAGCTGAGGCACATCGGCAGATATAAGCGTTTTTCACAAAGTGCTCCCACTGCCTGATGGACATACTTTTACGATTATAAACTTGTATGGCTTTGGGATTTGCTGTGAGATATTCAAAATTCGGATCATGGATAGGACTACAGTCGCTACGCAAGTACCTGGTATATACAGCCGCAGCCGGAATCGGACTAGGAGACCGGTACTAGTCACAGTAGGCAATTGTATAAAGGTGTCAGATGTTCGAGGCCTTCCTGGATGAGTTGCTGCCTTCACTACCCTTTCTCAGCTACTGTTCTCTCAAGACACAATTTGACAGCGTTTTCATACTTCAGGGCTTTCTCGCTGGCCACGGATCCGCACCAGTTCATCGCCAGGCTGGAAGTGTAAGATAGAGGTCGGTCACCTATTTTGGGAGACTTTGGCTGGCGTTGGCTACAGCCGTACCTGGGAGATATGCTGATGACTGAAATAGTAGGTGACAATTCCTGTGGAGGGCGCAGAAACGGCGCAGGACAGGCGCGAGACAGGATTTCTTCCTTGGTTAGTCAAAGATGTCATAGTCCTCCTAAGGTATGTAGTGAATCAACACAACAGTATAGACTACAGAGTAGTTAGTTAGCTACCTTTTTTCCCTAACTTACCATTTTTAGTTCTATGGCAAGAGACATTCTGGTTATGTCTCTAACAGAGGTTGGGGGTAGAACATGTTTTCAATGTTGCTCATGCCTCGGAGACTGTTGAGACTCGGTAGCTTCGGTAGTTAACTAGTGTCATTATGCGCGTCGCGCCAACATTTGATTTCTTTGATTGTGGGTGATTGAAGATGGAGAAGCTATCAAGTGGCTCATGAATTCCATAGTTATCCATTAGTTACCCTACCTTCTCTGTACTAACGGGACATTTGACGCTCAAGAAAACAAGGGGTCAATTACATGGTGTATACCCCGTACCATGAATCTCATTGAATTTTTACGCAAGCGGCCTGCAAGCTATAAGTACGCTATTCGCCAATGATTCGCGCAAATTAACCGTTCTACATAGAATTTCATTCTGCCCAGTTCCACCATCAAACAGTTTGAATGCGACAGCATCTTCCGAGACCAGCCGGCAATGAAGCACCCAGACGAATTAATCAGTTAACTGTCTCGAGGCCAGCCACAGGGATGAGGGGTGATCAGGTTCACTAGTTAGTTAACTAACTAGATACTTATTAGCTAATCCGCTGTTATCCAACCCGCACTGCAACGTCGACATCGCTGCCCCGCACGCCGGAATAGAGTCGACGGATGGAGAGAGAAAGAGAAAGAGAAAACGAAATAAAAGCGTTGAATGGATGAAGATGGCGACTCCTGCGAATCCACTCCGTGACCCAAATACCCTCTCCAACTATAACAAGTTCCGCACTGTCCATACCAGTGTCAACTTAGAGATCCGCTTTGACCAGAAGAGGCTCGTTGGCAATGTGATCCATCGTTTAAAGTCCTTGACCAATGCCGAATCAAAGGAAGTCATTTTTGATTCCAGCTACCTGGAAGTCAAGAGTGTCAAGGTCAACGGGGAGGCGGCAAAGTGGCAGCTCTTGCCGCGTTTTGAACCCTACGGCAGCCCGCTGAAGATCAGCTTGGAGCAGGCAATTCCCCTTGACGAGTTAATTGAGGTCGATGTATGTGGAAAGACATTGATATATGCTGTCGCCTTTTGGTGGAAGCTCCCGCGCTCTGACAGGCACGACATCAACAGATATCAGTCAACACGACCGAGAAATGCACGGCTCTGCAGTGGTTGAATCCGGAGCAAACCTCCAATGGAAAGCACCCGTATATGTGTAAGCCCTCCTTCAACGCATCTGCTCGATGAGTTTACTGCTTTCTGAACTCATATCGGTCCTACAGTCTCGCAGTGCCAGGCAATCCATGCTCGCGCCATCTTTCCATGCCAGGACACCCCCGACGTCAAGGCCACCTTCGACTTCAATCTCTCTTCACCACTTCCTGTTATTGCGAGCGGCGTGCCCCTCAAACAAGACGCGTCCCCTCCGCAGTCATCGGGTAGCATTTATTATCGTTTCGAGCAGAAGGTTCCAATCCCGTCATACCTCTTTGCCATCGCCAGCGGGTATGTTCCCTTGGCGTCTTCCGGAACCTGACATTGTTTGAACTTTGTGCTTACGTCGAGTTTAGTGACATCGCGCAAGCTCAGATTGGCCCGAGGAGCCATGTTGCCGTGAGCCCAGACAGGCTTGACGAATGTAAATGGGAGCTTGAGGGCGATACCGAGAGGTTTCTGCAGACCATAGGTGTATGAACAATGGAATTAAGATTCCCTAACGGTATGGGAATGACGCTGAAAAGCTCTAGGATATTACCTTCCCGTATGTATGGGGAGAGTATAACGTCCTTATCCTACCTCCGAGTTTCCCGTATGGAGGGATGGAGAACCCTGTCTATACCTTCGCTACTCCAAGTATTATCTCGAAGGTGAGACATAAATATCTAGATTGGCCTTGGGTTTATCAAATCTTGCGTCGAGATTGACCTTCTCTTTACACTATCATTAGGATCGGCAAAATGTCGACGTCATTGCGCATGAGATTTCTCACAGCTGGAGTGGCAACCTGGTGACAAACTGCTCGTGGGAGCATTTCTGGCTTAATGAAGGCTGGACCACCTACCTGGAACGGCGGGTATGTCTCCACTGTGTTTTTATATGGTACGGACATACATAGATTTCTGCTGACACGGTTCGTAGATTCAAGCAGCAATGTGAGTCGACAAGCCTTTTATTTCTTCGCAAGAGCTTGCTGATAACAAGCCCTCTTGCAGTCACGGCGAACCATATCGGCATTTTTCTGCAATCATTGGTTGGAAGCACCTCGTTGATTCAGTCGAGCGGCATGGCGACACCCACGAGTTTACCAAGCTCGTTGTTGATTTGAAGGGGAAAGACCCCGACGATGCTTTCTCATCGGTGCCATATGAAAAGGGATTTACTTTCATATTCCACCTTGAAAACTTGATTGGCAAGGATAAGTTTGATAAGTTCATCCCTCACGTATGCGAACAGCAGCCCCTGCATCATTAGCCGAGACTGACGATAGTCAAATTAGTACTTTACCCGGTTTAGGGGCAAGTCCTTGGACTCATATGAGTTCAAGGCGTGCATACTTGATTTTTTCGCATCTGATGAGGAGTCTCATGTACTTCTTAACAAGCTTGACTGGGATAGCTGGTTCTACAAACCTGGCCTTCCTCCAAAACCCAGTTTTGACACATCCTTGGTGGACGTTGTCTACGAGTTAGCAAACAAATGGAAATACATTTCCCAATCGTCTTTCTCGCCAAAAGCATCCGACATGGACGGTTTAGTGGCAAATCAAATTGTTGTGTTCCTTGAGCAAGTTCTTCTCTTTGATAACCCACTTACTCCCGAACAGTCAAGGTTCATGGGACAAGTTTACAATTTTGCCCAAAGCCAGAATATTGAAGTGTCGTACCTGTACCTGCAAGTGGGCTTGAAGGCTGGGGATGATTCCATTGTCGAACCGACAATCAAGCTGCTCGGAGAGATTGGGAGAATGAAATTTGTCCGCCCTCTGTAAGTGACACTAAGAATCAGTGCTTAGTTGCTGATATTTGTTATGTCTATATCTTCCATTTGTGCTGACTGAATTTAGGTACCGGACGCTGGAGAAATTTAACAGGGATATTGCTGTTGATACATTTGAAAAGCACAAGAACTTCTACCACCCCATCTGCCGGGGATTGCTTGAAAAAGATCTTTTTGGAGATAAAGGCGCATAGTCATGCTGAATGCTGGGTATGGGATATCCACACAGATTCTGCCTACTGCTACCCCAGCCACCCAATGCTTGCTCCTAGAGACCATGGCCTTTATAGACAAATGAACTTGCTTTTGTTAAGAGAGAAAGGCTGTACCAGTGGCCTGAGGAACTTTACTTGCGGCCCATTCTTACTTTTAATTGTCTATGCGTCTCATCATGGTGTTGATGATGGGGTACATGCTGGTGGCTTTGCTGCTGTTGGCATGAATTACTGTGACAGATTATGCTTTCACAGGTATACATGGAGTGTGCACATCAAATGACTAAGTAACCCAATTGCTCTCTCTCTTGCAGCTTGTTCAAGGTGATTAAGTGGTCCTGACAGGTATATCTTGAGACACTCTATCAGAAATCTCCCCAGGTGCAGCCCTTCAGCCTCAGAACAAGATATAGTAATTCCAGCAATTCATGTAATAGACCATTGTGTGATGAACAAACATATCACAGGATTTTTGGACACAATCTACTGCAAAGGTCACAGTTCCCTGGGGTGTTAGGGGTGATATTTCCCGAGGTGACAGCGCACTTGTCTCCTCTTCCGCCGGTCAGCCCTATCAAAAATCCAACTTATGGAGTCTGGCTGAGAGAGTGCCTATGAGTTCCCTTCAGCAAGGTGATCCCAGTCCATCTCTACGATTGCGCTGCAATGGGTAACGAGATTGGCCGGAGACAGAGTGCTGGCTCAGTTCAGGTCAGCTGTAGCTGCTATGAGGGGGGAGAAAGAACAGAAGGCACCGCAGCTGAGCTTGACATTGAAGATACAAGGGTCTTTCAGCAAATCCAAACTGCTCTGTTGAAAAAGTTTTACTGATATTGAAAAGTTCTCTATTCAGCACCCATCATTTTCCATTAAGTCAAGGCTAGAGCGTAATGTGTTTGCAGGCCAGTACATTGGATGAGTGAAAACCATGATATAGTTACTCGTCTGCAATTTACTGTTTGATTGTCGGCTCTGTTTTTGTCATCCCTGTTGCTCAGGGCATTGGCCATTGATAGAGGCCTGACAGTTCAAAGGTTTGTTTCTTACAATTACCACTTTGCCATTTTTTCGTTTTCCTTTTTCTTTTCTTTTTTTTTTTTTGGGGTTGAGTGCTAATATTGTAAAAAGGATATTCACAATGTTCCTCTTATACGCTGTCCTGGCTTCAATGGTAATTGGGCAGAAGAACGGCTTTTCCCCTGTGTTTGCTCTCCCAGGTACGGGTTTTTGTATTGGGTCTATGACTATCTGGGCAAGCAAAGACCAATAGCTACGTCCATCCACGAGCGCTGAGATGTATGTGCGGAAAGGTGCCCAATCAAGTATCCGTATTCCTTCAAGCTCCCGCGAATCCCTTACACGTGCTTCCGGAGATCCTCGCATCAATAGCCGGCATTGAGTACGCATATATGAAGGCATCCAAGTTGAAGAAATCGCTGATCATGGCCGTATATCTATCGACCGTGTCTGTGGGAGCCATAATCGCAGTGGCGTTCTCGCTGTTGACGGTGGATCCGAGATTGACCTGGATGTATTATATCACTCTTGGGATTGAAACACTCGCAGCCGGTGCAGTGCTACATTAGTATTGTAAACGCGTTTGCTCGCCGGTTCGATACCATTGAAAGTCTTTCTTAACCATATCCCCGGCTCTTGCAACTGCTAGGCTTGGTCTCTTGGAAAGGTCATTGTGACGGAGTGAGGTAACAGTGCAGAAACGCCCCTGTTGCATTTTGCTACTCCTTAGCAGATCGGTTTTGCCTCACCGCTGACTAGTCGATCCTCCGTTGATTTCCGAGGTGTAGAAAGTTGCTAAGAAACTTTGAATGAAACATGTGTTGGCATCTAGTTACAGCAATTCGGAGGGAGTTTGGGTGAAACAACTATCCGGCCGCGCTGTTCCCCCTGTGTCCGCACAATCGTCCACTATATACCATTCCATGGCTCATAAGGTCATTCTGTTATCAGTTGACCACATCTTACCAGGAAGCCGCAGTACCTTGACCGTTGGCTAGGAGTAACCCGTCATTGCCTCACCCAAACCGCGCGTACAGTGCATTGCCGGCCAGGGGAATGACCGCTCCAAACAACAACTGAATGACAGTATTGGCTGCCACTGCACTGGCAGCATGGATGGTGAAGGCATCAACTAAATACATATGAAGTGAAAAGAAAATTTACTCCGTCCCCGCCCCCAAAACTCATGTCTCGACAATGGGAACGATCCGATGGGTATCATATTAGCATTAGCCGACCAACCTTACCAGAAGAGGCCGACCGGAGCCAGAAATGGTCCTAGTAGTAACAGAGGCAGTCGATCTTCAATTCGAGTTGATCCACAGAGACCCTGCTGCCTTTTTGCGTACCAGTCTGAGAAAGAAGTCACAGAGAGCTGACCAGTAGAGAACCCGACCCCGAGCCCCAGGTAAGCAAGTCCAGCTTTGCCTGAGTTGAAGCCATAAATGTTTCTCCGTGTAAGTTGTCAAAAACAGGTATCAACAGTTGTAGACAATAGATAGGTGGAAAAGAGAGAATGACCACGATGGGCGATCGTATCAATATCATTGTCGGCCCCTGATAGAGCTTCTAATGAATCCCTCCACTGTTGAACACCATTGCCGAACTTAGTCTTCAGATAGCGTCTTGGTGCTTCTCGCAACGGATTCGGCTTCTGTTTAAGAAGATCTGGCGCGTAGGTCCCATTCATGAAGATAAAGCCTGCGATCGTGGCTACACTTACCCCTGGTCCAGTATTAACACCTAAATAAGGAAAAGGAAGTTGGGTCAATTATACATACATCAATCTCCATTCCAACTGAAGTGCCATGTATCCCAAACCGCTGGACTTATCTGAGGTATTAGTGCTTGGATGTAGAAGTGGATGGAAACACTTTGAAAATTTAAAAACCATCACACAAAGCCTTCGGAAAACTAAGAGCTAGAGCAAAGGACACGGTTTTTCAAGGCTTTCAACCCAATTCATTTTCTGAAATATACGAATATGGTCGTGTGGCGCGTCATATGAACCAGACTCCGGCCAAAAGCGTTATTACTTAAGTACATCAATGTGATGCCCCAGATCACCGAACACTTCCCGACACTGGTTCAGAATATTTCCCGCAGTAATGCACTGAGGAAGCCATCCTGTTTAGCGGCCTCTCTGGGAAATATTTTCCCACTTTGTTTTGTGTACCGTCTAAGCGCTCGAACATTTGTAAATTTGGGGATTGGGGCACCAGTCCGGCGAGAGTCGATTAGATCAAAAATATTGACGTGCACGCTGGCAAGTGCCTTTTGACTGGTTAGATTTCAATTCTTGAGATAGCGGCAGATACGAACCTTTTTGCATTTGGTGATGCTTTCAGTAGGCTTGGAAATGTCCAGCTCACGGCATAGCGATTGCCATTTTTCGAGGCTTGAGGTTTCAACGCCGTAGTGCTTAGCGAATTCCAAAGCACTAAATCTTGCCCACTCTGTACGGTAGACCTTAGAGCGGAGGTTCCAGTTCATATGACGCGCCAGACGAGCAAATTCATCTATTGCAGATGCGGATGGATTGGGCTGGAAGCCTGGGAAGCGAGAATAAAACTTGTGCTCCATGCTCTTAATATAGGGAAAACAGCACACGGAGAACAACGCGGAGTCACCTCGAGATGTGATGTTATGCAGGGATAAATATAACCCCCAGAATTCTGCCTTTGTTGGCCATCAGGCTAACAGGTTACACAATGAGCTGATCAGAGTACTCCGTACTCCGTAATGGAAATATCCTATTTGTGGTAGGACTTGACAAAATCAGACAGATCAGAACCAGTCATTCCATAAATTTTAGTTGAGATTCATTTGCTGGCATCTCCAACATTGTAGTAAAATATCTCAGATCTTGCAATATTACAGCAAGCTCCAGAGTATAAGCATACCAATAGCCAGCAAACGTCTTGGGTTTTGGGTTCGTGTTGTGTAACCATTGAATTGCAGGTTGCAGCAAGCCAGTTGTTGATGGCCACATTGCTGGAAATATGTACCACTGTGAGAGGGGTGACCTGCATCATGCAGCCATAGAGTCCCTGAAACTGTTAGGTTTGTGATTCTTGATGCCTAGGCCCATTGTTCTCCTTTCACACTACTAGCTGGCAGGCAAGAGGCCCAAGCGCCTGCAGCATGATTTGCTTTTCTTAGCACAGCAACAATGGTGTATCTTTTAGCCAACTAAGCATTGGGTTTTCACTGCAAACAAACCACAGCCAGGCTCAATCCCTCTCCAAAGCACTGACCTCTGCACAGCCCCCACACTTGTTTGGATGCCTCTCATCCAATCCTTCAGCTGGAAGCACAAGAGGCTGCGGGGAGAGCCGTCCCGCTCCAAGCAACCTTAAATGCACTACATTCGGTTTCACTGGGTTTTCGGCCTGGGAGACTGCCGAGATAAAGCATACCTGGATAACTGCAGCCGGTATTTCCGGTTCAACGTGGTCCGTGGGTTGGAGGGTATCGGGCTTGAAGAGTCGATGAAGAGCAAGGAAATTGCAGCAGCTACACGGCGGTATATTGCACCAAGGACGTGTTTAAGCTGATGCAGGCATGTGCGGGCAACCTAGCGAGCCGAGAATGTAAGTAGTCATCTAGAGTCCAAAGACCTTTACGTAGCTAAGTCACTCTGCGTAGGCATTGGAGAATACCAGACAAACTTTAGCTTTGAAGGCGTTCACCTAGTGAAAACATTTGTGGAGAGACCCGGCGAGATGGCAGAGCTCGAACGAGTACTTCTGCCGCAGAGGCAGAATATGCGACAGAAGATCTTTGTACTCCATGGACTCGGCGGCATAGGCAAGACACAGCTGGCTGTCGAGTTCACACGGCGACACCGTCGCAAGTTCAGTTCGGTGTTTTGGCTCGACGGAAGCGATAAAGTCAGCCTTAAGCTAAGCATTGCAAGATGCGCCCGTAGGATTCCTGCGAGCCAAATCTCAGATGCGAGCAGAACATACTCCATGAACTCTACGGGCAATATTGACAAGGTAGTGAGGGAAACAATGGACTGGCTTGCGCAACCGGACAACACTGAGTGGCTGGTGGTGTTTGACAATGTTGATCGAGACCATAGCTCGCACGCCGCAGACCCGCTTGCATATAATGTCCAACAGTACTTCTCTGGCGCGGACCATGGGTCCGTCCCCACCACGACCAGACCAGCGCCGCTAGAGCAGCTGGGCGGTCCGCAGCAAGCCAACAAGATAGATAGAGCTCAGGCGCAGGAAATCTTAGAGAGCTGGTATAGAAAAGAGCTCGGTAGGTTCTAATCACATTTGGAAGAATATAGGACTTGTTGGAGCTAACGGGTCCTAGACCCGGTCGAAAGCGAGCGTCTGTATAGTGCGCGCAACAGCTGACCAGACATATTGCACAAAGCCTGCTCAACGTGTAATCTGTCATCTCCACGTCTTCTTCTGCAGCACACGCGATTGTAACCATTCTTTCAAAAGATAAAAATATGTTTTCCACCTGGTCATCTTGCTGACTTGATTCTTCTCAAAAGCTTGCACCATAATGCAAACGGAAGCTTCGCAGCATAATAACCTGTCGCGCGTTACAAGGGCTTTGCTGTCGTAAATAACATCACTCCGCGGCCACGGACATTGCGCGCAGCAATCACCAGACATTGCGAAGGGGCCTCGGGCATGGGGCGCATTCTTCGGGACAATGTGCGCACGTGCTCCGAGCTTGCGCGCAAAGCCGTATCCACACTGAGAGATTCTCTTCTGTATTTTGCTCTTAAGCCCTGTGAAGAAAAGAGAAAGATTTAAAGAAATTTAAGTTATGAGGGCTATGAAAGATATGTACTTCTATCAGGTAAGAATCCTGAACCTTTTTGGTGAGATGCTTACATGTTGTGTTATATTGTACTCTACAAAGTAAAGAGTACTCTGTACAGTAATTGAACCTCATAAACACACTCATATACAAAAAATCAAGCCAGATAGAAATAGAAATGGCCTCTGATCATAATATTCCTGTACTCTATGGGGTACAGTCATCATAATAACCAATAAAAAAGTGGTAGAAAACCCCAGTAGTTCTGTGAAAGATTATCTACCATATACTTGATTTCACTACCAACTATTGAAGGTTGATTTATTGTCTTTATCTACATGCTCTTTCTTCCCATTAAAGCTAACAATGCCCTCTGAAGGACTGAGAGTCTATATCAAAAAAGATCATATGTTAATCTCCATACTTAAACCTAACCCAGGAACATGAGGAGAAATCAGCAATATATATTGAATACTGAATCAGAGAGTATGTACAAAATCTTCTGTAGTAGAAAGAATGAAGGGGCTGCACAGTCTAGTTGCTTTATTCCATCACTGGCCAGCAGGAAGAAGATATGCCTTAGTTGCGAGAGACATCTACAATGAGTTAGCATCAACAGGTCCTATAAACTATGGCAAACAGGGGATGAATACTGACCAGCAGCAAAGAGAGAGTAGCTGTCAGCATTGTTAAGAGACTGCTGGGCATTAAGTCTCCTGCATTGCTCATATCCGTAAGCATGGTCGACAGTGCCAGGGCTGAAAACACTAGGAGCATGAGTGAACTCGTGAACAATAACATAGCCATGGTCAGGGCCAAGACCGCGGTTGAGAACAGGAGGCAGACTCCAGTAGGCTGGGCAGTTGACAACATGGCTGCGGTCTGGGACAGTGTAAGCAATGGCACCCTGGCAGTAGCCGTAGACATCCTGGCAGAAATAGATCGTGCGGCCCTGGTTGGCAGAGCTACATTCCTGGGCAATGGCCTGGAAGCGGCGGGCAACATTCTGGCGCGTCTGTTGATTGGTGGTCTTGAAGTATTCCTGGAACTTCTGAGCATTCCCCCCGGAAGCTGCCTGGGCAGCACGCTGGGCATAGGTGGCACAGGTGCGAAGACCGCCTTGCAGGAGTTGGGCGTATTGACCAGTACAGGTCTGGTTGTCAACACGGGTGCGCTTGTTAAGCTCTGGGATGGCGCTAGCGACTCTGGAAGCCATTTCACCATCAATATCCATGGTCAAGGTATTGGCCTTAAAACGAATCGAGCTGGTGGGCTTAGTGCCCTGGCCATCAATGACAGGAATGCTGCCTTCAGCAGAGATCTTAAAAGAGCCACCGGCGGAGAGGTCAGATGTCTCAGCAATGTCAAATTCAGCTTCAGCACTGGCACCCGGAGCCAAAGTCTTGTAAGCCTCCTTCGGAAGGTTGTCAATGTCATAGTAGAGGTGGATGCCCTTGAAAGGAATGATAGAGCCTAAAAGTCAGTAAGCACTGGACTGATGTCTTGAAAAATATAATGCAGTATAGAAATATATACCATCCTTAGAGATCTGGACCTTGCGCACTGGCGAGGAGTCAAATAAGGTATTATACTTCACAAAGGACATCTCATGGTCAGCATTGTTGGTGATGATTGCCTTCACACGGGTGTTTCCAATGGGGATGAGCTTGACATCAAGTCCAGTATCACGCTCAGCCAACTCATTGAAAGGCAAAGCAAGTGCTTGGCCGGCCAATGCCACCAGGGCAATCAAAGAAGATGAAAGACGCATTTCAATGCAGGAGCAATGAGAACAGACAATTATTCCAAGAACAATCTGAGCGTTGGAGAATGGGATGCAAAAGAGTATGGCCTGCTGAAACAAACAAGAATGGCTTTCTGAGGAGCAGGTCATTGGAAACTTATATTCCATCTGACTTCAAAACCATCCCACAGAGTGGAGGACCCCCGCGGAAATGAGCGGGAGACATTCATTTCATGCCGGGTAGTTTGATGGTAGCAGCTTGCAAAAATCTCAGCCCCTGGCAGTATGGTTGCATGGCTGCATCACTTTGAGCTTGCCAAGGGGGAAAACTTATCAATATTGTCAAAGATCCGCTGATATCCAAGGTTTTAAAAGGCATTCAGTGACTCAATATCGCGGAGCTCATGTGCAATTGGACCACGCCAAGCAAAGTAAATATATTTTGCATCCGGATATTTCGGGTTTCGGGAGGCTGGAGAGGGAAGGGTTAAGTTGAGTGTTGCTGGTTGAGGTTGTATCATGTTGGTGCGAAAAGATTCCTGGAGGATCCAATTCAGTGCCAATTTATCAGACACCACATACATGCTGGCCTCTGCATGATCCATGATTGTTTCTCACTTAGCACTGGGTCACTAGTAAGGTACATCACTTCCGTGAAGGATGATCACTTGTCAGGGATTGTATCAGTTTAGTCCACCTGGGTACTCAAAGGTTTGTCTCACAGAATGGGGCCCCTCAGCCATGCAGACTCTTAGAAAAATATTATTCTGCAATCAGGATTCAGGTCTTGCATCTGGTGGAGAGAATCTTCGTGGTCATGTTTGGCTGGATAATCCTCAGCTTTAATGCGTGGAATGATTTGCCCTTCTTGCTCGTGGAAACCCTGCATGATCACGGACCTGGGTCTGTTCACCACTAGCCTAGTGTCCTTCTGTGACTCTTCATGATATGTTTGAAAGTCCTTTGGGAGGTATTCATGCATGGCTTGCTGGATGTTGTGCTTTTTGAAGAGCATCTCCATTGGATACAGAATTCCCACCTGCGAGCCGGCCAGCCCAGAGACAAGTGAGGTCACAGAAGACCAAAATTTCCAGCCTCCAAAAGATGCAACTTGGAGAGTGACCCTCAATTCACTGAAGTCAAAGAAGGGAGAGGATTTTCTTTTTCGGCTACTGTCCAAGGATTTACTGCCGAAAGTCTTACCTAGCTTCTTCCCCTTGCGCCTGCGGAACAGTGCTAAGGACAACAGGTTCCACGGTTTTTCGGGCCTACAAAATTCCAATATGGCTGGTGCCTTCCTCACGTGAAAGACGGCGATGTTAGCCACCTTTATCCCGCATAAGCTGCCCAATAGGCGGCTAGGATGGAGTATGACTAAAACCAAAACAACCTTACCAGCCTTACTCACGTGACCCATATAGATTAGATGAAATCCCCCTTTAGGTAACTAGCTTAGCAAATGGCAAGCATACATCAATCGCACCTAGTTAGCATCCAATCACAAGCATCCTAGTTAGTTAGTCCTCCATCATGGGGTGACCAACTGAAATACTCTGCAGATCCAGAGCGCACAGATCAGTGGACCTTGTAAATAAAGTTTGCGGACCTCAAATATGTCATGTGATGCTGACTAGAGAGGTCCAACCTGCAGTACTATAAATACCATAGTTTGAATTTTCAAATTATTTACAGTTTCTTCACATACATTAATTGATTGGGAATTGATTGTCAATTGCTTAGCAATTGATTAGCAATGTCTGCTTCATTTATAGATCCGACATCTAATGACCAACCTTTTGTGGCTGATATCCCTTCATCTGACGCCCAGAATATAAATAGAGATGGCAGCATTGACAGGGTATGAGTCAAAATGCCTGATAACTGTTTATCAATTGATTAACAAGCGTTAAGCCATTGTTTACCCAATTGACTGATGCTAAATCCCGTCCGATTACAACTCAAGTGCTTGATTTTGCCTTGGACCTTGATGAATATCCGAAAACCAATGAACATGGATACACATACGTTGTTAATATTGCCGGTTGTAGTAGGGAGGAAGCAGAGGATATGATACACACAGTTAGTTATATTCAGTGCTTATGAATCACTTGGCAACTGATTGATAATCATTTGGATATAGATTCAGTACTCCAAAGAACGAAATCATTCCCCGAAAAACATATTTTGCTCCTATCTTCAAACACATGTGAAAAAATTCAAATTTCACTGTACAGGAGTTAAAGTATGTGAGCATCTGCATACTAATTTAAAAACAATGCATCATACAGAGATGACGAATGATTTATGGAGGGCTTTCAAAGAATCTCAGAAGATTATAAGTCTTATCAAAGATGATCAAACAAAACGAAATGCATACAGGTAACCAATCACTTGTTAATCATTTGCCAACCAGTTAACAAACAATTAACACACTGACTAGTTATATCCGGAGTATTTCCTTCCTTTTCCGACAAGGATTGGCATGCAAGCAATCACAAGAGTCTTGTAAACCTGTGTTTAAACGATTTGACAACCCAGTGAGTGAATGAATCAATTGTCAACCGATTGTCATACTTACAGTATTTCTAGAACCCGGCCGGGCATTGTAGCCCTTATATTACATGCATTAATGCAAATGTCACATATCAACATGATCATTTTTTCCGTGCAATAAATGGTCGTACACAGCTTGATATGGTCTTCCTAGAAGAACTATTCAGTGAGAATGTGGTTAATGATTTTGAGGCTTGTAACGTTATTGAACCAAATTCTACACGAAAAAGAGATTGTGGTATGAAGTATTTACTAACTGATTTACCATCAGTTGCTAATTGTTTGGAAATCACTTAGGATTTGATCACCCACGTGGTTCTGGTCGCTTGATTTCTCTCAAGTGTTCAGTTATCTTTCATGCCTTCCTGCCAAACAATATTGAATCCTGTCCTTGGCTGCTCTTCGTTTCACATGGCAAACATACACATCCACCACCTCCTCCTAGCAAGCCACCTAGAGTTGTTATGAAACGCATAACACAGCTGGTTTCAAACATGATATCACCAAATCTAACATTAAGTAAGTATTCGTCAATCGCTTGCCAATCACTTTGGAATTGCTTACCAAGTAATTTAGCCTCCTTTTTGAAGTCACCGGCTCTTGAAGAACTTTGTCTTGAATACAATACATCCTCCTTGTCAAACATACATGCAAGCTTGACAAATATGGATCGAATATCCACAATTATCCGCAAACAACGATTACTTTGCTATCCAGAGGGACAGGGATATAATAGTGTTTTGCTGGAGCAAAGCCGTAATCCAGCAATTAAGGTTAGAATTACTCAATCAATTGTGAAGTGCTTGCAGACTGATTGTTAATTCATTTCTAGGAATATATTCAAAAGATGTATCAAGATCCTGAAGGTCTAATGATCATCTGCATATTGAAAGATCAGGCAAGATTACTCTCAGAGCTTAATTTCTTCGAGGTGGATATATCTTATAAGCGCCTAAAAGGCTCTAACCTAAATGAAGTGGTGTTTACAACTTTTCTGGCTCAACATGCAAAAGGTAAGTGTTTTATAACTGATTTCAAAGTGGTCGTCAAGCATTTGCTAACTGATTTATTAAGTTATTACGCTTGTGCGTGTGTTTACGGAGCATGATAGTAAGAATGGGTACTATCTTCTATTCAAGCGGGTATTTGATGTTATTGAAACACTCATTGGTCTTCCAATAGCATGGTTTCATTTACATGGAGTGGGAATTGAAGGAGTTGGATTAGATATGGACCGAAAACAAACAGATGGTATTATAACAAGTGTTTGATAATTGATCTTCAAGTGATTGACAAACACTTAGGCCTTGCTCTCTATCTAACTGAGATTGACACGGAGCACCGGGATCGAGATTGGCAATTACGCAATATTGTCATATTCTCTCGAGTACGTTTCATGCGTGGAATTACTCAGGCAGTTGGAGCAAGAGATAGAGGCATTGGCGTTTATAGTCGCATGGCAAGCTTGTTGGACTGCCATTCACAAGAGGATTATATGCAACTATGCAATCTACTGATTGGTAAGTGGTTCACAATCAATTCCAAAATGCTTAACAAATACTTATCTCAAATCAGCACATGAAAATCAGAAGGTTCAGGACTGGGCAAGACATAAAAAAGATATTATTATTGCTTCAGGATTGAACAAGCATTGCAGTTTGATTCCAGAGCATATATATGAGAGGTTACGAAAGCATACTAATGCCGCGGAACAAACTCATAATAAATCTTATGCTTTTGGCAAACATGAGTCTCTATTGCAGGCTTTGACCAGGCAAGTGATTCTCAATCGCTTGTAAACTGATTACTAACCAATTATAGCTCATGGAAACTTGATAAGCGTGATATTTTACAATATCATGCACGCGAGGATTATGGCGCGTGTCACTCATATCAATCAAGTAATATTGAGTCTCTATATCACCGGCATATTCAACGTGAGTGAGAAACCATAAACTTGTTATAATATATCAGAACTGATTGTTAACTAACTACTAATTACTTTATAGAAAGTGTTCAACGTCGGCGGTCCTACTCACAATTTCGTGCCTCAACTGAAGATATAGTGGATATAGACACTAGATCCCAAGCCTCTACTATTTCTGCTGGCTCATCTTTGGGTAACCTGGACTCTATTCCTCAAAGATCTCCAAGGCCAGCCAGAAGAGCACGGTAAGTGATTCTAAATCATTTGCCAACCACTTGACAAGTACTTATCTGCATCTTAGGTCTTCCCAAGTTTCATTACGTCAACAAGCCTCGCAAAACATTTTGAGTCAGACTACTGAGCAAAATTCTGTTGATTTTCAGGCAAGAAAAGAACAGCTTGAATTGGGTTTAATGGAGGAGCAGCTAAAAGAAAAACGATTAATGAATAAAGAACGAGAAATAGCATTACAGGAACGGGAGGTGGAGTTAGCTCGGAAGAAACAATGTCTAGGACTCTAGCTACTAAAAATAATAATTAATCACTTATTAATCAGTTCATCATTAGTTATTCATTGATCATTTAGCCCCTCCTATTTAACATGAAGAAGAAAAAACAACTGCTTGACAATCAGTTATCAAATGTTTTCACCTGACCTAATCCTCTGGATCAAAATCATCAAAGACAAGGCAATTCTTCACATCTTGAATACAAGCTACAAACTGATTAGGAACTGATTCACAACCATTTGGTAAGTACTTACTGATGCCCTGTTCCTTGCAATATTTGCAAGGGAACTCAATGCCAAGCTCCTTGCAAAGCTTCCTCATAGCCGTAAGATTTGGCTAATTAATCAATTGGTAACTGATTGACAAGTGATTGGGGACAGTTAAACTTACTGCTTTGCCATCCTTCCGCCAGATAATCTTCGGGAGTTTAGCTAGGTTTATGTTAAACAGTTGTCAAACGATCAAATATCAATCAGACTTACCCATTGCCTGTCCATCATCACTTGCTAATCATTTGTTAACCAATTGTAAATTGAGCAAGAAATATTTGCACTCACCATCATCATTCTCCCCATCCCCATGCTCCCCATGCTCCCCATCCTCGTCCTCATCCTCATCATCATCATTATCTAATGACCAGTTAAGCAATTGACAATCAACTGGCAAGCAATTGGATTTACCGTCCTCATCATCCCCATCATGATCAACCAATGACTTATAAAATGCTAAACAATTAGTAACTATCTCCAACTGATTCACAATCACTTACCAACGGCCTTATCAATATCTGCTTGACTGGCTCGGCCCGAACCACCATCATACACCGTAATATTCTTATGTGAACGGATGTGGCTGCGGAGATTGTTGGTGGCCGAAAACGGTTTCTAATCAATTGGCAACCGATTAGTAGCCGCTTGCCAACCAATTATGAAATAACCTACCTTTGCCTTATAGCAGTCCTTTACCCGGCAGAAGACCTCCCCATAGTGCAGAACAACAGACCCCAGCATCTGTATAATCAGTTATTAACTGATTGGTAACTGATTAGCAAATGATTGTGTTACTCACCGTCGTGTACTCAGGCAGGACAATCTCTCCACTGGCAACACCCTCAAGATACCGTTGGTAGTAGGCCTATCAATTCAGTCACTTTTTAATCAATTTTCATCAGATTCCATAAAAGTAACACATTTAACAGCTAAATCTACTCACATTATCGCGTAAATGAGCCATCTTGGCCAAAAAGGGGGGAAGGGGCAGCGAACTGCTTGGGAAATGCTTGGTAAAGGTAAGAAAAAAAATCTTACGTGACTTGTTTTTCAAGAGGTGCGCTCTGCTTAATAAACATCACGTGCCCTTTACGAGGTCCATCTTGGCTTACATAGGAGGTCCGGGTGATCTGTGTCTTGGTACGGAGTAGATAAGATCCTCTAAGCCTAGTTAAAGAGGTTAGCAAGGACGCTAATTGACAAAACCCGCCGAAATCTGCACCTACAGAATTACACAGAGTGGACGCAGTACTCTGTACGGAGCCCAGCGTGAAGCACTCTCAAAACATGAAACCTGAGGCTCCCAACTTTTCCATCGCCTTCGTATGCAGGTCCGATCGTAAGCCTCGGTAGGCTTTCTCCATACAACGAATAGCTCCCCGCCGGTGACTCCAGTCCTCCAGGGTCCAATCTTTATTGTGCAATTGCGGGTCTTACTCTTCTTTCCCTTGCAGCTTCAGTCAGGCCAAGTTTCTAAGTGGACTTCGCAAGGACAAAGCAATGCTTGTGAAGAATTTGCACAATGCTGGGGTGGAATATACCAGTCTGCAATGCAAGGGCTTCAGTTGATTTCTCCCCTCCAGATTGATCTTTTGTTACAGTGTGATTAACCTCAGCTCCCTTTTCTGGATCTATTGCTTTTGGGCTCCCAGAGCGAGACGCATCTTCAACATAGCTGATATCAACCAAGAGGCTTCGCTGCGGGTCAAACCCACGTTCTTTGGCTCGCTTTCGGATAACATAGAGGGTGTTTACAGGGATGTTCAGCCTTGCGGAGACTTCTTTAATGGGCATTCCAATACCCAAAAGTGTAAGAGCTTGGATTCGGGCAGCAATGGAATGGAAGGTATTATTAGGAGGCATTCTGAATCCTTGATCAACAAAGAATGATTCCTAAATGATACGATGAAAGGTGGATGGAAAGCCTGCTGTCGAGGGAAGCTGTCGCTTGGAGGATCGACGGTGACCTCCTTTTTCGTCCTAATTTGGCGGGGCAGCCATGTACTATGTATTTCTGATACGCCGAACCTTAACTAACTACTAGTGAACTCAAAAATCATTCGGGTCCAACACCTCCACATATACGTATGTAACTCCGCGCTCAAAACCTTCTAATATCAATACCAGCCAACTCCTCCACTGCCCCCTGTGAATTTGAATGCAGGCTTTCTACCAGATGTTCTTCCACTGCGAAGCTTAATGCATTTCATGCTACTAGAAGGCTCCCATTCCTCACAAGCTTTTGCTTCTCTGGCTACATTTAGCCCATCTAGGCCCTTCTGAGCCTTCTTTTTCTCTGCAAGAGTCTCCGCAAGCCAAGCATGACAATGCCCCTTTCTTATGGTATGCACTCCCTGCACATCTGCAGAGCGCTTTCGCAGTAAATCTTCCGTGCTATCATCTAGCCATGTCATATTAAAGATTCATCGTCACAGTCATGCTGTTGCTATGCACAAGTAAGCAAGGTGGGAGGCCACTGTACAATACCTCTAAGTCACTCAAGTACTGCTGGCTCGCCCCGGGATCTCGACAGGTCCCTTCTACTGGAGACGGGAGCGTGGTCATGATAACCGCAGTCTTCTTGCTATGTGACTTCATCAGCTCGTTCACAATGAGATGCTGCGCACGGCGTGGGAGATCGTTAAATGAGAGTGGAACAGAAGCCTGTAACGGATAGCCCGAAGCACGGTCGGCCCGCGCTGACGACTCCGGCCTGGGGTGGTCGGGGGAAGAGGGTCGCTTGTAGATAGACGAAGAGGATCTGGGCCCAGGCCGTCCCAAGTCTGTTGCGGCGAACATGATCGATGGTCCTGTCCCCTCCTCCGTCGCGACCTTCGTTTCTGGTATTGGCGCCGAAGAAAACCTCACCGTTGAAGAGGTTCTGACCATGCCTGATTTGTCCCGAGAAGGCGCTGTCCCCTCAGCTTTCACCCTGCTGATTGCTGGGTGCGCAGGACAAGACGTCGAAGCTTCCGTTCCGGAGTCCTCTGAATCAGTCACGGCAGACTCCGATACAGAACCTACGCGACGTTTTCTGGCATCGATACGCGGCTTTCTTGGACTCCCTAGAAATGCTGACCTAGGAGTTGTCCTGGCTTCCGCCGGTGACGATGGCTCATCCCCTATGTCCTCTGCATCTGCATCCACGTCTTCATCTTCGTCGTCCGCTTCGCTCACATATGCTTCCATTTCACTTCCTCCACCAGACGATGACTCGTCACTTTCATCAGGATGGTAGTCGACCATGGAGTCCAATAGGCGTTGGGTTTGCATGCCTAGGCTGACTGCCATACCGCCAAGGCTTCCTACAGATCTTCTTCTCCGGGATGACTCGATAAACTTTCGTAGGGGGCTGTTTTCGTGCTCCTCTTGCGAACGTAGCCACGTAGGGTGTGGGCGTGAAGGTTGCCCCGATCTTCCCTTCGTTCGACGGTCATGTTCCCCCTTTCGGAATCTCTTGATCTCCTGCCACCAATCCTCCTCTTCCAGAACAGAATCAACCCGTGCCCTCTCCGCCAAAGCGGCTTGTTCTCCATTCACGATGATTTTATAAGATTTAAGTCCCCCACTCGCAAGCCAGAACACGAGCACTTCAGCTTCGATCCGCAGCTTCTCTAATAACGTTGCAACCCTTCCACGCTCCTCTTCGACGTCTGTCTCATACTCCACGAATACCGCCACTCTCAACTTGTAAGAATTCTTCCAGGATGGCACCGTATGAAGGATACATCCCAGCTGTAAAATAAGCGTATACGTGTCAAAGTTGGTTGTCACAATATTTTGGCTGCTGTAACACCCTTCACCAGAAAACTCTGCAGACATCTGGATGGGCCAAAGATCGATGTACCGTTTGGTACCACGCCCTGTAGGGCTGGGTAGCTCCAGATCCTCAAATCCTCGCGCGATGGCAACATTAATTCGAAGCTTGAAAAGAAGATCCTCCAATACAGTCACGTAGCTTTGTACACTCATCGAGCATGCCTTGTCGATAACCTCCATCCTAGGACCCTGTCGAGCACTTGTCCTTCCACGTGCGGGCACTGCGTTGTCGTCACCCTCTGCGCTGAGCCGCCCGCTTTGTCGGCGGAACTGATCGATGACAACGATGTTAGGCCTCATGCCTCCCAACCCGGAATTCAGAACTACATTCCTCACTCCCCATTCGATTGTAGGGGCCACCGTAACGTTAACAAACGCTTTGACTTTTGAATATTCGACAAATTTATTCCATAGCGTTTGTTCTCGCCTTGCTTCAGGTACCGCACTTGCAAACTCTTTAGTCACAAGAATATGGCCCAGCACGAACAATCCGCCTTTCTTCAACGAGTTGCAGAAATGTATCATTTTGTACTGCACGTCAAAGTTGTCAACAAAGAGGAGTACCTGTGGGCGCCAGAACTTCACATGTTCGGGGCGGAGGCGTAGCAGATACTTTCGAACTTGATGGTAAATCAAGCTTTGGCTAACATCGCCCCATGATTTCGGAGGCGTGGTGTAGTGGATAAGAAGAAAGAGGAGTACCAAAACGCAAACGCACCCCGCCGCGTATACGCCATCAACGAAAAACATACTAGTGCCACTAACCAATGCTCCAGCTAGTGCTGTCCAGGAGTTGAAATAATGAAACGAAGGGCGGAAATTTGGTGCAGACCCAATTTTGAGTAAGAAACACGCAAGATTTGTCACTAGAAATGTCATTAGATAAATCATAGTGATAAACGACGCAATCTGATTGATATCAAGCAACATTGTCAACTGCGCGATAACAAAGGTAAATATAATAGCTCGCGTAGGCTCATCGGTTTTTGGCGTTCCTCTGGCAAAAAAGGAGACGCCAGGAATGAGATCATCTCTAGCAATAGCCTGAAGTAGCTTTGACGCGCCGATGAGGCCCATCAGGGCCGAGAAAAAAGTGGTTGCAAATTCTCCGAGAACGATGAGAGCAGCGGACATATTGATCTCCGGAAGTCGGTTAGCAGGAGTGTATGGTGCAGGAAACGAAAAAAGGTACTTACATCTTGTATAATATTAACATCTCTATATAAAGATTCTCTTGTCACTGTCGAGGCAATGACCAAGATCACAATAGTATAAGTGGCAAACGTCAAGCCGAGTCCGGATAGGGTACCTTTCGGGATGGATCGACTTGGGTTCTTCAAATCACCCGACATACTCGCGCCCCTGTATAGGATTAGCACAGGCAAGGAGCAGAGCTGGTGTGCTTCCCGGGGACGACACCTACGCAAATATTCCCCCCGTTGCAGGGTACAATATGCCAAACAAATTTTGGAAACTCTCCTTGCCTGGGATCTGGCTTCCTGCTGCTCCTTTGGTGAATCCCGGTTTTAAATTCCCAAGGAACGTTGTCAGGCTAAAGCCGGTGTACTCTATACCAATTTTATCGTTTGCGAATGGACCGAGTAGTAGCGGGGAGAGCGGAATGCTATATGTCGCCACTAGCAGGACTGCAAGGAGTCCGTTACTAGCCCTAGCGAACATTGAGCTCCCCGCCAAGCATATCCCCGTGCACAAGACCAAAACTATTGTACCCCAGAGGTACTGCCACCAGAAGCCTTCCAGGAGGAAATTAGACAAAGATCCCGATGCGGAGCCAAAGCTCTGGGTCAGACAATCAACCAAACCAACAGCGTTCATTCCTGTGTTGAACACACAGCCTATGTAGAATACGGTGCCAATAGAGCCTCCAAATTCAGGTCCCAAGGAGCGTGAAATAAGGTAGTAGGCACCGCCACCTCGAACGGTTCCATTGGTTGCGATTGCAGATATGGACATTGTCGTAACCAAATTAATCATATACGAGGCAACAAGCATTCCTGGGAACACGGTTAGCGGCCAACATACATGATGGGAGGGTCCTGGATACTGACCCAACATTCCCAAGACCCCGCTCTGCCCAAGGATGAAGCCGAATCGAAGGAACATGAGAATGCTCAGAACATTTAAAGTTGTAGGAACAAAAACACCGGAAAATGTTCCAAGCTTTTTCGATACATCAACCAGGGTGGGCGGAAAGGGACCTTTTTCCTTCCGATCTAGAAAGTCAAGCCTACCGGGAAGTTGGGAGGAGAGCGACGCCCGCCGGATCCTGGTGGCACTCTGCGCCCTTTGTGAGCGCCTATCTCCATTTCTGCTGATACTTCTGCGGCTGGATGAGTTCGCAGTGCTCTTTTTCCAACCTTCAAACGGCAGCGAGGAAGCAGATGCAGACCGCAAAGGCTGATATGGCTGCTCTGTCTCGGGAGGGGGAGACTCCCCGTCAGCCGCTGACATTCCCCGACCAGTGGCATCTCCACCAGCATCTCCGCCCATCATGAGCAGTGGTTCGCGTTTCGTTATCAAAGGAGGCTGATCATGGTTGTGTCCAGCCAGCTCTATTCTAGGTATCGTGGAAAGACAATACAAGCAGGGTTCAAGCAGCATGCGATGACTGACATGCAGCCTTCGTCATAGCTGATTATGTAAGTGTCGAGCCGCTAGTCTCTATGTAGTTAGTCAGTCTCCAGCTGCTCGGCAGGGATCTTCCTTGCCGATGAAAGTTTTTCCTCCCATTTTAGGGCCTGTAGTCAAGAGTCTTGAGAGCGCCCGACTTTGATCGGCTTTTGTGGTTCCTCGTTGCCTCCCGTGCATGCTTCGTAGGGCCAGCTGGTTTTGAGAATTCAAACGGTTTCATACAAGTACCAGGTGTTCCTATACGGAGTACTCCGCAGACCGACCAAAATTGCCCTACACCGACCAGTGATCATGCACGTCACCAAAGTACGGTACAATACAGTTCCTAGTCCATACGGGTACGTAGTTGTACGGGAGTAGCCGCCCGCGGTCGTTAATTACACCCGTACCGTCGTAAATCGCACTACGGCACGTTATCGTCCCAACGGCTCTTGTCAGATAAAGCTACGGACAGCTCGCAATGGCGTCAGCTGACTCGCCTTGACGTCCACAACTCTCCCGTCTGCCAGCCATCCTCCTCCGACCTCGATTTCACGGTTGGGAGCTTTCCTCAGAAAGATTAACTCTCTACTCCGTACTCCGTACGTCTTCGTTATTTACTGGCCCTTCCTCTTCCTTTCATCTTTAATACCTTTCCGGGATCGGCCGCTGCTACATTGGGACTGTCTAAGCAGACCTAGCCCTGCGCTTCCCAACCTCCCACACCAGCAGAATGTCGGATGCCGATGAGAGAGAACCGCAGCAGGACTCCGTGCCAATAGCAGCGCCGTCTGCCTCTCCCGGTCTCCCTTCTGAATCCCCCGCCTCGACCTCTCTTCCCAGGCATGTCGCTACTGCCCGTCTCGCCTCCCCGATTCCAAACAATGCAGAAATCCAGGACGCATCCTCGAGGAGAGCAGCGACTCCGCTCCAAGCCGTAGCCGAGAGAGAGCCAGATTTCAAGGGCAAGGCTGTTGCATCATCGCCAAATAAGCCTGGAGACTCCATATTGACTTCGGGACTTCGAAATGTGTCGTCTTCGCCAGCACCAGAAGAACCGCCGTCACGATCTGGCTCTCCACCATCGGCAGAAACTGGCCCGAAATTCAATCTTACTGGCGAAGAAAATAGCCCTCGCAACACTCCCGCCCCGACAGAGAATCCGCAGATTATCCGGAGGCACCTAGTCCAGCCTCAAGGCAACGCCTCGGAGGTCAACAATGAGAATTCTTCTGAATCAGAAGATAGCACTGGGAAGAATCCGGCTGATGTGGATGAATTCTCTAGTTTACAGCTCCAAGGCGGGGATATCACTCGCCCTGTATACCGGTGGACTGAGGAAGCAGAGGCCCAGGAGGCATCAAGGCGCCGGCGGAGCTTCGACGTTCCTCGGCCAGAGCCTGAGAGTGCGACGTTGGACATTGGCTCGATCAAGATTCCAGGAGGATTTCGAAGAGATTATCTCCGCAGGGCAGCTGGAGGCGCAGAAGGCAATGGTCTTCATTCATCTACGGGGCGTGACGGGCGTGTCGTCGAGCCGCAGCTACCCACACGAAGCTTCCTCGAGTTCTTAACGCTGTACGGACACTTTGCTGGCGAGGAACTGGAAGAGGATGATGAAGCTCTTGGCCCCGATGAATACTTCGTTCCCGAGCTATGGCGTGAAGGGGAGGAGGAGATTGGCGAAGAAACCGCCCTTCTCCCGCCGGGTGCTCCAGGAAAACACCCTCGAAGGCATAGGGATCGCGCCCCCAAAGCTACCAACTCCGCCACTGGTGCAATGCTACTGTTATTAAAGTCGTTCGTGGGCACAGGAATTTTGTTTCTCCCCAGGGCCTTTCTTAATGGCGGTATGCTGTTCAGTTCGGTCGTTTTGGTGACTGTGTCTCTTCTAAGCTACTACTGCTTTATCCTTCTCATCAGCACAAGATCAAAGATAGAAGGCTCCTTTGGCGACATTGGTGGCGCCCTATATGGAAAGCACATGAGGAGAATCATTCTCGGTTCCATAGCCCTTAGCCAGTTCGGTTTTGTTTCGGCTTATACGGTTTTTGTTTCTACGAATTTGCAGGCTTTTGTGCTCGCTGTGAGCAAGTGCAAAACTTTTATCAGTATTCAGTTTTTGATACTGATGCAGCTGATCATCTTTCTTCCTCTCTCCCTTATTCGTGACATCAGCAAACTCGCATTCACTGCGCTTATCGCGGACGCTTTTATTCTCCTGGGAATCGTCTATCTCTATGGGGTTGATATCAAAACCATTATTGACCAGGGTGGAGTTGCGGACATCAAAGCATTTAACCCGCAGAGTTGGCAACTTCTAATCGGGACTGCCATTTTCACGTATGAAGGCGTCGGTCTTATAATCCCCATTCAGGAGTCCATGAAACGCCCCCAGCAATTTCCACGAGTTTTGGCGCTTTGTATGATTGTTATTACCGTGATATTCCTTTCCAGTGGTGTGCTCGGATATGCGACGTTCGGCTCTGCCACCGAGACCGTGGTGCTACTCAACTTGCCCCAAGATGATAAGTTCGTCAACGGTGTACAATTCTTATACTCCATCGCCATCCTCCTCAGCACACCTTTACAGCTGTTTCCGGCAATTCGAATTATGGAAAACGGATTGTTTACTCGGAGTGGAAAATATAACCCAGGTATCAAGTGGAAAAAGAACATTTTCCGGTTTTTCCTGGTCGTAATTTGTGCAGTGGTCGCCTGGGGTGGAGCTGCCGATCTGGACAAGTTTGTCGCCCTTGTGGGAAGTTTCGCCTGTGTGCCCCTGGTCTACGTGTATCCGGTATGTTACAGTTCCACTACCCGGTGCCATCTTTCGAGAGTCATCTTGGACTAATTTGATTTTGTAGCCATTGCTACACTGGAAAGCTGTCGCCACCACTCGATTCCGGCGATGGTCAGATATTGCCTTGGCAGTATTTGGCACACTTGTATGCATTTACACAACTATACTGACCGTACACAACTGGGTCGCTGGCTCAAGCGAACCCAGCAAACCTGGTCATTGCGACGTTTAATAAGAGCGCACGCCATCCAGATCAGAAAGTCCACGAGTATCCTCCTTCGACGATTCGCTACGTTCAATCAACCCTTTTCGAGGCTTCCGTAGCAGTTTTGATGACCTGTTTCCTATTACAATCTTCATCCCCTATTTCTTTTTGACCCTGAGCGTTCATCATGCGTAAGAGTGTTCATATATTTTGATTCGTTTTAGAGGGCAGCATGCCATCTTATAGCAGTGTCCCTGGTGGCAGAAATCAAATGGAAATCAATCCAGATACATTTTTAACGAATTTGATCCGACCCATCCTTGAAAGCCAAGCTCCCCCACCTTTTCTTTTTCTTTTTTCCTCTCTTTTTTTTTCTTCTCCGCCCACAGCGGGTTTTCCATACGGCGTTCTTTGATTACGATTCCCAAGGTTTTCCCTATTCTCGGTTCTCGCGCGCTTAGAGATTGCTGCAGGCGATATACACATGTGAGATTGGACTGTGAACCGCTGTTAGCTTGGTCACAGCGACTGGCATGGGGAAAATTGAAAGATTATTTCTTGGAATATATAAGCAGTTGCATACAGTTTTGTTTGTTGATTTATATCTCATTAGTATCACCGGGTCTTTTAATGTCAAACAAATTAAATTCCTGGATGCTTCTACGCAGGAGACAACTGCAACAATGCAAAGTATATGTGCCTATGACAGCAGATATGCAAGACAAAACGTAACTAGTACATAAGTGGGAAAGGATGTTAAGAAAATGGCCTCATGGATTTTTTGCAGCATCAGCCGCTGTTTCGCCTTTCTCCGCGGCTTTCTTCGCAAGAAGAGCATCGCGACCACCCCAGCTATATCCATATTTTGTCAGCTTTATTCATTCAGTGCGAATTCATTCACTATCGGGCCGAGACACGGCGGAAAACGTACTTCCAATATTTCAAGTATCTATAGCCTTGCGTTAACTGCGCATTGAAATTGACGAAATGGCAAAGAAAGAGGAGATAGTTCTTAGGAGTGACGGCGAGTGAGTAACGCATAAATGTTCCGGAGTAGATGGTCAATGCGGCTGTCATTTGGCCGGAAATACTGCAGGAGATCGGTGTCGATTAGTCGCCAGCATTCAGCAAGGCAAAACGGCAAGAGAGGGGAGCTTCATCGCAACATGGACGACATGAGTATTTCAGTACACACATTTCGGGATCCTTCTGTGTATCCATCACCGCAGCAATAGGGATTCCAAAATTCGATGCCGGTCCCCAGAAGTCTAGAAACAAAGAGAAATCCAAAACGTCAGTATCAGCGATCCACAGAAATTCAGCCCTATCCCGCCAATAGAACTACTCGATCATGGGAGAATCGGCTCTTGCTCATCTCTATCAACAGGATACGCCGTGACTTGCAGCGACGAGAACTTAAAGGGCATGACATACGCGTGGAGCAGAAGTAGTCGAGGACTTTATTCGACCGTATCTTCGCATTGATAGCCTTGATTGCCGCCGCCATTTTAACAGGAGAAAGGAAGAACACAGCCGAAAGGGATGAGGGAGAGGAAGAAGAAGCGGAAAGAAAAGGAGAGAATAAAAGCAATTGGAGATGGGGCAACGTCTTTGCTCTGAGTGTCCTGCTTTGAAGTTGCGATGATGATGTTCCGTCGCTGCTGCTGATGTAATGAACGACGAAAACTCCGATATCCGGAGGATTAATTACGTCTAGTAAAATAACTTCGTAATCCCATGACAGCTCAGAGTCTGTGGAGACCGTCTGGTAGGAAGACGGTGAATGCACTGGCAGCGGTTCTGACCAGAGCGAAAAAGAATGTTGTAGTGAATGGTGACACAGATACTCTATATTGAACTGATCATTGCCAGACAGGTCCCAGCATCGCATAGTCACTGCTTGAGAACCACGGAATATAACATCTATTTTCAGCCAAAAGGCTGTGTGGCGAGATCCTCTAATATATGACATGATATGATTTCTCATGTATCTCGATGGGCAATTGGAATAAGGAACACCACTTAAAGGTACATACATTCACATACCAAGCACAGGCTGAGGCCGGAAGCAGTGCCTTACTACCCGTGTTAAAGGGATAAAATGTTATTTTATGCTCTGGCCCTCATTCACCATCCCGCAAAACGCCGTTAGACATATAGACCCGTCCGAGGAAAAAGAAATTATCTAGGCAACGCAGTTCCGGGAAAGCATATAATTTTCTGGTAAATATCGACCGGTTGGGGGTCGGTGCGTACTTAACTTGCATCGTAATTCGCGGCTTCAGCTCGATATTACCGTCCTCCCATACCAGGAGGCATTCCTCTTCCTTGCCCAGGCGGTTGGAATCCAGGTGGTGGTTGAAATCCGGCTAAAAGAAAAAGGGGGAAAAAAAAATATATCAGTCATATCATCCAACACGAACATACGAATAGAGGTTGAGGAAACTTACGCGGCCCACCAGGCACGCCAGGACCTCCGAAGCCAGGAGGCGGCCCAAAACCCGCTGCAAAAAACTGTCAGCAAGCTTCCACCAACGACACGTTCAGTTTTCACTTACGTGGTCCACCAGGGGGCCCAGGCGGTACTCCCCTTCCCGGAAAGCCTGGCGGCGGTGCACCAGGGAAGCCACCTGGCGGAAAACCACCGAATCCCGCTGGTGGGGGTGGCCCGCCAACACCCGCAGCTGGACCCCCAAGTCCAACCGGTAGTCCACGTCCAGCTGGTTTACTGATACCCGGTCCTGCCGCAAGCGTGGGTGGTGCGGCGCCAGGGACACCGGGAACTGTAGTGCCTAATCGTGCAGAGGGATCGGCTGGAGGTGGTCCGTCAACAGAGCACGATACAACATGCGTCCCACGGACAATCGTAAGCCCTAGTGTTCTCTTCTCTTCAGTCTCGACCAAAGGTCCATTGCCGCCTTGGGGTCCTTTGGCCTGTCTGCGCTTTACTTTGCGGAACTCTTCTGTATCTGCGAGGACCAAATTCATATGCTGCCAGAAGTCAGTGGCACGAAAGCACATAAAGGCAGTAGGTGAGACACAACCTTATCAAATGCGAGCATCTGCCCAGTCATCTGTCGTCCATCGTTCAATGTCACCCTCATTCTATAGTTGATCTGCGAAAGGTCAGCCGGGGGAACGCTCGAATATACCGAAAGGGATAAGAGCGGAGAATCTACGAAGCAGCACATACGAGGTTTTGCTAGAAACCTGTTAGTTACTTTGCTCTGTCAACAAAAACTCGCCATCGCGATATGTCGGGGTCGCAGGTACTCACCATCTTGCCCTGCTTGTTCGTAGCCATGATGCTTCGAGGTGCGCACGAATGCGACTTGCAACAGCGTCAAACACAAATTGTATCTTCCAAACCAAGCAATCGCATAGACTTTTCCCGCCCCCAAAAAAGAAAAGAGGACAACAGGAGAGGAGCACACGCCGTAAGCCGGTTACTCTGGGGGGTTCGTGCAGATTTGGGGTTCGCGTTATTGCAGCTTTGGGAGGTCGACGGCGCTCTTCCCGATCGGGCCAGCGCCAAGCCGCTAAGGGTTTGGTCGCTTCGTCCCACACAGACACACAAGCCAAACCCAACGTTGAACCCTTCGAAAAGACGCTCAACCGACCAAACTCCCTTCACCGTCAACACGTCGACAACCAGCACAGAGTCACCATGGTGAGTACCATCCGTCCCCTAGCGATCTCCCTTTCTTGCGCTCCCTTCAGTCTTTGGTATCTCTAACGGCATGCAGTCGGAGGGAAAGGACAAGTCCGCCAACCCCATGCGGGAACTCCGCATCCAGAAGCTCGTCCTCAACATCTCAGTTGGCGAGTCTGGTGACAGACTCACCCGTGCGGCCAAGGTGTTGGAGCAATTGAGCGGCCAGACCCCTGTCTACAGTAAGACTTCGACAATTCTTGTGTCCGCCCGCGCTCCCTACGCTCACACATTCATTCTCTAGGCAAGGCCCGCTACACCGTCCGTACCTTTGGTATCCGCCGTAACGAAAAGATCGCTGTCCACGTTACCGTCCGCGGACCCAAGGCCGAAGAAATCCTTGAACGCGGCCTCAAAGTCAAGGAATACGAATTGAGAAAGAAGAACTTCTCCGAGACTGGCAACTTCGGTTTCGGTATCAGCGAACACATCGATCTCGGTATCAAATACGATCCCAGCATCGGTATCTACGGCATGGACTTCTACTGCTGCATGTAAGCTACCCTCCACGCCTGAACGGCTAAGTAAATGGCTGCGTTAACGCGAATTTCCTCGTTTAGGACCCGCCCTGGAGAACGTGTTGCCAAGCGCAGACGATGCAAGTCCAGAATCGGTGCCTCACACCGCATCAACCAAGCCGAGACTATCAAGTGGTTCAAGTCCCGCTTCGAGGGAATCGTTCGATAAAGTTAGTTTATGTGGTAATGCGGGTTTATGGGGTATTTCCTTTTTAGCCAGACTAGATCAATGCACGAGACATGACTGCTGATCTGGCAAAAATCTTTTGTCTATTATGGGACTTGTGGGCATAGGCATAGGCGTGCTAGCGATTTCTGACAGCAGTCCTCCAAATGAAAGAAAAACCAAGTTCTTCTGATGGCTCAATTTTTCACAATGGAGGCTTCACAAAAGGTGTTGGTCCGCTTAACCATTGCTGGAAAACTTGATACTTTCTGGGATTCGTCCTAGGCGGCCTCTTCGAGCTTGTCGACTCCCTACGCTTCACTGGCTTTTGGTTTCGACGGTTCGCTCTACCACGTCCAAGTCGTCCATCGGAGGATAGTGGACTGGTCAGACCTTTCCTTGTCCTTTTTTCCCCGTGTGTAGCGGCAAAATCTCTTAAATCAAAAGCAGGTAAGTCTACCACACCGTGCCAATGCTATGCGATCATGCGACAGTAGACTTGCGATCTCCAAAACCTGCGACTTCCCTTTGCTTTGTTTAAGCGGTGGTTGCCCACTTCTTGACCATCCCGCAGCTCAAGTGCGTTTGTCATCCAAGCTGAAGTGATCGCCTCGTCAACCATCGCTGGGGTGGTTGGTTTTAATACCTTTTGGGAACTCAGTTGCGGTGGTTGCGGCTCGGCACTTTGTATTTTTACATACCGGTGCAGAATGGCTAGAATCAGATTCAATATAAATTTATATCAGCAACCGACGATGTACAAGTATGTGCTACTCTCAGGCCATCCTTTTTGAAGAGGCTTGGTGGAATCTCCCCATGCAATCCCCCTTGCAGCGAAAGCTGTAATCCATGACCTCTTAGAAGCCCAAACTGAAAACCGAGTGCGGCCCAACCGGCAGTATTTCTTCAACCAGCTATCAGCTAACGGCTATAAAGCAGCAACACGAGCAAATATGCTACGACCTTTTTCCTCCTGGGTTTTTAGGCCGAAACACAGCCGATGCCTCAGGGATCACTCCTTGCGGAGCCCATGCCGTGGGCCTCGAGTGAATCTACAAAACTCCCCAAATCCAATTAGTCCCTCGAAGGTATGAAACAGAGCATGGACCAAGAGACAGGGACGGTCAAGGGAGGACTCACGTATCCCACCACCTGACAAACCACCGGGCATCATCCGGGTTTGACCCAACCGGTTGTTCCCGCCAACTAGCCTTGCGCCTGTTCACTTCCTCATCCAGTGAAGCCCGCTTCTGATACATCAGACCGGCGTATTGTTGCTGGCCTGCCAACGTGCTAGTGCTGGGGCTTGACCTACGAGGCTCCGCCAAACTTGGCCGCCGTGCCATCGGCGGATTCTCCGTAGGCTGAGCCTGTCCAACTGGGGTTTCTGTGTGCGCTTTGGGCATCTCCGCCGGGGGAGTCTTGAATGTCGACACGGAAGACAAAATTGGAGATGTCGGCGCAGTGGAGGGCTCGCTTCTCGTGCGGGAAGCAGTTTCCGTTGAGTCCTAGACGGAAAAGTCAACGAATAATCTCGAGTTGGATGCTTTGTCTGATCAGTTCTGGGAGAAAGGAAGGTGTGGCCGCCTCGGGAATACATGCCCTTCTCATATCTTCTGGTGATTGGGCACCCTGCGGCCGGCTTGGGTGGTAGTAATACGGCGGTCCTCCACGAACCCAGACAGGAGGATGCTCGGGACGGTCACCTGGGTGTTCAACCATGACGTGATAAGTTCAATTATTCGTATTAACGCGATCGAGAAGTGGAATTGACCATAAGTGGTTTATTTAATTGCAAGACATCACGTTCCAGCTCAAGCCAAGATATAGCGACCCCCGATTTACCTTCCAGACGGCTTAGACTTTCGACTTCGACCAGACATGCATGATAACCTACACCCATCCACACTTGGGGGGCGCAATACGTAAGGTGCGTCGGTGTGGCCAAAAATGCGGGGAAAATTCCTGGCTCGAGTACACGGGGTACATACGGCATGGAAGTCTCCTTTTTCCCTCGAGCCAAGCGTAGCTGGACGTTCATAGTACTCTGTTGTTGCCGAGATCAATTGGAAGCCACCTTTGCTTATCTACACACACGGGCCTCCAGGTCTAGACCAGCACAACTGCTGCACGCCGCGTGAGCACTTGATACTCAGTCCAGTAGATGTCCATCGAGAGTGTGCTGTTTCGTAGAGTTGCAGGATATAGCACAAATGGTTAGTTGCCAGTGACATCATAGCTGAAGTTAATCGACCAGGTCAACATCAAGAAGGCAATGGATGATGGGGGGTTGGGGGGGGGGGGGGGGGGGGAAGTATCTTGACGAAAGTGTGTGCTTAGAAGTACAGTACTCTTTCGTCCTCGGCCTAGGGATGGCCCAAAGCGCCAAGTGTCGGGGTTTCGATGATATTCTGGTATTCTCCTTGGCTACACATAATAACTCACTGGCGTACATTGTAGAAGCGATTTACCTAGCCTACTCCGGGCAAAGGGTCGATAAAAGGGACTAACCGAGACAACCAGAAGAGAATATAGTCTTCAGTGGATAAATCCTCCTCGTGATACGGGAAAGACCAATTTCTCCAGTATATCCCACCTATCCTCAGTTCCGTGATCAAGAAGATTCTGCATTTGGGAGTTCGCTTTATCCTGTTTCAAATCATTATCAAGACGGACTTTGGCCTCTTCTTCAGGATATACAATCTGGTAATATTTCGAGAGGCGATCGCTGATCAGAAAGGGGGTGTGGTGATGATAGTTGCTTTGAGGATTGTATTGTCATCTCCCCAGGGACAGTTCACAACATGGTAAAGTCGGCTTCGCACAATAGCACTGTGGCTTCCCATAGCACGAAAATGCGGATTGTTAGTACAACTCATAAAACTAAGGTAAAAACAATCTGTCTCCTACAATATGTTTCCAGTTCTGTCTGCTTTTCATCATCGCTTAACAAGTCAGGGTCATCGGGGAAAGCTGCACAAATGACATTCTCCGAACTCTCGTCACTGTAGTTCTGAAAGCGCTATAGATATCGGCTTGGACACAAAATGGAAGGATGGCGGCCTGCTCCAAGTTCAATGATAACGCCGATATCTCAGATTCGCTAACGAAGATGGTACTTGGGGAGAGCTCCGGATGCCGTATTGTCGGCTTATTCAAGTGTTCTTCACCAGGCACAATGTGTCGTACCAGAGCGAAGAGATAATCTTCAAGAGTGCGAATCTAATCCTCCGGATTAACTCTCTTCTTGCTATAAAATTTTCTGTGAAGGGCTCCTCATGGACAACTTGATTCTCCGTACCTGCGAAGCCACCCAAGATCCCGAAGCCTAGCTGCGTTGAGAACGTCGGCTGACAATTTCCCTGGATCACGCGGTCAGAGGGCATTAGCTCTGAATATGAAAGGGAAGCCATACAGTGTCCTCGATTAATATCAAATGCACTTTGTCCAAGATATCACCAAAGAAGCTCCGCGGAGGGCCCTGTACAGGAACCACCCTCGTCTTAGTATCAACTGGTAAGGAGTCGGTATGATAAAGACTACCCCATTTGCAAGGAGCTGAATGTTGAAGAGAAGACTCTTTAATAGCAGCAATTCGTTCCATTACTGACTTCCCCTCCTCGACATCCATCGTGTACCAAGTCTTTTCCAGCTCCTTTCCAGCTCCTTTCTTCGGGCCTTCTACATAAGAATATATTCGCTTCCCAGGGGTTTGATTGGAGGCATTATTCCAAGTCAAAACCCTTGGGGATTGGACCCGCGTGCAGTGGCAAACGCTCAATGGTTGCTATCCCCTCTTGCTACTCCATATCCGTTGGAACTAATATGGATAGGCCAGACTGGCAATGTCATGCCAGCCGTTTCAGGAGGAGATCTCAAAAACGAGATCAGAGTCACCTTCCGCTATTTTCGTAAAACGTACAATGTGGGTTCTTAAGTTATCGACAAAGCGGGCAGTGATGTCCAAGAGGGCATAGATGTTAAAGAAATCGGACAAACGTTTGCTCTCTTTACACCTTGTGCCCCCTGCAGGAGAGGCCATTGCCGACAACTTGTAATAAAATAAGTAAGAGAAATAAGAGAATGTGATCTTCGCGAGTCGGGTCCAGAGGAGAACTCAAAGCCATCGTCGTGATGGATAATTGTAAAAGTCATGGCGCAAATACTGGATATCCAGGCCGTGGACGCTCCTCACTTAGGATGGAGGAGTGGACAACGACCAGCGGAAGCAGATAGCCCAGGGGCAATAGACATCTAGAGCTAGAAGAGCGACAGAGCCTTGTAAAAGCCCAGATCCAGCCACGATCAAGTCTATACATAACCAGCCCCAGAGACTCGACTATGCGATATTATGAAGTTGTTCAGATAACTAGCTATACTGGATGTAGCATGTAGTGAAATTTTGACCTGGCGAGTAGCTCAGGACCCATATTCAATACAGCTAACTGATCAAGCTTGAAACATGCACCTTGTGTTCCCAGTCCCAATTCCCCCGTTGATTCCAACAGTGTATGTAACTATAAACTGATAGTGTTTTGCGCCTAGGATCCCTTTCACTAGCAGATAGGGATGCCCTATTGATGAAAATAAAAGAGTGAAAGATAAACTAAAAGCAGAAGAAGTGGAAGACAGGAGAGAATGTGTGGCGGTGAGGGAAGAGAGGCTTTTCGGAGCTGGCCGCGCGCGGGTTGATTTTAAGTTAACTTAGTTAAGTAACCAACTCGATGAGTGAGCGTTGAGTGGGTGGGATTGGCGACCACCAGCGAGCGGGTCGAAGCTCAAAATTTATCATCGTCGTGGATCGCGGTCTTTCTCCCCCCTCACTTAACCACTCATCCTTGAGAACACGCCACAATGGATTCTGAACAGCCGCCTCATTCTGTCTTCGACACCATCCTGGTGCTGGATTTTGGTAGCCAGTAGTAAGTATCCCTTAAATCTCCATTGCAAGAGACGTCGTGGTAACCTCCGGAGCCAGCTCGCATTTGATCATCCGAAGGTACTATTCCTTTGTCAATCCCCAGCCCATTGCCCCTGCGAACCGCAGCTGACTTGTTTAGACTGGTCAGCTCTGCTCCCGGCCTGCTACTACACCCTGATTTCCTAACTTTCCTTCCAGAGAGAGCTCAATGTCTACTCTGAGATGGTTCCTTGGTAAGTGCCGTCCCCCCCCCGCGACCCCGATACACAAAGTGCGGATCTAACGAAACATCCAGCACCCAAAGGCTAGCCGACCTAACCTGGAAGCCCAAGGGTGTTATTCTCTCCGGCGGTCCCTATTCGGTCTATGAACAAGATGCTCCGCACGTCGATCCCGGTCAGTTTATGTTTTGCGATCTAGAGAGTTTTCATTCTTCCGTAACATCACCTGCTGATTTCTTTCTTCCAGCCTTCTTGGACCTAGGTGTCCCCATTCTCGGTATTTGCTACGGCATACAGGAACTCGCATACCGCCTGGACAAAGCAAATGTGACCGCCGGAATTGCGAGAGAGTACGGCCATGCAGACCTCAGCGCAAAGCGGCTTGATGACCAGGGACACGTCGACCGCTTATTCTCCGGCATCAAAGATAACACAAAAGTGTGGATGAGTCATGGCGACAAGCTAGTAAAGCTCCCTGAGGGCTTCCATACCATCGCTACTACTGCAAACTCGGAGTATGCCGGTATTGCCCACGAGACCAAGCCCATCTACGGGATCCAGTTTCACCCAGAAGTCACTCACACTCCCGATGGCACTCACCTCCTCAAGAACTTTGCCGTGGATATCTGCGGTGCTGCACAGAATTGGACAATGGCCAAATTTGTCGACCAAGAAATCACCCGGATCCGCAAACTAGTCGGGGAAACCGACCACGTCCTCGGCGCCGTCAGCGGAGGTGTCGATTCGACAGTTGCCTCCAAGTTGATGAAAGAGGCCATCGGAGATCGTTTCCATGCCGTACTCGTGAACAACGGGTGTATGCGCCTGAACGAATGCGAGCAGGTTCATGAGACCTTGGGAAAGCATTTAGGTATCAACCTGACTGTAGTCGATGCTTCGAAACAGTTCCTGGATGCCCTCAAGGGGGTCACAGATCCAGAAAGGAAACGGAAGATCATTGGTGGAAAGTTTATCGATGTCTTTGAGGCAGAGGCCTTGAAGATTGAGGCCGGAGTCAAACATACTGGTGCAAAGGTCAAGTGGTTCCTTCAGGGGACCCTTTACCCAGGTGAGCCCGAGGATTGATCGGCCTATTCATTCTTTGCCTATCGGCTAATAAAGGGAAAGATGTCATTGAGTCTCTTTCTTTCAAGGGTCCTAGTGCAACAATCAAAACACACCATAACGTTGGAGGGCTGCCAAAGGTTTGTTGCAAGTTTTACGAAACATTTTGTTCCCCCGCTGATATTTGACCTCGTTCAGAGAATGCAAGAAGGTGCTGGTTTAAAACTCATTGAGCCCCTTCGAGAGCTTTTCAAAGATGAAGTGCGTCAGTTAGGAAGGGAGCTCGGTATCCATAACGATTTAGTGATGAGACATCGTAAGAAACCCCCGCCCGACAACGGTCCTTCAATCTACTAACATCATTCATTAATAGCGTTCCCGGGCCCTGGAATTGCAATTCGGTAAGTCAATGGTGCCTATATAGACTTTAACCACATGCAGGCCAGTATCTGACAACTTCCTTTTACATAGTGTCTTGGGCGAAGTCACTCCTGAGCGCGTTGAGATCGCCAGGAGAGCTGATCACATTTTCATTTCCATGATCCGTGAGGCGGGTCTATATGATAAGATCGCTCAAGCGTACGCCGCTTTGGACCCAACCAAGGCTGTTGGTGTCATGGTATTTCTTCAGCTTCACCCGAATGTCCGAGAGTTCAGCAAACACTAATTTGTGAGCAGGGCGATAAACGAGTTCACGCCGAGATGATCGTTCTAAGAGCCGTTGAGACCTCAGACTGTAAGTACACTACCTCCCTCCATGCGCAATCACCGGCTCCGTGGGTTTCTTTACCCAGAGGGATGCTGACCAATTGCTCTAGTCATGACATGTACAGCATATCCATTCCCTCACGAATTCCTTTCTAGAGTGTCGACACGGATTATCAATGAAGTACATGGTGGTATGTTCTGGCCCTTCTCCTACCTTCTGATTCATTGGTTGCTCCTTTCTCCTCTATGAATATGTATTCTAATGATCGTGATGAGTAGTTTCCCGAGTGCTATACGACATTTCATCCAAGGTGAGTCCGATCTCTTCACGTTACCTCAAGTTCAGCGTGACTGACGATGTGCCAGCCTCCCGCAACCATCGAGATGGAATAGTTGAATCTAGGTATGAGATCAGTTGGATTAGTACTCAATGGCGATATGGCGCATTATATCAAGCAAAGATGCATAAAAGTATAAAAGCATAAAAGTGACAGTATCACTTCGTACATACATATAACTATACATCACATGTACCTATATACCTCCCTAGTAGTGTCTCGCTCCTGATTGCCTTCCTTTACTTTAAGAAATGGTTCGCTGACCGGATATCCGGAGGGTATGCCCATTTTTATTTTTATTTTTTCTGTCTAGCAGTTTTGGCGCAAAAGAGCGATGTTAGAACAGAACAGCCTTCCTCAGCCTATTCCGATTCAATAAATCGCCAGCATTCCGGCCTGCTGAACCTGGCACACCAGAAGGGGAAGAGGGAATAAAAAAGAAAAAAAGAGAAATTTCCTCGTCCCCGGGAAGGCTCGAACTTCCAACCTCCTGATTAACAGTCAGACGCGCTAGCCGATTGCGCCACGGAGACCACATAGAAATTTTGCCCCAAAATTCCAAAAATCAGAAGGTGGTAATGAGCTGTCGTAAGAAGATAATTAAAAAAGACCAAAGCCGCATGCCTGTGCGCTTGCAAAGTTAAGGATTTCCTGGTCAACGTTGAGAGACACCCTGCCAAGCGTATGGGCTCGCCGCCTCGCCCATAGAAATAAGTCGTGCATCCTTGACAGCGAGATTATCAAATTGGCCACGGCGATGATGTCGCAGACGGCTTTGAAATCTAACAGCCATCAAGATGCTCTGGGTTCGCAGAGTTCAGATTCACATCTTAAGGCCAACAGCCTTCGCACGCATCTATACGGAGTACTGTGTACGACTCGGCTTTCACCAGTAGGCTTGTATGTATGAGTCCCCGTTGTCAGAGACTAACTAGGAAGAATTGATGGTTCCCCTACATGAGGCAAGAGGCAAGAGACTATTGTATTGCCTCGCTGATAAAAAGTGACAGTTTTGAATTGCTGGTTTGCTCCTCGGGTAGCATACATACATACGACAATGGCGTGGAGCTATTGTATTCAAAGGAAACGGGGACAAGGGACGCCCTTCGGCGCCAAGTATCTGGGTGCTAGCCAGAAGCCCCTTAAGGCTGAAAGGCTTCTTTTGATCGGCCAGTCGATCTCACACCACAACATCTGCGCGGAAGATCTGATAGATCTGTGTGCATATCCCTGACCGGGTGTGGGTGGAGAGACCGTTGGACTGAGAACTGCATCCGGTGGAAGCTATATATCTCCAGGTCAACGAGAACGTCCTAAGAACCTTGTGCTGACTTTTTGTGTCAGCATATGTGAACCGTCTTCCGTCCCCTCAGGATTCAACAATAGGACCCTGCCACGAACTGTCAGAGCTGCAGAGCCGCGTTTCTTCTCAAGCACGGGGTATATAATATTCTGGGCGTGTTATCTCTTCTGCTGACTAGCGTTTATGGTACTTGTTCATGGCTAACAAGGAAAAAATTTGAGATAACGGTAAAAAAGAGAAAATAAATTTGGAGGGAGATCGAGAGAAAAAAAGGAGCAAAAAAGAAGCCAAATCATCGTCGTCCCCGGGAAGGCTCGAACTTCCAACCTCCTGATTAACAGTCAGACGCGCTAGCCGATTGCGCCACGGAGACTTGACATGTGTGGAGGTGGCGGCTGCTTCCACACTAGTCGAGAGTGACTCGGTTTACGGAGCTTAATTGGTTAATTAAGCTTGCAACCAACGCGTTTGGTAGCTATCCCTTGTGGATAGTGAGTTTTGTAGCCTCTTACACCGCGTAGCTGGCGAGTTAGTTTGTAGCTTTCTAGCAAGCAGCTAGCTAGCGAGCCGAATGAACGCCTGTCAGCACCAAAGCCATGGCAAGTTTCAAGACAACAAAATGAAGCACCGAACTCCTGACCCGGTAGCTCCAGAAGACCTTGCTACACCCCAAACAGACCTGTGACGATCCGCTAGGCATACAAACCAACCAACGGAGAGCGAGCCTCGAGAACCTGGGGTAGGTGGAGATGCATTTCAACTGATACTCATAGAGATCCAGAAGATGCGGAGAGCATAGCTGGAGATGAGGCAACTATTTGAGTACAGATTCAAGGGTCAAATGAGCTCCTCTAACAGGCTAGAGAAGATTTTAGGCATACGCGAAGACAATCACGGATCCAAGCACGGAGGCTGGCGAATTCATCGCACAATTCCTACGCATTGCAAAGACTGTCAGGAAGCCTATTGTCAGGCTGTTTGGGACCAGCAACTATGCCACATGGAAGCTGTTCTAAAGGTAGCTGAATTGGCGGATGCTGAAGATATTATCCTAGAGGAGCAGGAGGATTCGCCACGACCAGATAATCCTGACATTACGAGGTTCTGGAGAGCCAAGAATAATTGGCTATATGACTTAATTGACAGTACAATAACTACGCAAGCTAGAGTCTACTTCAAACAGCCGGGTGGCCTACAAGCTCTGGAAGTCTGTGGAGATAGCTCTCCTAGAGAAACCTCAGATCCACCAAGGACGCCTAGCAAAGGAAATACAGAATATGACACGACAGTCTGCTGGCGGAGAGAGGAACTGTATAGAGAGATTCCTCGCAATCCGCATGGAACTCGAGCGAATGGGGCTCAAATACCACGACCATGCCCTACATGACATTCTCAAGGAGAACATCACGCCTCAATGGCGAGAATTCATACAGAATACATACAACATGGCGTACAACAAAGGAGCGGACTTACAAGGGCACAACCTGGAAGGCCTACTGAAGGGATAAATCTGAATTCTGTAATTAATTTTTATTGCAAATTTGAGAGCTCGGGATCTTTGTGGCTCTTGCTTGCTGCTGGAGCTCGTTGCATGGGGATTCTTCATATCAAATCACAATGATGAGCGTAATATCTGACACCACGCGCCAGTTGGGCGGCATCTCGCACGGAGGACGCGAAGCTGGCAAACGAGGCAGCTTCCGTTGCATTTGTCTGACACCGCTCAATATCCAAAAGAAAAAAAAAAAAAAAGAAAAAAAAAGAAAAAGAGACGAAGGAAATCTTTGACAAGTGATAGTAACAACCCGTCATTCCTTGATTTTCTCTTCATCTAGAGATTTTCGCCTATTTCCGCTTTGGGATTAGTGAGTCTCCGTGGCGCAATCGGCTAGCGCGTCTGACTGTTAATCAGGAGGTTGGAAGTTCGAGCCTTCCCGGGGACGACGAGAAAACTTTTTTTATTAAAAATATTACGAAATTTTTTAATGTTTGATGAACTTGGCGAGTGCCTCTTATTTGTTTCAACAGCCCCCCAATAGCATCGGTCAATAATAGCATCATCCTAATTGACCCTGATCGCAAGCCGTGAGGACGGCAAGCGCCATATGTCTCGACAATAGGTCGGTCTGGCGAGAGACACCACATTTTATCAACTGTTGAGTTAACGGCTGGATTCCTAACGGCCCACAGATCTGTCACAGCGGTCAGCTGTCCTCAACGCTTAATGTATGCCAGCGTGCAGGTAGTCAGGACTCAGTCGCGCAGACGCCAGATAGAGAGAGTCAAGTAAATAGAAAGAAGATACAGAAAAGACTTCGACACATCAAATAGTTATCAACTTGGGGGGTTGTCCCCAAATCATTTATAACGCCACCCCATACTTATTAGTGTGAGACACCGTTTGGGGCTGAAAGTCAATGTCTGATGAGTATGATACCTATTTTTGGGTTAGAAAGTTGGGGAAGCCTGTCTTCATCAGAAAAGAGTTTGCGTCAAGTCTTCCCAAAGATCCAGTACATGATGTCCAACTCGTGGAATCCTCGTAGAATTCAATCAGACCTTTACAGAGTTGGTTTGAGCTCTAATATTTAACTAGTAGAAAATTGATTCGTACTTCGCGGATCAGCGTGACTCTCAACATCTTGCAGGCAATCTCCTTACCTGAACATTGTTCTTCAGTGTAAGGGGTTCGCGGGCAAATCCTTGCAGACTCCCCGCCTCTTCTAAGCCTTGGTCCCTCAAGGTGGCTGTATCATCAAAAACCTTTTATGAGTAGAAAACAAAAAGAACCCTTCGGAAAATAAAAAGTTCCTCTTAAGGAAAAGAGGACAGCCTCAATAAGAGATAACACAACTCTAGCCTGAATAACACAACAATATGTACTCTGTACAGATCCCCTATTATTCTACTAGCTCCGCGTCAACATTAGGTAACGAGGACTAGCTTAAGAGAAAGGTTTCTCTCACTTTCACTTTCACTTTCACTTGCTGCTCTTCCTTCTCTAGCCTTCATTAAAATCACCAAGATAAGTGAACGCTCCAAGCAGTGCTTCATGTGGGAGGCAGGCTTGCGGTGAGATCTCCTCTTGCTTGGCTGCAAGGCCACAAGCTGCGTAAGTCTTCTACCTGCGTGGATTCTTTTGCCTCCGCGTGGTTGGATAAGGCTAACGCATGCTAGGGGCTCGCGGTCTCCTCCTCCCCCCCTTTGTGGAGGAATTGTTTGGGCCTTCGGTGAGTGGTCTTTTGAGAGGCTGGGATGTAGTCGCGACTGACAGTTCTAGGGAATTGCTCCTCCCCCTCTTCCTCCACCAGCCTCCGCCCCTTCTCCGCCAGCTCTAGCTGTAGGTGCTCTTCCGCGAGCTGGCATTGGTTCGCGTGCTGACAGAATTAGGGTTCCTTCATCCCCTCCCGGCAGTTGTGGTCCCGCAGGCTTCGGCTAGCAACGTGAGTATCCACTATCACACTCTCTGCTCGCAGCTAACCTTCTCTAGGTTGTGGTTATGGTGCCTCCCGCTCGGGCAGGTTGGCGGGGTGTCGTGGTCTTGCAGGGTGCCTGGGACCACCCAGCAACCCCTCCCCACCGGGGAGATCGACAATGGTGGTCCCAGGCCACCTTCACCCCTCTTCCCCCGGCCGCCTTCTTTGCTGGGGCTTCGCGGGCAAACCTGGTGGTCCTCCCAGGTCTTCCCCCCTTTGTCCACCTGTGAAAGGGCATGGTGTCGCAAGCCTATCCAAAGGTCTGGGTTAATATCTGGTTTGGATAATCCAAATCAGCTGGCTCTTCGCCCCCAGCTCCGCAAGGAAATCCTTGTGACTTGTGACTTGGGCTGGGATGCAGCCTCCACCAGGACAGGAGTACTCCGCCTGCAAGAGAGCTCAGCAAGGCTATGGCAACATAGTCTTTGCAGAGTGCATCTCCGCAGGCCGGGGTCAAAAATGTAACAATTGCCTATACCGTGGACACCTTACTTGCTCTCTCCTGCAGTAGGATTATAGGTAGTTATTCAATATCTTTTTGAGAGGGGCTGGTGGCTCTTTACATAGTCAGCCGCGGATTGTACTTGCGGGTCAATGTGGCAACGGGACTCTCCTTAGGGAGAGGATTAGGAAGAAATGCGCGAAGATAAGATCTCTATATTCTTCTAGCAACGGTATGACTCTGTGCCAGATTGCTACTGGCTTTCATAAGAGGTTCATGCAGTGGCTACCTTTTATGTTTTTTCTCAAGCACATGATTTAGCATCTCAGGAACACATACATCAGCTCCCAACATCTTGCAGGCAAGGTCCTTGCCTCGCGAGCGTCGTTCTTCATTGTAAGGGGTTCGCGGGCGAATCCTTACATCTGGTCTTCCAGGTCAAGGTTTGGCGATACAGTTGACTCGAGAAGAAGCTTGTTGGCTTGTGGAATAGATTGTTGAAGGTGGAATTTTGAGCTTGACATCAATTGAATGCACGTTTTCTTCTCCATGGCAAATTTCCCAAGAATGTAAAGTCTTGTAACTGGAGTCAACTTCTTATTTGAATATTTAAGCTTAAGCTCTTCATTCCATAGTTTTGTGGATGGTTTTGTGGGAAGGGTTAGGTTTGAAACACCGCAAATGTGTGATTGAAGCGTGCGGGAGCACCAATTCACGCAACCTTTTACAAGGCACTATATTCCATGCCATGTACAGAGGGAATAACTGCAGAGTGCTCTGTCAACTGCCACTGTGCTCCAGAGTGCAGACTAATCTGATATCATCCTAGATGGGACATCCATAGGTAGACCTCTTGGCAACGTTTACAATTGAAATCAGTGGAATGCAGAGATCATAGAAAGTATTTTGTTACCCCAAAAAGTATTAAAATCAAATGTTCCACCGAGAAAAATACTAGTAGTTTCTATAAATACAAGGTAAACCTCCTCACACTGTTAGAACTACCAGGGAGGATCAGCTCTGGTAGCCATACGGTGGGTGTTGCCATGTTCCTTGACCCACGTCAGAATATCTAATGCGGCTCTCCAGGTGAGAACGTCGTCATAGTAGTAAGTCATTTCAAAGCCATAGATGATGCCGTCAACACCGGCGGTGCCCAGCAACTGGTTGACGAGGTCGACCTGCCCGCTTGAGCTCGTCCATCCATACACTTTCCCAAGTTTCCCTTCATCCCGCAGTTGGGCACCTTGACGCAATTCGGTACAGGTGTAATAGCCTCCCTCATGGCAGCCTCCAAACTCAAAGCGGAGATTGTAATAGCCGTAGTCCATCACTCTTTGCGCCACTGGGATCCCTGATGCCACTTTGCCCTCATACTCCTTCAAAACAGCGCTAGCTTTGCCGCTCAAGCTTACCGCTTCGTAAGGATTCAACTTCTCGCGGATCACTTTTAACGCGCGGCTCTTTTCAGCTTTGTAGAATCCGAATAGGACGCGTATACCTTCTGGTTCCAGTGTTTTTCGCGCTAGGTTTCTAAGGGCCTCGATCGAGCAATTCAAGCGAGGTTCACAGTAATCCGGGTTCTTCATGTCTAACCAGACAAAAGTGACGTCCTTCCCCTTCTTATGCTCTTCGACAATGGTCTCAAACATCGTAACCGCGGAATCGCCAGCACTGGACCCTGTTGCGCAGTCGTGGTCTGCCAGCCACGTATTCCACTTGCGCCAGGCACACAAGTCGATTTCTATAGCGTTCGCGCCGTGTTTGAGGGCATCTCTCACTCCCTGGGCAGTCAGGACTCGATGGGCAATGGCGTAAATTGGTCGCTGGTTGGCGGCTTGTCGAGGTTCAATGGCGTCTATGCCGACCCCGGACTCCCCAGGCGTGACTGGCTCGGCGACGGTAGGGGTTTCTAGGGCGTATGAGTCGACCTCAACCTCATCAGGCGTGACGGGTACAGCGACAGCCAGGTGACTGCTGAATAGCGCGGCCGAACATAATAAAAGGCGGACAAGAGTTGAAACCAACATGGTTGGTTACGGGATTCCTCTGCTAGATGGAAGTTCTTTGGGTCACGAATGCTTTTTGCCGTGGGATATCTAGGATGAAAAGCAAGGCTCTTGGAGGCCTACGTCCGGGAGCAAAGGCTCGTTTATATAAACCCGAGCCCAGGGAGGATGATGCACGTTCTTCAACTACCCGATAACCGGGCTCGCGGTCCGCCAGGCACGATTGCGATCACGAGGAAAAGCCACCAACTTGTGGACCATGACTAGACAGCTGCCTCCACCGCCGAGCCGGGGGGAGGAATTCTCGAAGATCAGGAGATGCAACAGGTGGCAAGTAGTGTGGCTGGTTAACGGGCGCCCGTTGACATAACCGGTGACAGGTATTTCTCCCCGCATGAGACATGTTCCAGCCAGCTCGTTCCTGGGGGAAATGTCTCCCCGCGCCCATCGAATGACTGCTGATGCTCACACGAGGGGCAAAGGGTCTCTGGCCCTGGCCACAGATTTGGCCTCCATCCTCCGTGCGGAAGAGGGGCCTGGGTGTGTCAAAGTTTGGACCAATGAAGCCAGCTAATTCAGTGAAAGGGACGGTGCATTTTTGGAGGATCCAGTGGCATGGGAAGCAAGAGCCAAGAAGCTAGTTGACCCGATCCAGAGAGTTCTGACCTTTAGCCTCTTCAAGCTAAGTGCCGATGAAAAAAATATTCATCAAGCAATTTGACAGCGTTCAGCCCCTTGCTTGACCTGTGAACAAAGCTTTGTTTGTTGGGCAGCTGGGTCAACGGCTGGTGATTCCAGAGTACCGAGCACGGAGTAACAGAAAACGCCACACATGGACGTTTATGGACGAACTTCGTATGTATAACAATGTGTGTACAGAGTAGTGCTGACGGATGCGTTGCTGAGCCTCCCGAGAACGGAGGGTAGGCGGACTCGTCATGATCCTGGTTTATGGGCCACAGAAGGTTTACAGTTTTGAGTTTGTCAGGATCCTCCGTACGGGCGTGCCTGGGGCTTTGATCCTTGGTTGGTGAAACTAGTCCCGGCACGGTAAGGTCCAAAGGTTGAGACCTTACTCCGTACTCCGTATATTGTGGCAACATTGTACATACTAGGGCGGAGTACGGAGTACTCCGTACGGACTAAATCATAAACAATTGCCAGGGGGTTGTTAGCCGCGGAGTAGGGAGAAGTTCGACTCTTTGGACTCTGACTGCACTTGGATGGACATATGTCAATGTGGCGAAGCATCGCAATGAAGGCTCTCCCGTAAGGTACGGAGTATATCCAATCCAAATCCACGCGGATTCCCATCACATGCCAATCAGGTGGTGGAGATGCCTTTCATTGATGCTCCCTGCCGAGCAGCGCCATCAGTAAGTGGCCAACGAGTTCCGACACTGTCACCCTTCCCTCTCTTGGCTACTATGTATAGTAGCTCACAAGCACCGTGGGACTTGAGAGAATTCAACCATGTTTACTTCTCGTATCGTGCCATAGCACAACACCAGGTGCCCTGGAGTATTCGTTGACCGGCCATCAATGCGATGGCCAACGCGCATCACTGTCTTTGATATCGTCTCATGGGCCCGGGGGCTATCGCGATGAGCCGGATACCTTCCGTTTACTATCACCAGAGCACCCATGGTACCAGGCTCATGAATGAGCTAGCAGTGTTTCCATCGACTTTATCCCGCTCCCTTTCCGCTTCGATCCTAAGTTGTTCAGCTCCCACGGGATCTCCCCTTCTCTCCTTTACCATGGTCAGAAACCACAGCGACCGTGCGAGGTGGCCCTGCATGTTAGATATCCCTCGGCTCATCTCGGAAACCGCGTACAAGAGACTTGCTACCAGGGCATCCTCACCGTCAGCTTCTGCCATTCGGGTTGCTAAGAACATTGAGACACCTCGAGGCCCTTTGTCTTCAAAAGAAGTTGTGACGCATGGCAACCGCTTCGGATGCAAGCAAGCTGCCGGGCCTCTTCTCTCAGACCTTACCCGTACCTGATCCTGCACAGAATGATGATGTCTCCACTCTGTCCCAGTGATTGGAACTGGACGAATTGTTTTTCAATCAAATTTTGCAGCTTACAACAGTACTCCAATGCGCCTAGTGCTCTTTCCGGTTGCCCCGTGGTGTATCATGGCGTATATCGATTGCGTTTCGGTCATCAGGAGTGAATCATTTAACATCATGAGTTTCTGAAAACGTGGATATATTTCAAAGCGTCAGCAACGTTTCCTTGCTCGGTATAGCTGCAGGCAATATCGCCATATATATCCGCCACCGAGGGTGAATGCGGCCCTTCAAGTGCTTCTCTCACTCTGAATGCCTGTCGATACACAGATCGTGCAGCGCTTGGTTGCGCCAGATCCAGTGCGATGTGGCCTAGCAGGTGATATGCCTGTGCATAGTTCGCAGTTGCACGCGCTAATCTTAAGCTGGAGACCGAATTCAAAGAATGATCAGGCGGTCATGAGCTGCTCATTCTCCCAGAGCTCTCTTATTCGGGCGTCTCAGGGTACATGCTCCGTACTTGATACTGCCGTTAACTTCAGGGTTTCGTACTCACCTTCCGGCACGGAAGACTAATTCCGCAAGAAGCTCCGGACTGGTAACGATAAGCAAATTCGCTCGAGTTAATGCCATGAGCCAGCCGACATGGGAGAGAATCTTGCTATATTTGTCGCATGAAGCCCGGCCATGACCTAGTTTACGAACCCTCTCATTCCAGGTGTTAGGAAAGCTAGAAGATAGCATCCTGATCGCATAGTTGAGGAAGGTAGACGTCTTGTCCGTGATCAACCGCGAAAACACTATAAATAGGACGAGGCGATGGATCGAAATAGCTCTATGTGTTGATAGCCGACTGACCAGAGATGCTGCTCTCGTAAGATCGATCACACCAACCCCGAAACTGTTGGTGGTAAGCCTATATTTGTCGCACAGAGAAGCAGAGCTTACTCAAAATCATCAAACAGAATCTCCATGGCAGTATCTGCAATTCCAAGTCTTCTGTTTAATATTGACTCCGAGATAAGATCCAGGTCAAAAGTAAGAATCTTCAGCAATGTCTTTGACTCAGCAGAGAGTTTTCCAAATGAACACTCCCACGCTGTATCTAATGTACGTCCATATTGTACCGGTGCTCCAGTTCCCGTGAACGCCTTTGTGGCTGAGCGTTGGTGTACCTGCAGGATCTCCTCATAGGAATAACCTCGGTCGTTCATAACTTCGCTTATCTGGACCGTAGCTAGGGATAGGCCACCGAGAAACCGGAGCAACCCCTTTGCCGCCGCTGCGTCAGTTTCATTCGACGGTCGTGAGCTAGTCAAATTGTACAACACATCTATACCTATTTTCCCGCATAAAGGATTGGAGATGCAACAATTCTATTGCACGTTTAGACGCAAACGAATGCGATCGACAATTTATAATGATAGACCCTTTCATGCTGGCTGGTCAAAATATCAGGAGAAAAGATTTCCCCGCCGTGTTCAGCCAATCTTTCATATTTCGTATGGACTGATAGTTATCGTTGCGGCCTTCAGCTTGTAGCAAGCCAAGCTTCACCGCAAATTTTGAGAGTCCCTGCGCCATTGTAGCTTGAGTCTCAGACGGTATCCATATCACACCATGGTATAGCTTCATGGAAGGATTGGCGTAGTGTAGGGTAAGCTGCGTCTTTCCAACCCCACCAATTCCATAGAACACCATGACTTCGAGGTGTTCACCATCATCTTGAGGATGGAGGGCTCCCTGTAGAGCATCCGTCTCATCGCTTCTACCGAGAAATCTCACATTCAGGCCAAATGGTATCACGTAGCATGGAAGACTCTTCGCAATCGGCTGAGAGATATGTTGATTCCTAGTGGGCTCGGCCTTATCCACTTTTTTGGTCTCTCCAGAGCGACGAACCACACTGGCCTCTTCGTCGAGTAGCCTTGAAAATGTCGAATTTTCGCTATGTCCGCTGGAACCTCGTTTTTGAAACTTATTCCACGCCCGGCAAGTCTCGTTTATAATTGGATTGTTTCGAAAGAACGCAAACAAATGCGCGCAGAAGATTATGATCGCCGTATAACCATTAAGGAGAGCATCCTCCAGAGCGGACGTCACGGAAAGTCCTCGCTGACATCGACCGAATCTGAGTAGAGCCTGGTCTAGCTCTTCAAACATGTCTGGGAGCTCAGGCAGGTTCAGCAAATTAACCGACGTGATCAGCGACACTGCGCGAGATTCTATGGAGCGACACATAGTTTCGGATCCAATCTCCCTTCAACATAAGCAGAGTAGAGCCCCATATCACGTCCGCAGCCTGACGATCCATCCATAAGGCAAGGGTGGTTGTAGTAGCAAACTCGTTGAGACCGAGAAGTACCGGGTGAAAGTTTTTGCAACAATATCCTCCAGCTCTCAGAAAATGCAGCAGGGTCAGCAAACGCAGGTGCCCCTTGACCTTCTCGAGCAACTCTTCGGGGCCAGGAAGACTGCAAAGGTCTTTCGTCAACTGCCCGGACTTTCACGCCCCATTTCCTGAGCTCCCCACGTAGTACTTGTCAATGGTTGCTCGCGGCATCGGACTGCCATGGCGCACACTGCGGAAATTGCTTTGGGAATGGCACCGGTTTTCCATCAAGATCTTCGGAGAAGTTAACTCATTATCCGCTCCTTTAAGACCCTGTCGGAGAGCGGCTCGAAGACGACCTACATAGGATGACAACATGGAGTCACTATGGAACAGGGTCGCTGTCAGCCTGCGGGGCATGTGGGACGAGCTAACCCGCGAGTTAGTTAACCATGGAGCAGTCAAACGCATCGGGAGCTACTTAGTTAGCCGGTCAACCTTCTTTCATCGCCACCAGGAAAGTCAATCGCTGACCCGGTGCTTTGATCCAACCCAACGACAGACAGTAATTCGGAAACGCCCAGGACCACGGTTAATGTGCAACGTTTTAAAAGGTAGAACTATTGTAAGAACAACCTTATCCTGACTGGACGCATTTCCGACATTTCTCCAGTGTCTTTCGTGTACCATACCTACACACGCGCCCCAGAGCAAATCGCGTGATATGCCGATCACCCACATCGTTCTCTTCCAATTCAAAGACCGGAGTCAGCCCTGATGTTGTGAAGGAAGTTGAAGCTCAAGTGTCTCTCTCTCTCACACACACACACACACACACGCAAAGAACCCTGCGGCATGACCAACGCATAAATACCTGCGGGACGAGTTTAGCAGACGCACATGGCTAATCATTCCCCCTATCAGACCTGTATCCGTATGCGGGCTCTCAAATACGACTGTCTCCACCCCTTTAGGTAGCTTAGTACAGTACTCCGTAGATGACAAGCATAGTCCTAAATGCCGCATCGGATCACGAAAATCCGAGCCGAGAAGCTGGAGACTAACTACCTGTTACATAGAGACTAGTGTCTCGAAAACAGTTCCATATAACATTTGCTTCCATTCCCAGCCAATTACACGAAGAGTCTGTTGAGACAGGAAACAAAGCAAGGCATTGGGTTGAACTATATCTCCACCCACGCACCCCCCTAACAAGCCTCCACTCCTATGTACATACAGCTTATGTTCCTGGTCACCAGCACGTTGATGCTTGATTCTCCCAACCTGCGAAGACTTATCAGCAACCTTGCTATACCAGTGTCTTGCCACATCTGCCCACACCTCCCTGCCGCGAAGGTCAGATTCTTCCCCAGCGATCCTGTATCGAGCCAAATCCCCTAAGCATTCAATCCAGGTATCCTTAAATCACGGAAAACTCTCAAAGTAAAACAACCATCATGGAATATGCGGGGTATATAAAGGACAACACGGAGCTGACTCGGGTAGCCTGTGGTGCAAAAGTTCCACAAAGGAGTGTGTGGTTCTAGGGGCTGACTAGTTATTGAATGCGTTGACTGGTGCGGGCGTTGGTACTCCATAATGGCCATGAGGCGTGCATCGTCTTTGGGGACCATCGCCGCGGCCCCGCCTCCGTGGCTCTTCATCTTCTGCTGCGCTCACGCGGAACTTGTTCGGCCCTGCCCCAACTTTGTGCAAAGATAATCATTTCCTGGATTCCAGGAGTCGGAGGCGGTCTTGGATGGCGTACTTCCACTCCTTCGAAACTTTATATATAAAAAGGCAAAATAGGATTATTAGCACAGCAAAGAAGCAGAGTATCATCGTTATGCTGGACCAAAGAGAAGCCGCTAGAAGCGCTCGACCATTCGGCACGGGATCCACCTGTTGGACAGCAAGGGCAACCTGCAATGCGCTCAGAACTACTGAGGCAACTCCAATCAGAAACAAAGTTGGCCCGTAGAAGCGGGCAAAATATTCGCTGTACTGGTACTCAACTCGCTGGAAATGTGATTTTCCGAGAAGGAATGGTGCGTAGAAATTAAGCCTGGTCAGTCTAATCTCGCCGTAGGCATAACGCTCAGATACATCCTGGTTCGAGATCCCGCCCAGGTTTGTTGTAAACGAGCAGAATTGTTCCCAGGTAATCTCCTTCGGGACGAGGTGCAGAGTTGGATCTTGCGCGACATAGAAGTCAGATTCAGACCTTACAAGATAGAAGTATGTCCTGAGATAGCCCAAAGCCGCCTTTCGGACACTGCTATAACGGCTCCAAGGCGTACAGACTGCTTCGTTTCCCAAATAGCGTCGCCAAAAGTTGTACGACGTGAGATATCGGGGGAGGGGTTTCACAAATATTCGATCGCGGATCCACACCAGATGCAATTTCGGATCCTCGGTTACGATGATGGTTCGCCCTTTTACAAACTGTCGGTGGAGGGGGGAAATATTCGCGCTGTCCTGCTTTGACATCCACCAGAGCCTACCCGCCATCCGATCCAGGTCAACCGAGCAGTATTCTTTCTCGAGAAAGTTCAGCAGCCCATTTTGATCCTGAAGTGATATATCAGGATATCCCGGAAGGTTTTTGGCTGAAGGTTCGCTTGCCACTCGATGTGGGTCGGGATCGAACGCTGTGCTGAGCTGGCACTCTTTTGGAAACGGCGGCTCCATGAATCTTCAGAAGGACGCTCCAAAAATCAGGCCTTTAACAACAGGGTTGAATAGCGCTCTGTGTGAGAATAATTGAAGGGCCCTTCAACGAGTTTGCTCACTCTTTTGTTTCCCTCTCCCTACGACATGGGCTGCGATTGTTTTGCTGGCACCTGAAAGTCTTTCCTTTATCCAATCAGAAATGTGGCTTCGGGTTGCCGCCCTCAGCCTTCCTTCGCCAGTCGACCTCACTTGATGCTGTCTGCCTTGTCAAAACCCTCACAGTTTATAGTAGGCCATTGTTTTTTGTCTATGCACCTCCAGGACCGGCAATATGGCCTATCTAGATCAGAGCACAATCGTCATAAGTGCTCTCATCGCCCTTGCAATTGCAATCTGGTGCCATCCACTCTCGTCTCGCTCCTCCGGGAAATTACCACCGAAACCCAAAAGGGCGTTGACCTTACGTGTCGACGAGGTTCCCATTGACAAGGCGCACGCAGCCTTTAAGAGCGACCTAGAAACTATTATCGGGCGCGATCAAGCTTTGGAAAATGATACAATTTCCATATTGCAGCACCTGCTGGTACGAAGGGATCGGAAGGTGGCTTGTGGAACGGCCACCTTCTATACTTCAATTCCAGCAAGTGAATTACTTACCCGACTACACCGGGCGAGCTTTGGCTTTCAGTACCGCTTCGATATCAAGTTCTATGGAATCACCCCGCTTTATGAGACAGGCGGAGCCGCAGATGTTGAGTAGGCACCTCAGTCTATGAAAAAATTGTACGTCGCTCACGTATGCCACTCATCTCACAGTGTGATCGCTGTACCCGGCCTTGGGAGTCATGCGATTGGCTCCTGGAAGTCATCTAGCAACAACGACCTTTGGCTTCGCGACTATCTTCCAGACCACATACCAGACATCCGAGTGCTTTTGTATGGGTACGACAGTACACTTCAGGGGAGCGACTCTAAGGATTCGATCGAGGATCTAGGAACCCGCTTTCTAGAAACAGTAAAAGCTTTCCGTGCGGATATGGTATGTGAGATTGAGGAGTGTGAAAACCATGGCTCATTCTGTGGTAGACAGATCGCCGTCCCATTATATTTATCGGCCATAGCCTAGGAGGTTTGCTGATCAAAGAGGTAAGGCCGTTTACTTGTCTTGGCCGTCAGCTACTCGACTCTTACTGTATGACAGGCGTTGGTTCGTGCGAGCAGGAAATTCGATGATCCACAAAACCACAGGCTCTGCACAGCTTGCTATGGATTGCTTCTCTTCGGTGTTCCGAATCTTGGATTGCGAAATGAACAGCTAAGCAGTATCGTCAAAGGCCAGCCGAATGAAGGCTTGATACGAGATCTCGTAGTTGACAGAGATTCGGAACCATCCCCGTTTTTAAAGAGAATTTCCGGCCAATTCTCTGAGAGTTGTAAAGGCCGCTATCGAGTAATATCATTCTTCGAGCGAAAACTGAGCCCAACCATACAAGTTAAGATATCCTGTGAGAAAGGAAAAAATGCGGACACTAATAATTGTACTGTAGATTCAGCCTGACGGAACCTTGGCCAAGACCGGTCAGAAGATGTTTATGGTCACAGAGAAGTCGGCGACCAGCACAGGCTTGACCGCGGTAGCTGACGAAAATAACATTCCTCTCAACACCGACCACTCGGGTCTTGTGAAGTACGAAAGTAAGAGCCAAGAGGAATACCTCATTGTGAAGGAAAAGCTCAAGTTACTTGTCACTGAGGCGAGTCAGGAGGTTCCCAAGCGGTTTTCACAGGATAGTATGTAATTGATAGGCCTACATAGACTGTATCAAGTATTAGCACTAATGTACAGCTTTAGGCCTCACACCTAAACAGCAGCATCTTTGGAATGATCTCAATCAGCCGCCATATACATCATTCAGGAACTCATCCAAACTGGCCAAACCAGAGAAAGGAACTCTAGAATGGCTCAATCAGACAGAAGATACAGATCATAATGTGATCGTCCAGCGTCACCTGTCTTCAGCAAGCCTGCACATGGAGGACTTTAGATCATGGAGGGACTCAAACAAATCGGAAAGCCTTCTTGTGACTGCACCGCCCGGTCGTGGTAAATCAGTACTGTCGAATTTTGTTTTGGGACATCTTGAAAGCAGAATACCGCAAACGACGTTACTTCCTACCAAAATTATATACTATTTTTGTAACATCAAGAACGAGGAAGTTTCACGTAACGCGAGATCAGTTCTCCGGGCACTGATTATTCAACTCTGTGAACATCAGCGGCATTTATTTCAACTCCTTCCTTCGGAATATCAAAGAACCAGCGAGCGTTTCTTCTCAGCACCATTCGAAACATTACTACATATATTTAGGAAGTTACTTCGAGAAAATGCATACGCTAGTGTCTATTGTGTCATCGACGGCCTGGATGTTTACAAAGACGAAATGGATGAGCTGATCACGAAACTGATTGAGGACTTTAACCCTGAATCCACAGCAGAAACGTCCGTTGTTTTGAAATTGTTTTGCACGTCAAGACCGGAAAGGCATATACTTGACCTGTGGAAACGGGCGACACACAGGATCCTTCGGTGCCATCCCCATGATCTCAACCTCTTCATCAACTCCCGGCTTGAGGGTTTAGAAGAGAAGTTCAATGACGATATGAAACAAACAATTAAAACTCAATTGTCTCAAGGCGCCAATGATACGTTTCTCTGGCTTGAGGTCGTCCTTAGGAGGATTAGGGCAATCAAACTGCCGAGCCTTAAAAGAATTACGGAAACAATCAAGAACAGTCCGCAAGACCTGGATGAGCTGTACCAAGTCATCATTGGACGGGTACTGGAAGAAGATATTGACAGCGCTCGCTTCTTGGCCTGGGTAGTATATGCTAAATACCCTCTTGACCTCGAGACTCTAGCAGACGCCGTGGCTATCGATCCTAGAAAGAAGTACAAGACTTACACGGACTGCCTTCAGGACCGGCCACACCTGACACCAGATGAGGTACACAAAGACTTTGGCATGCTTGTTGACGTCATTGGAGGCAAGATATTTCTCATACATCAGTCTGTCAAAGACTATTTTGAGAGTCACAACCCCCTCCAGCCCCTCATAGGAATCCACCCTCGGCTGGCTCTGACCCATATCACCATGGCATACCTGTCATTGGATGAGTTTAGGCTAGCCAAGAAGAACATAATGGAGCAAAAATATCCACTGTTGGAATATGCTGCTACCAATTGGTACTCTCACATTGAGGCAGCCGCTGAGATAAATTGCCATCACTCCATCAAGGATTTTCTAAAGACGATTCTTCCCCCTAACCCTAACGCACAAGTATGGCTTAGTGTGAACAAATACTTAAGATTGTTTCCAAATTATTTGCCTACTCCTCGGGCGAGCGAAATCTCAATTAGACTTGACATTAAATGGCTGGCAGAATTACTGTTAAATGAGGAACTACCAGAAGTTAAAGATGATTTTGATAAAGATTGTCTATCAGCAGCTGCAGTTTATGGTGGAAGAGTGTTAAAAGCTTTACTGGAACATGAAAAGGGTATACAGTTTAAGATTTCAGGTGATATTGTCGAAAAGATTGCAGGAATGCACCATTATAGCATGATGAACCTTCTTCTGGACCGACGAGGAGCAGATATCATAATTACTGAGGAGGTGCTCAAAGCAGCTGCAGGGAATGAGAAGAGTGGCAAGGAAATGATGGCACTTCTTCTTAATCAACAAGATGCACACATTAAGATCACTGAGGAGGTGCTCAAAGCAGCTGCAGGGAATGAGAAGAGTGGCAAGGAAATGATGGCACTTCTTCTTAATCAACAAGATGCACACATTAAGATCACTGAGGAGGTGGTCAAAGCAGCTGCAAGAAATTGGCACAGTGGCAAGGAGGTGATGGTGCTTCTTCTCAACCAACCAGAAGTGAACATCAAGATCACTCAGGAAATGGTAACAACAATTGCAACAACCTTTAACAAGGACGGGATGGCACTTCTTCTCAATCAACAAGAAGCAGATGTTGAGATTACTGAGGGGATGGTCAAAGCAGCTGCAAGAAATTGGCACAGTGTCAAGGAAGTGATGGCACTTATTTTCAATCAACAAGCAGCAGACCTTAAGATTACTGAGGAGATGGTCAAAGCAGCTGCAAGAAATTGGCACAGTGGCAAGGAGGTGATGGTGCTTCTTCTCAACCAACCAGAAGTGAACATCAAGATCACTCAGGAAATGGTAACAACAATTGCAACAGCTTTTAACAAGGAAGTGATGGCACTTCTTCTCAATCAACAAGAAGCAGACATTGAGATTACTGAGGAGGTGCTTAAAGCAGCTGCAGGAAATAAATACAGTGGCAAGGAAGTGATGGCACTGCTTCTTAATCAACAAGATGCAGACATTAAGATCACTGAGAAGGTGCTTAAAGCAGCTGCACAAAATTGGTACAGTAGTAAGGAAGTGATGGCACTGCTTCTCAATCAACAAGATGCAGATATTAAGATCACTGAGGAGGTGCTCAGAATAGCTGCAGGAAATAAATACAGTGGCAAGGAAGTGATGGCACTGCTTCTTAATCAACAAGATGCAGACATTAAGATCACTGAGAAGGTGCTTAAAGCAGCTGCAGGAAATAAATACAGTGGCAAGAAAGTGATGGCACTGCTTCTTAATCAACAAGATGCAGACATTAAGATCACTGAGGAGGTGCTCAAAGCAGCTGCAAGGAATTGGTACAGTGGCAAGGAAGTGATGGCAGTGCTTCTCAATCAACAAGATGCAGACATTAAGATCACTGAGGAGGTGCTCAAAGCAGCTGCAAGGAATTGGTACAGTGGCAAGGAAGTGATGGCAGTGCTTCTCAATCAACAAGATGCAGATATTAAGATCACTGAGGAGGTGCTCAAAGCAGCTGCAGAGAATCAGAAGAGTGGCAAGGAAGTGATGGCACTGCTTCTCAATCAACAAGATGCAGATATTAAGATCACTGAGAAGGTGCTTAAAGCAGCTGCAGGGAATAAATACAGTGGCAAGAAAGTGATGGCACTGCTTCTCAATCAACAAGATACAGATATTAAGATCACTGAGGATGTGCTCAAAGCAGCTGCAGGGAATGAGAGGAGTGGCAAGGAAGTGATGGCACTGCTTCTTAATCAACAAGATGCAGATATTAAGATCACTGAGAAGGTGCTTAAAGCAGCTGCAGGGAATAAATACAGTGGCAAGAAAGTGATGGCACTGCTTCTCAAATATCAATCAACAAGAAGCAGACATTAAGATTACTGAGGATGTGAGGATTCACCTGTGAACCCCTTACACTAATGAACAACACTGCCTATAAGGCTGGAAGCTGCTTGCGAGATGTTGGGAATGGATATATGTTTGTGAGATGCTAAGTCACATGCTCACAAGCACATATAAAAGGCAACCACTGCGCAAACTGTGAGGATTGTACTTCGCGGATCAGCGTGGCAATAGATCTCTAGTAGGAATTGTATGTAGAAAGGAATACATGAAGGTAAAAGTCTTATATTCTTCTAGCAACTGTGTACGACTGTAAACAAGATTGCCACTGGCCTCCATTAAGGGGTTCGCGCAGTGGCTGCCTTTTATGTGTGCTCGCGAATGTTGTTTGTCTGTGTAAGGGGTTCGCCGGCGAATCCTTACAAAGATCTAGATTTTAGACTGTCAACCAGGCCTGCTATTCCATCTCATCATAAGAGAGAATATCCAGGAACAGTGCAAGAAGGGTGGGAGAAAAGAAAGAGTCTCAGAGAGAAAACTCTTTCCAAATAGTAAAGAGGTAATATAACAAAACAAAATTTTTCTTCCAAGAGCATAATATTTTTTTTTTTTTTTTGCCGCCAACAACAAATATAATCATCATCAGGGACTAGTCTAGTCAATCACACATACACAAAACAAGGAGAAAAAAAGGAAAAAAGAAAACACTAGCTTTACACCTTGTGAATTGTGCAGATAAGATCCTGTCCATCCACAGAATCCCCTTCCTTCACAAGTAATCCAGAGATGGTGCCGTGATGTGGTGCTGAGATGACCATTTCCTATAACACACAAGTCAGTTAAATAACTCTCCCCTTAACTTGAAAAACAGCCAATATGAATAGATCCACTTACCATCTTCATAGCGCTAAGAACGGCAATTGGGTCTCCCTTCTTCACTTCCAATCCATCGTGGACTCTAATCTCGACCACAACACCGCTCATGGGCGCGCCGACCTGGCTGCTGTTGTTGGGATCGGCCTTCGGCCTGCTGGTGTTGTCGACAGCCGCGAGGATATCGTCAACAGCGACCTGTCGGACTTCTCCGTTCATCTCGTAGAAGACTTCGCGCTGGCCGGTCTGCTCGGAGAGCGGCCCGACGGCCAACAACTTGAGGATCAGCACCTTGCCCTGCTCAAGTTCGACGGAGAACTCCTCGCCGATCTCCGGTCTGGAGAGGAAGTATTTGGTCGGGAGGACGGAGAGATCTCCGTACTTGGAGACGAAGTTGCGGTAGTCCTCGTAGACCTTGGGATACATCGCGAAACTGGCCACGTCGCACTCGGTGGCAGTGCCGTATTTCTCCTTGAGATCGGCCTTGATCTTCACGAGATCCAGAGGCGGGAGGTGCAGGCCGGGGCGGCTGTCCAACTTCCGGCGGTCACGGAGGGCCTTGGAGCGAAGGGGCTCGGGGAAGCCGCCGTAAGGCTGGCCCATGAGACCCTCGAGGAATTCGAGGACGGAGCCGGGGAAGTCGAGCTCGCCGGCACGGGCGATAACGTCGTCGGGGGTGAGCTTGTTGGAGACCATGAACTGCGCAAGGTCACCAACAACCTTGGAAGTAGGTGTGACCTTGACGATGTCGCCGAGAAGGTCGTTGGCCTGCTTGTACGCCTTCTTGGTCTCGGCCCACTGGGTCCCGAGACCGAGCTGGTGGGCCTGGAAGATCAGGTTGGTGAGCTGGCCGCCGGGGATCTCGTGCTCGTAGACCTCGGGATCGGGTCCGGTCAAGCCAGCCTCGAACGGAGAGTAGAGGAGGCGCAACTGAGCCCAGTAGGAGTCGATGGCGCGGATGTTTCGGATGTCAAGCTTTGGATCGCACTCGGTGCCTTCGAGGGAAGCCAGGATGGCTCCGACGCTGGGCTGGGAGGTCATTCCGGACATGCTGTCGGTGGCGGCGTCGACGGCATCAGCGCCAGCCAAGGCACAAGCCACCATGGAGGCGACACCGGTGCCGGCGGAGTCGTGGGTGTGAACGTGGATGGGAAGATCGGGATACTTCTTGCGGATCGCTCCGATGAGCATGGTGGCTGCCTGGGGCTTCAACACACCCGCCATGTCCTTGATACCGAGGACATGGGTGCCGAGGGCGACGATCTTGTCGACAAGATCAAGGTAGTAGTTGAGGTTGTACTTCTTGTTGGGGTTCAACATGTCACCGCTGTAGCAGAGAGTACCCTCGACGACACCTCCAGCGGCCTGGACGGCCTTCATGCCGACCTCAAGCTGGTGGATATCGTTCAAGGCATCGAAGACACGGAAGATATCGACACCGTACTTCTTTGCCTGTTTGCAGAAGTGGTAAATGGCGTTATCAGGGAGGCTAGGGGATCAGTTAGCGCCGGATCTTATTTTACTTTTATTTTTTCTATTTTTATTTATTTAATATTTTTTTTTTTTCCCTTTGGATTCAACTTACGAAGAGTAGGCGACACCGTTGGCTCCACGGAGCAACATCTGGAACGGAATGTTTGGAACAGCCTTGCGAAGCTTCCGGAGACGGTCCCAGGGATCCTCGTAAAGGAATCTCATGGCGACATCGAAGGTGGCGCCGCCCCAGCACTCCAGACTGTAGGCGTTGCTGTAGGCATGGCTCGTCTCCTTTGCGATGTTGACCAGATCGACTGTTCGGACACGGGTGGCGAGGAGAGACTGGTGGGCGTCGCGCCATGTGGTGTCCATGATCAAGCAGCCCTTGTTGGCACGGACGGCCTTGGCGAACGCGGCGGGACCCTGCTCGTCGAGGATCTGCTTCCACCCCTTCTGGCAGGGGACGGAGACGTCGACGGGTGTTCCGGCCTCGTCGACGATGGTGGGCATGCTGATGGCGCCCTTGAACTTGGGCTCGCCGATCTGGCCCTTGATCCTGCTGCCGTTGACGGCAACGTCGCCGAGGTAGGCGAGGAGCTTCTGGGCGCGGTTCTGGCTGCCGATGAGGGCGAAGAGCTCGGGGGTGTCGTCGATGAAGGTGGTCCAGCAGGTGCCCTGGATGAAGGTCGGGTGGGTCAGGAGGGAGGCGAGGAAGGGGATGTTGGTCTTGACGCCGCGGATGCGGAACTCGACGAGGGCACGGAGCATCTTGCGGCGGACGATCTCGTAGGTTGAGCCGTGGCAGGTGCACTTGACCAGCATGGAGTCGTAGTGCGGGGTGATGATGGAGCCGGCGAAGCCGTTTCCGCCGTCGAGACGGACGCCGTTGCCGCCGGCGGAGCGGTAGACCTCGATCTTACCGGTGTCGGGCTGGAAGCCCTTTGTGGGATCTTCGGTGGTGATGCGGCACTGGATGGCGAAGCCTCTGGTGGAGATGCGGTCCTGGGTGAGGCCGAGCTGCTCGAGGGTGGCGCCGGCGGCGATCTGGATCTGGGCGGCGACGATGTCGATGCCGGTGATCTCCTCGGTGATGGTGTGCTCGACCTGGATGCGGGGGTTGATCTCGATGAAGTAGTAGCGGTTGAGCTGGTCGACGAGGAACTCGGCGGTGCCGGCGTTGCGGTAGCTGACGGACTTGGCCAGCTTGACGGCGTCGGCGAGGATGCTGTCGCGGACGTCGACGGGGAGGTCCTTGGCCGGGGCGAGCTCGACGACCTTCTGGTGGCGGCGCTGGACGCTGCAGTCACGCTCGTAGAGGTGGACGACGTTGCCGTGGTTGTCGCCGAGCAGCTGGACCTCGATGTGCTTGGGCCTGTCGAGGAAGCGCTCGACGAAGACGGTGCCGTTGCCGAAGGCGGATTTGGCCTCCGAGGTGGCGCGCTCGAAGGAGTCGCGGAGGGACTCCTGGTCGCGGACGACACGCATGCCGCGGCCACCGCCGCCGAAGGCGGCCTTGATGATGATGGGGAAGCCGTACTGGTCGGTGAAGGCCTTGACCTCCTCGAAGCGGGAGACGGGGCCCTCGGTCCCGGGGACGACGGGGACGCCGCACTTGATGGCGAGGCGACGGGCGGAGACCTTGTCGCCCAGGGCGTCGATGGTGTCCGGCGTGGGGCCGACGAAGACGAGGCCGGCCTTCTCGACGTTGCGGGCGAACTCAGCGTTCTCGGAGAGGAAGCCGTAGCCCGGGTGGATGAGGTGGACGCCGTGCTGGACGGCGATGCGGATGATCTCGTCGCCGGCGAGATAGGCGCCGACGGGGGTGAACTGGCCCCTCCGGCCGATCATGTAGGCCTCGTCCGCCTTCTGGCGGTGCATGCTGAGGCGGTCCTCGTAGGAGTAGACGGCGACGGTCTGGAGGGACAGCTCGTGGGCGGTGCGGAAGATGCGGATGGGGATCTCGCCGCGGTTGGCGACGAGGATCTTGTGGAACTGCATGATGGTGGAGTTTGCGCGCAGTCTGCGGTGGACGGAGTGCTCGTAGTTGGAGGGGGAGTGGTCCTCGACGACGTCGTCGATCGCCTCCTCGGGCACGACAGAGACGGCTGGATTGGAGGCAGCCATGATGCGATATGGTCAGGACGAAGAAGAGGGGAGAGGGTTCCTTTCGGGAGGTTCGACGGTAGCCTCCCGGTGGGGAGTGGAAAGGGGAGAGAGAGAGCGGTCAATTGAGAAGAGAAAATACGAATTGAGAGAAAATATGAATTGAGATGATGAAGAAGATGATGAAGATGAAGAATATGATGATGTTGATGAATTGAGAAGAAGAGAAGAAGAAGAAGAAGAAGAAGAAGAAAAAGAGCGGGCGGCGGTTGATGATGGACGATGATGCGAAAAAAGGTGGGGTAAAGTCGAGTCGAGTTGAGTTTTAGAAAATATAGCTTTAGCCGACAGAATATATAGAATATATATATATATATATATATATATAGAAATGGATATAGAAACAGAATAGAATAGAATAAGACTATTTACTGATTAAAACTGAAGAGAATATCCTGCTTTTTACTGTTTCTTCTGCTCTACTCTTACTGGATCTATCTACTTACTCTCTTCCGTCTCACGATGACTCGAATCCGTTCCCCGACAACGCCGGAAGATTTAGGAACCCCCAACGACAGACC